CAGGGGGTGCATAAACAGGGGGTGCATAAACAGGGGGTGCATAAACAGGGGGTGCATAAACAGGGGGTGCATAAACAGGGGGTGCATAAACATGGATACTCAACATCCCCGAGAATAACTAAGCTCAGCAATTTCCTCAAATGGAGATGTGTATAATCACTAGACTGTCCACGAACGCACACATGAACATTCACCTGAGCCTATAGTGCGTTGGGACCGATGGAGTTGACCGCGTTGAACTGATGGCGTGGATCTGACGGCGTTCCCCGAAGCTCGATTGTGGTGAAAGATGCAAACACTCTAGGGGCTTGGTGATTGTAAAAATCCGGACTCCGTTGGTATGTACGTACGTTCATTACTTCCACCGAGCCGTGGACCAAGACACAGGAGTTACGTTTGGAGAGAGTGGTGGATTGGAGTGGTGAATTGGAAGAGAGAGCTCAGGGACTTCGTTGAACCAGCCAGACTAGCACTGTAGACCCCACTGTATCGCCTGTAAAGATGTGGCTCTGCCTTGAAGGAGATATAATAAGGGACTTTCTACGGTATTCTGACTCCCAATCTGGTCTATTTCATATAAGATATTTCACCCAATATCGAGATTATGCGTCTCAAAACCCCTTTCGTACTTGGACTAGCTACTTCAGCGTCTGCTTTGTGGTCAGTTACTTACGACACCACTACCGATTGTTCAGGCGTGGGAAAAGAGGTTGGAGGCTTCGAAGCCGGGTGCCAGACTCTGGGAACCGGCACGGAATCGGTCAAGGTCTCTACCGACAGTGGCAGCAATATCGCATTGAGCACGAGTAGCAACTGCAACCCTTCTTGCGAGCATATCATTCCGAGTGAAGTGGCCGACCGTTGCGTCAATGCCGCTATCCGTTCCTTCTTATCTTATTGATGGTAAGTTATGTGCTTTGAACTACCTTCCCCTCCCCAAACTAAATTTCCAAATTGACACTGGTCCATTAAAGCCCTGAAAATACGCTGAAGGGGCATTGGTCAAGAGGCTCAGACAGGGGGTCAAGATGAGCTCCCAGAAAGTTCTTGTCTTTTACTTAGACATCGAGACTCCGTGGCTTCTTTCCCATCCAATTTCATCATGGTTGATATCTTTGCAGCTACTTACACTAGAGGAGCCAAACAAACAAGTACACTTTGAAAAACACTCGAAGGGTCCCCTTCTCATTGACATACTCGAGCCTTCAACGGGCAGTCCGATCATGTATGGCCGGTGTCGATGAATTCGAGAAGCTTATATAACAGCGCTCCAAAAATAACGCTTATAAAGTTTATCAATTGCATGCCAGAGACCTGAGGACCAAGTGTACCATTACGTATGGTGCACAATTTGGTAGATACGTGTAAACGTCTTCTGTGCTTCTTCTTTTTCTCTTTTTCCGCCAGCAACCCTCATTTTAGAGAATCAAATCATAGGGTTTCAGCAAGATAATGACTTTCGATTCGGTCATCAAGAATTAAATAACCTTCAACCAAACAGGTTACGTAACTGGTTTACAAAAGTGTAAATTTTGCGTGAGTGCCTACCGCCTACCTTCAGTAACCAAGCTGTTCTTGTTTCCATTGCGCGCAAATGCGAGTGATACCTTTTTTTCTGTGCTTTGTAATTTTATGCCTCCATCATAGGCTCCTTGTTTTCATATAACCACATATTATCGCAATAAGGCACGGACTAAGGTGTTTGTTACTAAACAGATTTGCCTCTTTCATAGATGAATTAAATGAATGATCACCGATTTATCCAGACGGGCTCGAAATCAATTTCACCACTTGACTCTCTTCACTTCTTTGTTGAACTCTGTTTTGCATTGCGCCATGCCTTTTACGGTTAGTTTACCCCTGACCCAAACGTTGACAGTATCTTATTACGGCAATAAACAATCGGATTGAATTACCTATACTGCAGTATCATGGTTGTATCTCACATGCAAACAAGCCAAACAGACTAGTTGCCAGGAAATTCGGTCTGGTAACCAGATTCACCCTACTAACACTACCGAGTAGATATGATTGGCTCCCTTAGGAAATATCTCCAAGAGAAAGCGCGATGGGGTCTAGTTTAATGTGCTCATAAGCTCTTGACGTAGGGATCGGGAAGTAGATAAACAATTATATTCGTCTTTGGAACAGCCAATTGAGAAAAAATGGTGGTGTTAATCGCTCCTATCAGCAGACTCAACAGATCTAATCTCGCGCGCATGAACAAGTTTCTAGGAGTAATAAGTCATAAACATAGGTCGATATTAAAAGGACCTCGATTCTTAGCATTTGGACCCGGTCAACACGCGCTATACCCCATTAGGCACTAGCTCGGTATTTGTATTTCCAATGCATTATTCGGTCAAAATGCATTTGAGTCTTAGCAAATACGAGGGTGTCCAGCGGCGGTCATGAACCCTGGGTACTTTCTATTAGTATGTAGCCCCCTAACAAAATCAAGTCACCACCGTTCCTTATAAATCACGAGCTGGACTTAGTAGCTTTTTGGCCCCCGAGATACTTCCGTTTAGTATGCGATCCTCTCATTAAATTAAGTACCGACTATTAACCAAAATTTGGAATGGCACTAATCCCAATTAAAAAAATTCGAGGCTTCCATATTGGCGTCGTGGTGGCAGGTTGAAATGGCTGAGATGCCGAAGACATGGAGTTGGCGATTCCTAGTGCTGGGGATGCTGGGAGCATCATGCCTAGGGGCCTACATAGTAAACGGAAGTACCCAGGGGTTCAAGACCGCCTATTCTCGGACCACCAAATGCATTTTGACCGAATAATGCATTGGAAATACAAATACCGAGCTAATGCCTAATGGGGTATAGCGCGCGTTGACCGGGTCCAAATGCTAAGAATCGAGGTCCGTTTAATATCGACCTAAACATATATGCAGCCATTCTAGCGACAAAAGCTTATTGGCCACCATACAGGCATCGTATAGCTCCTAGGAGCTAGGTTGGACCTCCGCGGGATTTCTTGTTCGTTCCAGGAATCATGAATATAGTACGCCTCTAGTCTGTAAGCGCACGGTTCTACACCTCTTCTCGAGTTATTTAAGCCGCCCACCCAACTTATGGAATGGCAATATCTTTCGCACTTGAAAGGTTTTTGACCTAATTTTGCATTCCCACCCTCCTTTCAGAGACTCCACCATATCGTCGCTTTGGGCATTGCACACAACACCTAAATGGTGCAAACGCGCCAACAAGCCCGCCGAAAGGCACAGTCTGACATACTAAAGTATACCACCGTCAAGTCTGGCGTACAGAAGCTGCCTCGAACCCCAAAAGCCCCAAAAGGCAAGCATTTCAATGGTTCCCGAAAAGAACCTAGCCTGTCTTTACAGGTCCACAGGCTTTTGGATGACGATGCATCTGAAGACGATTTCAGATCCCTCCTAATGGGGAGCAAAGACCAGTTGGACTTTGTTCCGCCTCTCGCGTTTGACAATTTACACACAAAAAACGATGTCTTTCACCGTGCTATCCAAAAGCAACGGCTGGATGCTTTACCATGGATGCTTGAAAGACAAAATCTGGACAATTGGAACTCTCTCCATTTGGTGGTGGTTTACGACAACTTGGAGCTGGTGAAGCAACTTGGGGATGAGATTCCTGAACTCGGTTGTGTTGTTGATAGAAGTGGGCGGACACCCCTTCATCTCGCATTTACTAAATGCAACGCTCAAGTCGCTCGCTTTCTGTTGGAATCAGATTGCTGGAATAATTACCATGGTGTCGATCGAAACTGCGTTGGTCATTTAACGGTAGAAGCCCTTGCATTCGATTGCAGAAAGTCAGGAATGTGTGAATGGGCCAATTTGGTTGGATGGCTTTATAATGAGGGAGGGATGGTGACTGATACCAAGGATTCGAACGGCGAGACCGCCATTGACCTCGCCAGAAAACGGGATATTTTCGATGTTAGAGTGAAATACCCGTTGATGGGAAGGAAATGAATTGCCATTATCTTCGTTTCATCACTTCAGTCTTCCCGCCATTATTTCAAAAGTTGATTAGTCCTATTCAATGTTCAAAGTCAGTGCCTTCATCCATTTGCTCCCAATTCCTAGGGTGATACGTGCAATTTTTGAGCACGATTGGTAGTTCAACAACCTTAAGACTTCTTTTGATAATGCTGCAAACCGCCCATGTGCAGTATATTACCTTGTTTAATGAATGACTTTCAACTGGGACCAGCACTTATTCTTTCGCCTATATAGGTGGGGTTTCTGTCTCATTACCATAACCAGTGATGTATACTGTACTTATATCTAGCTTCATTTCTTCAACTTTTGTGTAAGGTATGAGATAAATCGTGAATGAAAGTCGTATTCATGTTTCTGAGAATTACGGACCCACTGGTCGTGCTATGTTCTTGTTACAATACTTTTCGTGATCTTGCAACAAGCGAAGTCAAATATAGTTAGCGTGTTTCAGGATAGTGATAAGGTGATACTGATTTCGATCACGTCTGTAAAAAACCAGTTGTTTACGCAGATTCGAATGTACCAAGGAATACGGCTGGGGCATATAATGAGGGAGAGTGATGAATTGAGGATCAATTAGTTGACGCTCCAGTGGCCATGTTTGCCATCTCAAAAATGATAATCTCGACATAGTAAATTCAGGGGTTAAACCATGATTGACTGTTGTCTAGACGAGTGAATGGTCAAGTCAATACAGTGGTATGTATCCGAAATCAGTTTTAACTCTAATCTCTCTTTCTTTATCCCCTAGGCCCCACCCCAACCGCACTAGTTCATATCAAGACATCTTTCTGCCAACCTTGCGTTTGTCCTGATTTAGAGGGGATTATATTTCTTGGCATTTCTCACAATGTAGGGAACTAGGACGTTAGTGTTGGATCATCTGTGCCGTTCATTTCGTCGCGGGCGTGAAGAGGCTCGCATGGGTTATATGAAAGTCGTTATTATCTTGAAGGGGCTCGTGTTTATTCGAACTTATGATAAGCTAGGTTTTTCCTGACGTCATATATAGATACCATGTGACCAAGACAGGACCTGGGTGTGACACGCTGATGACGCTCTATTTAACATGACTACAACAACCAGGTTCAACCTCGTTCATGCAGTATATGTATACGATCGCAGTTGGTTAGCGTCGCCATCATGGAAAGATTTTGAAACTACAATTTCGAAATCTCTGGGTTCGAATCCCAGCACCCTCACATTCCTTAACTGTGTTGCTCGGCAGCAGGGCAAGTGGTTTACGCCCTGTAACCTGCAGAAAAGTGGTCCTGATACAGGAGATGTGGGGTTGGTCACCCCACATCTTCTGGGGTTCTCGGGTTCGAATCCCAGTGCCGGCAACTCCAAAAACCCACCATCACGTCTCTATGGAGAGAGACACATCATACCGGGGTAGTGGAATTACCCCAGCCTTTTCACAGGTTAAAGTGGAGACAATCACAGGCCTTACCAGGTGAGGCTCAAAGTTCACCGTTCAGGAAGTTTGGTACAATCTCAGTGGATCATACATACCTGTATTTAAAAAGTAGTGGTAGCCTGCATATCGTTCGCGAAGTTGTGGAGCTTTCATAACAAAATCGTTGATAGCTCTAAACTCTCTGCATGTCCACTGTAAAGAAGCTTGTATTTCAAAAGTATTTTACATTGATTGTGGGGGTTGGAATTGCTGACGATTTTTTGTATTGTTCCTCTGCTGGATTTGGCTGCACCGGCTATTTGAGGCATTTAGACGGGTAAGTTTTAGCGCGTATCTCGGCGCGTATAATGTGCAGATGATTAGCAGACCGTGTAACCCAGGCTTGCAGATTTACTTGAGAGCCTATTTGGATGCTTCGGCAGAATGAGAATCTGAGTGAAAACCTCTCCCTGCTTCGCTGAATTCCTTCCGTAGCCATTTCATTGAAGCCCTGAGTGTATCATCTCAACTCCGAGCTGCATTTTTAGCATGCTTTATGGAGAGTAATTCATTCTTCATCCACTTATACCGAGCTCTGATCCATTGTTTTCAAGCGTACTTTGTGCGTGATTCCCCAGCTCGCTGTCAATCGCTCCTTGAAAAGTAATTGTATTAATTTGATGATGTCCCTCCACCACGCCATTGGTCCCCGCAGGAGTGGCAGGACGACTACCTAGAGAATTACCAATTACAGTACTCAACTGAACTCCCCACTCTCCATCGGAAGTAGTCGTCAATGAATGCCGATGCACCTCCCTGGGAGTCGACGGGCTGGTCGACTAGGTCGGCGTTGAAGAATGCAAACAAGATGGGGGAAAGTGGTGATCCTTGAGCTAGCCCAGCGTTCACCAGCGGAGCAGTCTCAGTGCGGAAGTCGTCAAACCCAATGTTGGCGTGCCGGTCGCTCATGAAACTTGCAATCCATTTTCTGGCCACAATCGGGGGAAAGTTCAAAAGCTTGGCAAGGTCTTGGCATGATGGCCTCAGCCGCGTTCCGCTCTTCCCGTTCTCCTCTCACAGCATCTCTGCACTGCACGAGATCGGTAAAACCTGCTTTTAGATGACGTGGGACAATTTGCGGATACAAGACATCGTATCCAGACTTGATATCTTGACTGCATCGCTCAATTCTTGGCAATCGCTGCCTCAGATGGCAGGCAACAACAACAACCTCGGAACAACAACAATAGCCGATTGGAGTGAATAACTGACCATTTCAACTTTGTTATTTGTGCAGAACTATCACATCGACCCCTTCGTCGCGGTATTACGAGCGAGTCAGCAGAAAGTGACCCTGCGTGGTTCCACAGAGCTGTTCACCTGGACGGACGCATCCTTGATCCGTTCTTATGACTAAAGTAGCTTCATTGATTTGTATTCGTTATTGCATGAAGCTTGAATCAGTTGTAAGTAGCCACAGGATCCCCGAGAACAGCCATCCGAGGAGTGACACCCAAGCCGGGCACGGTAGGGGCATTAAGAGCTCCATTCACTACATCGAAAGGCCCATCTGCGGTTTTCCCAACACACATATCCCGGTATTCCAGAATACAACGTAGGCTACGAGAGGGGATAGTTTGCGCCAAGTGTACAATCGCTGCAAAAGCAATATCCGATCCACTGGTGTCCTGGAAAGTCATCGTATGACCCGCTGCCAGACAAATATCTCGCACGCGACGGCCTCTAGTCAATCCTCTGCACATTGCCACGAAGGCCAGAACGGCAAGAGTCTATCCTCGATAACTAGGTGTCATTTGCATGTTTGCCGTGGTGATCAGTTGCTGCAAGGGGAACAGCGATTGGCCAGCAATTTTGAGACCGACGATCTCTGAGGCTTAGCTTATGGTCTATTCTGGCTGATCAAAGTTAAGTTGCCAGTTGAAACCAACACAGATAAGTATGAGGTCTCTACATTCTGGAATTAGATTAAGTAGTTAAGATATGCCAAGCCTGTTCGGGAACTCACTAACAGGTCTCTTAGCCAAGGCCAGCCCCTCCAGCTGCTCGAAGAATACAATTGCTATGCCGGGATACACGACTCTCTACTCCAGAACCCCTCGCTCTTTCCTTTTCGCCGTGGTGGCCAATGTCGGTCCCGGCGGCACCAGCCGCTGCCTGGCCGTGGCCTACCGCCAACACCACGACGAATATAACTCACAGATATCCTGGGATCGAGTGCAATGTATGGTGACCGACACTCTTGCGCTGACCGAAGTCCTCTCGGATCCCACGAACCGCGCGCCGCTGGAGGCTGAGAGGGCGCTCGCGGAGGACTGGTATCGTCGGTCTCAGGGCCGGGAGCCTCCGATTCATGAGCGGCCCAGCGTACCCGACACCGCGCAACCCCCGTTCGTGCCCTGGTACAAGCGGCGTGAGCCAGGGCAACAACAGCCCCCGCTGCCGTGGCGGGATGATGCGCCTAGCAAGTTTCCCTTCACTGCGACGTGTGTTTTGCTGGCGTTGTTGCGCGATACTCGCGACAACCGCACCCGCCCCAGCGACGTTCAGTTTCAGCCACTATCGACGCTGTTCCGGGCCGACTGCATTGAGTATGGCCTGGTTATTCTCGACATCTCTGACCTCGACAGCGGCGTCAAGTACGGCATCGTTGCGTTCCCCATGAACTACATGGCTGAGGTTGAATACGGCGGCGAGATGATCGGCTGGGATCCCGTCGAAGACCCCCAACCGGAAAAGGAGCCCGATGTTGTACTCGCAGACCCGCGGCCTCGAGAGCTGTTGTCAATCTCGCAGTGGGTATCGAAGCATTACTACTGGTCGGGCCTGGAGAAGGCGTCTTGCATCCTCAAACTAGAGGAGAGGCCGCTGGCTGATGCGGTAGCCTTGGATTGTACGTCTGTTCACCCGAATGATTTTGCAGGTGCTGACAGGGGGAATAATGGTAGATATCTGGCCACCAGAGCTGGATGATCCGACTCGAACATCTTCAGAAGGTGATCTCTGGCGCTATTCCATGTTAACCCATATCGATCACATTTGCTAATCTCTCCAACAGACTTCAGACATTCAATGATCGCCACCCAATCCCCGCCTGATATGGAAGGTTACACCATAGTAGACCAACCGCCGCAAAATGACCCCGTAGGCATAGTCCGCACCATTGATGATCTGCTTGTTCTCACCCAGGAGCCCGCCTCCGGTCCCCTCGAGAAGGAAGCGCTCGCCAACCTTCAAGTACTTGCTCAGTTCCGCGAGCAGCTGCGGCAGCGGCTCGAAGAGGCGCCAGAGAGGCTCGGCTCCTCCCAGATCTCCAGTCATGTGCTGCGCGTGGCATACGCTGGATGCCGTCACCTCAACTGGGTGGTGTTTGGAAACCTGCCGCCTCGCGTGATCGCGGCCGCCATTGCATCGGATGAACTTCAAGGTGCGTCTGCGCTCAGCCTCTGCCTCAATCCGTTCCAGCTGGTGGGAGATGAGGAAGATGGAGAATCAGACCTTGGTGACCTCGCCGCGGCCCTGGCACAGTCCACGGCCCTTCAACAGCTCTGCTTCTTGCAGCAGCCGGACCGGAACAGCGACGATGGCTCCGCTCATCCCTTTTCGGAGCTGTCTTGGCTGTGGTCGAGGGCATCAAGTGAAGACTCGGAGTCGCTCCGGCTGAGAACCATCCATTCGACCTCCGCTTTGTTAATTGGTTTACGCGGCCGCGAAGTTCGAGCAATATCCTCGCCGAGGAATTTGGGTTCTAGCTTCACCTCGGGCGCTCAAGTCGTTCCCATGATCCATCTGTTCACATTTGTCAGCCCCCAGCGCGAAGATGTCCGGGACGCAGCGGCAGACCACCACGTCGTCCACCCTGCTCGTCCCGGGTACAGTGGCCACTACTCCATGGATAATACTGGGTTAAACGCCGAGAGCTTCGCTGTCCGATTCTTGGTATACCTCCGATCCTTAGGTCCGGATTCGGATCCCGACCAGGCCATCTTGCGATTTGCATATCATGGGGCGTTCTCGTCACTCGCTTCCATCGACGAGGACAACAAGAACAACGACGACGACGAGCCCGCGTCGCCGCCCCGGGGGCCACCGCCGCGCCCACCGCCGCTCCAGTCATGGCCAGATCAATTGGGTGTCAGGCCAATCCCCGCTGGATTTTTCGATGAGCTAGCCCCCGACCACCCGTCCCGAGACCGACTCAGGGATATCTCCCCTGGGAGCTGGGTGGTTCTTATAGATAGACAAGACCGACGTGATCGATTCAGCGACGACCGCGCCTTCTTACAATACTCTTTTATCAGAATCCGTCGCTCTCCAGCCCCGAAGCAACAACAACAACAACAAAGACCGGCCCCCGTCTCTAGTTCAGTTGAGGTAGTCGGCGGGCTGACCGACTTCCTGCGCGAAACCGTACCAGAAACTGATATTACCACGTGGGAGAAACGGCTCGAGGAGGTAGAGATGGACTTGGTTTCAGCGTTGACTAGACCGAGCCCACCCAGTACCCCGTCATCGATGGAATGGTCACCGGGGGTGAACCCGATTGACGAGGTGCTGAGGCGCTTGACTTCACCTACAACTGAGAGCGCAGACAACGCCCCGCCAGAGACTGATCTTCCCACTGAGGAGGGACTGGTCGTGGAGGGAGAGAGGGAACGCTGCATCGGCGTTCGCGTCATGGCTGAGAGCCGGGTCCACACTTTACTGGACCAGTTACTATGATTTTACCCTATCTCTAAGCTATCATCGAGGCCTATATATCCATAAAAGCCCCTCTCTTTAGGCTATAGATCCCTCAAGATCCCGTCACAACTACCCTCTCAAGCTTACCATTTAAAGACCCGCCTCCTTCAGTCTAGCTCCGAAACGGAGAAAAGGAAGGAGCGGGGACTATTGGAATCCAGACACTTATATCCGAGTATTATATTATTTACAAGATAGGGCGATTAATAGAAGTAAATTGTCTAGATAACAAGCTGGGCAACGAGAAGTAGAAAAGTGCATTAGCCTGATATTTGGTTCTGAGCAGGCTGAGCAGCCTAATCTAGGCTTCTGACAAAATACGGCTAGCCTAGGCCTAGCGGGAAGTAATAGGGCCAAGCGAGAGCGTCTTTGACTTCTTTTTTCAGCTTCTAGTTCTTCTTTTGAGATTCAACACTAAAGAATGACATGGTATATTATTCACTCCTCTTCTAGATTCTAGATCTATCGACAAGGCCCCAGTATTCGCAGCAGCCAATCGCAGAGCCATTTCTAGCTGCGAGGGATCAGTTATAGGAAAGGGTTCCTAGGAATGCTAGCTTAATTCATTCAGTGGCAGATATCTAGCCCGAAACTAAACTAGATCCGTCAGCCGATGTCGTCGACTTGCGTCACACGGCGCGGCGAGTTGTTCGAGACCTAGGTATACCACACAAAAAGAGGTTGCCCGAAGGCTGGTGCGAATGTTGTTCCTGGGATCAAATTGGCACAGTATATGGAGGAACGAGGACAACGGTGAATTTTCGTGGTTCGTTTGCTGGGTGGTGTCGGCAGCGTTAGCGAGAGAACGTATGAGAGGGTGTAGAGGTGAGGTGGTACTGAATATCTCATGCAAGCCGAAGGGATCGAGTCAACCGATGGAAAGTTCGAAGAGGACAGCAAGTCACTGTAGCGACGTGGGAATACGTCATCTCCAGACCATAACTCCCAGGAACACCGGTAGGCAGTGCGGTTACCATCGGAGCAGGCGAAAGCTAGAAGGCAAGACGGAGGGTGAAGGGACTGATCAGGGGAGAGCACCGGGGTGAGCAATCAGGTTGCTCACTGAGCAGCTCAGGGTCGCTCAGTGGGCAGCTTAGGGCGGCGGGGTGACTAACTCACCCTGGAATCCGGGAGCCGATCACTTCCCGAGGCGGCAATGTTACCGTCAACATTATTACTAGATAAAAACCCCAAGGTACTGCGCCATCAATCAACCGGAAACCTCAAAACAACATGCAGGATCAGACAGTCTTAAGCCGACAAAAGCAAGAAGACTTGATTGGCACATCCGACCTAGCCAACCGAATCTTCAACTGAGACGCAAAAACCCTCGCCTCAGTCTTCCGACCCAGCTTAACCAAACACTCATGATACCCATGTGAAGCCCAAACATTATTGGGATGACGCAGAGCCCGTGGCAGCGTCGGTTCAATGCCCAAATCCGCGGCATAGACCGCCACCGCCTCGTCCACCCTCCCCTGTTCAAGTAACAACGCACCAAGCGCATGTCTGGTCGGCTGCATCCAGCCCCAAGGCTCATCATACGGCAGCGAATCATCTCGTTCAACTGCTGTGCGAAGGTACTCAAATGCTGTCTCATGTTCACCTCGCCGGTACGCTATCTCGCCATCCAGCATAGCCTCTCCGACGCCTAGGATATCGATGCAGCGGTTGTTAAAGAGCATGCGCGAGTCAGGCACCTGTTTCTTTGATTGCTGGAATAGCGTACGCTCTTCTTCTGCTTCCGGGACTTTCCCGGTGGCTGCGAATGCGACACCCTTGGCGTAGTGCATCATGGCCGTGGTGACGCAGTAGAGATTTGCATCAGCCGGTAGCTCCAAAGCAATGATATCTTCCCAGCGACCGAAACGAATCAACCCATGCATCTGCATCGCCACGAATCCTTCCAGCCAGTCAGCCATTGGAGGCAACTCAGTGCGCAGAAGCGGCTCAGTCAAGACCCGTGCCAGCTCAGCGCCAGTTTCGAGAGCAATCTTCGACTGTCCACCCAACATAGCAGCATACATCCTAAAATGGTAATCATGCGCGCGATACAGATTATAGAAATGACTCGTAGGCTGCCTCGCGAGGAACTTCTCATCAGCGCGAATAGCCGAAGTATTGGACACAACCGCACGACGATAATCGCCACACAAAATATCAATATGCGTTGGCATATGTTCCAAATGCCCAGCATCAGGAACAAGCCCACGCAAACAATCCGCGATCGGCAGCGCAATCTCGGGCGTCCCAGACATTTCCATGAGATGAATATATAAATGCAATAAACCAGGATGATTGAGCGCTTCATCTTGGGCAAGAACCCGATCAAGCGCCCTCTTCACCTGCATCGTCTTTGCGTCGGGGGCCGGCTGGCCCGTTTTCAAATCCCACAAGCTCCACGGCGTCAGATTCATCAGCGCGTCGCAGTACAGCGCCGTAATGTCATAGTCATCCGGGTAGTCATTATACACTACGGTAATCGCATCCGCATATGCTTGATTCCACACCGTGCAATCCTCCACCGGCAGTTCCTGCGGATAGCGAAACTGCAGCGCGTCGATAAGCGCAACTTCCAACGGCGATGTGGCGGGTGCATGTTTTTTCGCTTCTAGAACGGCACGATGTGCACGCGTCGTTGTAGCGGCCAGATCTTCGCCATCGAAGAGTTGCCAGGGCTTGTTATAATTCGGACCTAGGGCGAAGGCCAGGCCCCAGTATCCCATTGCGCATGTTGGGTCGAGGGAGACGACATTCTCGAAGCAGCGGATTGACTCTTCGTGGTTGAAGGCGTAGGCCCAGATAAGACCGCGGCTGAACCAGGTTTGGGCATCTTCGTTGTCGGTTGTTACTTCACGACGGTAGTCTCCGAGGTCGTAGTAGTCGGACATGTTGTGGTGGGGGAGAGTGGGGTTGAGGTGCGGATTGTATGTATGCAGCTAGCCATTTTGGTCATTTTGGTGCGATAAGGATAAGCTAGAACTACACAGACAATTGTATATAAGTAAGTTGTATAAGTTGTATATTGTACATTAACTTAAAGTAGTTAAATCATATATTCATCTCTATCTGTGAATTGAGCGTGAGCGAATTGATGCCTCAGGCCAGACCCACATTCCTACGCAAATCTGCTCACTTATGCTCGATCCCGCTCACCTTGGTGGCCAACCTTGCGGGTATATAGTCCTCTTCATTCTGATTTCCATTCATTCATTTTTTGTTACTTGTACATCCAAGATATCCCGAGTACATATACATAAGATTTCCCATCTTACCTTCTCATCTCATCCGATATCCACTCTATACAATGTGCGGAGAAAGCAACCGTCCAACCCTCGGAGGCACCATCGCCGTCCTCTTCCCACGAGAGAATAGAACAAGCCCAAGTCCCTCAGAGATATCTCGGTCATCATCGCCAGAATCAATCTCATCGTTTTCGTCTACGTCATCAACTGCTTCAATGTCTTCATACTCGCTCTTCTTCCGCGACACAGACCCAACAACCCAGAGAACGAAAGCAATCTTTCGAATGGATGATACAGAAACATATCACACGCTTCGGGAATGTGGACATGTCGATGTGCGGATTGAGTAAGACCACTCCTCGTGAAATAAAATACATTTTGAAGTGACAGAAACTTATACTTCGAACAGGAAATATGGTGATATCTCCAATACATCATTGAGCAATAGTCCACTTCACCAATTCCGATTGGAGATGGCACAAGACAGAAACTCGAAATCAGCGAGTCAAACTGAAATGGAGTTCGAGTTGCCCCAACGGCTGGACCTAGGCGTCTCGGAGAAGGGTGTTATTGGCCGGCAGGTGACGGTCAGAGAGGTGGGGGGATCAATCCTGGGGATTGGAGTTGTGGGATACAATTAGATTGTTTTACGGTTGATATCTTGGACATACATTAAGGGCTTAGTGGGAATGGAGTTTGCTTTTCTATTTGCGTGGAATTTCTAATTCTGTCTACAGTGGCGGCCGTTATTGCCTTCCATGTCGGAAACATATAGACTCTCATTTAAACCCCCTAATCACATGATACGCTAAACCTAATATGAATTGTGTGTAAAAGACCGGTTTTGTACGTACAGTGTAATAATACCTAGTCTCGCATGATACCCGTATGAAAGACGACCGGATTACCATATCCTCCAACCGTCAATGTTCTTCCAGCACAAAACGGAAGTGCTTCCACGGTTGCTTCGTCCCTACCTCCGCCTTCACCTGACGAGCCTCTTGTAATTCCTGGGCTTCGTGAAGCAGCTCGTCGTCGGCAGAATTGTGATTCATTAGTCATTATTCGCATCTGGAAAGCCTGTGCGGGGGCGGCCTCGGGGACTCGTCAGCTTGTGTAAACCGATAAAACTTAAAGAGAACTCTTCAGGCCGATGGCCTCATAAGAAGACAACAATCTATCCTGAACGACAAAATCACTTGTCTCATTGCAACTCTGCGCATCATGCGCTACGGACAATACCAAATTACAAATTGGTAGCCCTCATCACCTTAGTACAAAGGGAGGAGGGAGGCTTGGAACTAATAAGCCACATAATGCTAAAGATATGTACCGTGGCAAATGGCACTCATGATAGTAAAACGGCCAAATAGATTAAATAATTAATAGAGACGAGGGGAGGCCCGAAACGTAGACATCTTTGCACTCGCTAGACAAAGGCTCTACAGCAGACTTTTGATATGTCTGATATTTCTGCATCATAAGCTCTCAATTCTGCGCACTCTATATCTTAGACTAGTTGTTTCTCTTCCATAAACTCCTCCAGAATTTTATTGACTTCATCCACCTTCTCTAACTGCAGCCAATGCCCACCATTCACATTCTCAACTTTGAGATCAGGGACGAGTGGCCGCATCTGCTCCGGAAAATTGGCCGTGACAGTGATGATGTAACTGGTAGAGGCGATTAGCAAGGTTGGGTGTGTTAAGGTGTGAGCGGATGTGGGAATTTCTGTATTGCATATTAGTAGGATGCGAAAATTGTAGGTGGTAAAGAACAAGTTTCAGGGGAAGAAGTTGAATGGGAAAGAAAGGGAGACGGAAGGTACAGAGTGAAGTGGTACATACTCTTTTCATCTTCTTCATTGATATTACGCAGATTAGCCCTGTACCAGTTGATTGCAGGGCCATAGCCACCTTTCTCGAAGGAGAAGGCGTGTTGATAATGTTTATGGTCCTGTTCTATGTAAGCTAATTTGGAAACCCCATGTATTACAGCTAGAAATCTTACTTCTGATGTCAGATAGGCCGGCAAATCAACAATCTTGCCCTCGGCTAACCAAGTGCGCAAACCGCCTGGGGTGCCCTTGTATTTCTTGTTGATTTCGCTGTCGTTGGCGAAGAAAAGCGATTCCAGGGATTCGGACTACAGTGTGGGTCAATATTTAGCAAGCCAGAATTTGCAGAGTTTAAAGGGAACTTACATGTTCATTTAAGAGCTTCGGAGCATCCTCTTCGTTAAAAAATAGGAAATACCCGAAGATCGAAAAACCAAGCTTGGCTTGCACCGAGCTATTGATATGTTGTATCACCGCGGTAGTGAGGCTACGGCCAGGGGCACTATATCCGTGGTCGATGAAGACATAAGCCGAAAAGCGCTCTGGATGATAGTTCGCTAGACGTGACAAAAGGAACGATCCCCTGGTGGAAGAAGCGTTAGCATAATTGCGCGCTAATTCGGCACACCTTCTGAATCTCCTTTCGTTTAGAAACCACATGAATGTGACAGCCGGCAGCAAGACAGAATGAATTGCAAGACATACCAATCATGTGCCACGCCCACCACCACTCTAACACCCTCTAAGTCCATGATCTCAACAATGTCCCTCGCCATACCTTCACCCTTATACATCTGTAACTCACTCGGCTTCGACGTCTCCCCGAACCCAAGTAAGTCCGGAGCTAGGATTCCATAACCCTTTGCTACGAAGAAGGAGATCTGATGACGCCAGTCGTGCGAGGTAGAGGGGAAGCCGTGTAGGAAGAGAATGTATTGAGTGTTGGGGAATTGGGGTAGGATATGGATGTAAGAGTAGGTAAGTGCGCGCGCGGTAGTGTAAGTTGAGTGAGGGTAGGCCATGGTTGATTATACTTATTGGGTGGAATGTAAATTATTATACAATGAGTTTCTGATGAAGGTGAGGGGGAAACTGACTTATATATACATTTAGTCCGGTAGATAAAGAGTCGTTCTAGATCAGTACCGGCATACTAGGCATAGAGTCGCTAAGACTACTAAGGGCTCACTCAACCTACAGTTATTGGCTCCAGCGTAACATTGCAGAACACCGACGTCATGACGAGCATGGGCTTCTATGCACTTTTAGCCCAACAAGGCTGCAGTGCGATATTGAAATTAAAAGAAAAAAAAAAAAAAAAAATCTTCGATACGCTCTGAAGACTGCGATTTGTTGTAATGTCTTCCGACGTCTTGCTGTACTTTAATACGAACACTTGTATTGGAAGCACATAGATGTTTTAGTGTTATCCACATGAGGTCGTGCACAGTATTGCAACTCTTGATCATTTACTGGGTATTTTCGGTTTGTTTTTATCGCATTGTAAGAGGCCCTTCATCTACAAGTCGGCATGAACTAACATCTCACTCATTTAAAAAAATTTTCGATTTATCAATTGTTGCTGTTCGACCGAAATGCCACTAAGCAATTGACTTGAGCAGTGAGCTGAAACATAGCACTGGCAAGTAGATGATATCTAGTAGATAAACTGCCAACCTGGCAGTTCGATCCGGCATGAGTAGAAACCGCGAGTGTCCTATCGTGCCTCGAGTAGAGGTTCTCAAGTATGGCACATCCAGCCTGGATATGCATCTCCGTCCGGCTATCGGGTCCTAGGAGAAACTCGATATAGCTGAAGACAACGCTCGTTAAGACGGCAAGCTCTAGACTTTGGGAAGATCCATCAAGCCGACGGCGGAGATCCTGGATGGCTGTATTATAATGTCGAATTGAGAACGCGATCGCCGGGCGTGTGTGCCATATGTCAGGATGGTAACGGCTGCTGGTCAAGGCCCCGATCGCTAGGGCCGCATGATGCATTGCTGGTTCGGCGAGGGTGGCCTGGAGGATGATGTTTTTCCATGCGGGGAGCTCGAAAAATAGAGAGAACTCCCCAGCACAAACGACTTGGAAGTACTCCATGTGCACATTTTCGCCATCTAGTAAAGGCCTGACAGAAGGGTATCGCAGACCACGGATGGGCGGAGTCATCCCGTACTGCGGTGCTTCAGAGGGAGACGACGAAACGAAGTCACATTTCCAGCCCGCTCTGATACAGGATGAGCAAGCTGGCCTGGCCTCATCGCATTTCTTATGCCTCGTTCTACCGCAAGATTTACAAGCTGATTCAACTGGGTACGGGCGGAGCTCACTCACTTGCATGTCAAACATCCCGTCCTGACTTTCCGAACCCCCCGAGCGCCATGGCGTAATTTTCTTATCATTACTAGTCCATTACTATGGTGACTCAAATCATGACGAAGGATTGCTCCGCGTGTCTGAGGAGCGAGATCCAGGAGGATGTTACGAGCGAGAGAGAAATAATTAAGGCGTAAGCCTATGAAGGAGACCAAGACTAAGGGCCACCTTTGGACGTCATGATTGGCTGAAGCGTAAGTTGATACACGCTAATGTCGGTTAGCGGGTCTTCCTAAAATGAATTTGTCACGGCCGCATGTAACTACTGTGTTTACGGCCGTTCAGTCTATCTCAGGCTGTAGACAGGAGGGCGTCTAGCATCACCGGAGAGATGCTTAGACGGCGGCTAGGAGTGATGTGGTGGGGTGTGTCTAGAACGGCCGAACAAGCGCAAGGTCTTGCGTCTGTTAGTGATAGAACGCTCACTACACTTCGCCGCTTTGGCCATTTGTGATGTAGTGAGTTTGTTCTTGCTGTGTACCATATGGACAATCATCGTACGCTGCCAGGAACTGAGGTTTCGCGCCATTTGGAACCGGTTAGAAGGTTTATTAGTGGTCGGAGTTAGGATGATAGAAGCTGCGACAACGGTATGGTGGGGTTGGTTGTAATAATACACCACAATACAGGTTACATAACATTTTTACTGTTCGGCATTATACCATTCTAACTTGAAACATTTACTTAAATACAACGCTAACCATATATGGATTGAAGTATCATGTGACTAGGGTTTGAAACAGCATCTTTATGTTTCCAACATGGAAGGCGATATCGGGCGCCACAGTACCACTTCCATATGTAGAATTGAACTACCTTTACCAGAAAAGTATCCATCACTGTGTTGGTATGAGTGAAACACAGCTTAAAGCTTCAGGGGGTTCTCCACGCCAGCATTGTACCGCTTCTCGGCTTCAGCCCAGTTAATAATCTTCCAAATCCCCTCAACGTATCCGGCCTTGTTGTTCAGATACTAAACAAAGACAATCAGCATAAATCACACAACGGGATGACCGTGCTAAACTCACCTGCAGGTAATAAGCATGCTCCCACATATCAACACCAAAAACAGGAACATCAGGACCATTAACGGGATCCTGATCCTTAGTAGTAGTAATCTCAAGACGACCCTTGGCACCACCCTTACTAACAAGCCAACCCCAGCCACTACCCTGTAAACCAAGAAGCTCAGCACCGAAAGCCTTAACAAAGGCCTCGTGCGAGCCCCAGCGAGAGACGATAGCTTCGCGGAGAGTGGGTGCACCGGCGATATCATTACCGGGTGTTCCGGGTGGAGTCAAGTTCTTCCAGAAGAGGGAGTGATTAATGTGACCACCGCCATTGAAGCGGATCTTCTGTTGCAGGGCGATGAGGGAGGGCACATCATTTGACTGGGTTGCTGTGACTTGTGCAGTGAGCGCGGCATTGAGGTTGTTCACGTAGGTTTGGTGGTGCTTTTGGTGGTGGAGCTCCATAATCTGCTTGGAGATGATGGGTTCCAAGGCCTAGGAGAAGTATTAGTGGTTTGAGTTTTGTACGTGGGAATGGATGTAGCTTACATCGTAGCCGTAGGGGAGAGGAGGGAGGGTATGGGTTTGCGAGGCCATGATTGTATATGTGAGGATGTTACGATTAGGGGTTCGAAACAGAGGGGAAGAAGACAGAGGGGAGGAAATGAGAGGATCAAGATAAAAGGAGCCCGAAAGGTCCCCCCTCCTAAGCACGCAAGTTGAGGCCACCAAGGTATTTCCCGAATGGGCGAGTGGGATTGAGCACATTTGCTCTTATTTACTTTGATTGGCGGGATAGGTGGTGTTGACCCATCGACATGTATCTTTCAGTATATGGAAGCCATTCCACTGCTCCATATTTCCGCAGATGATGTTATCTCATTGATGTCGCTTTAATATGTACTTTGATCGAGGAAACAAATGGAAACCGAAGATCCCAGATGGATCCAGACAAAGTGGTAAATTGAACACTCTCCAGATGCTCTTACATGATCTTACATGTATCTAGAGCTCACGCATAGTAATATTCGGCAATGTATGCTCGATGAAAGATTACCCTTCATTGCACGTTGAAAGTTCTATACATGCATGTACTGCATGGTCGTTCTTGGCGCCCTACTCAGGCCCCGTCCCGTCTAACTGGAGGTACTTGAGCCACATTTAAACATATGTCTAACAACTTACATCTACATGTACTAATATAACGGAACAACAATCACCATGAAGACATTTACATTCCATACTTCGAAGCTTCCAAGGTTTGCACCGTTTTGTGCAGATTACTAATCCCCCCAAGATTTGCGGGGTCAACCGCGAGCCTCGGTCAAATCGGCGCAGGCCAAACAGCTAACCGGGACCGAGACTATTTGAAGCTACAGCTTCCCCCTTCAATTAACCCCCAAATAAAACCAAAATGTCTGCCGAAGAACAAGTCAAGCTCAGCAACTTCTCCGACATCTTCTCCGTCGAGGGGAAAGTCGCCGTCGTAACAGGCGGATCCCGAGGCCTAGGACTACACGCAGCCTCAGGGTATGTCACGCTCCCCCAAAAGCAAGCCACAAACTAAAACAAAATACAGCCTCCTCCAAGCCGGCTGCTCAAAAGTATACATCACCTCCCGCAAGAAGGCAGCATGCGATGAAGCCGTCGCAGCACTAAATGCCCTGCCAAACAAGCGGCCCGGCGCACAAGCCATCTCCGTCCCAGCCGACAGCGCAAAGATGGAAGAACTCGACCGGCTTGTCGCCGAGGTGAGCAAGACAACTGACCACGTCGACATCCTATTCGCGAACGCGGGCGCAACATGGGGCGAGAAGTTCGATACGCACCCGGAGAAGATGTTTTCCAAGGTGATGGACTTGAATGTGAAGAGTGTCTTCTACACGATCCAGAAGTAAGTTCAAACCATCCCAATCAAGGATTCAAACCAAAAATGCATAAATATGAGATATGATATAGAATCTAACATCAACCAGATTCACACCCCTCCTCACAAAAAAAGCAACCCTCCAGAACCCATCGCGCGTAATAATCACAGCTTCAGTAGCAGGCATCGGCATCGGCACCGTAGGCGAAAATGCCACACCATCCTACTCAGCTTCAAAGGCCGCAGCAATCCACATAGCAAAGAACCTAGCCGTGGAACTGGGACCACGTCATGTCTTGACGAACGCTATCGCCCCTGGATTTTACCCGTCCAAGATGGCCAGCGGACTCATTGAGGCGAAGGGGGGTATGAAGGAGATGGAGAATTATTCGCCTAATGGACGGCTTGGAAAACCAGAGGATATTGCTGGTTTGGTTGTCTTCCTCAGTTCGCGCGCGTCGAGTCATTTGAATGGGGCTGTTATTACTACGGATGGTGGTGCTGTTCTTAAGGGGAGGCTCTAGGTTGAGTGTATATGTACATGTACACGAACGGTTAAGCTATATAGGCCCATCTTCTGTCTTTTTTATACGGAAATGGAAGGCGAAAGACCGTTGAACAGAGTACCAGAATTTATATTCATAACCCATGTATCGCTATGTACATATAGACCAAATAATTAGAGCTTTGCACTGATCGAGCCTACACGGCCCTGCACGGCCCGGTCTACAACCTCCATTGCCTGGAGAAGTTCGTAATCATGCTGCTTGGGGGTCACAACTTGGACACTGAGAGGTGATCCCAAGTATACACGGCGGTCGGTTGTCTTTTCGTTCCCTGTAATAAAACCGTTAGCGACCTTACGCAGAAGTGTGATACTGAATTAGGACTTACACAGTTGCCGGTTAGCCTTGTCCCAACTACCCAGCACAGGCGCGTCCATATCCCGTCCAGTCTCCAGATCTGAGTCCGCGAATGGACGAACTGGAACCACACCCGCTGGATAGTCCAATAGGACAAAAGTAGATGTGTAACCAACAGCATTGTACCGATCAAGCTGCGGCACCGGGTGCGGAGCCACAGGGCAAATGATAGCGTCAACACGTCTGGTTTTCGACGATCCGTTTGATAAAGTCCACATCTTCAGCATCTCCTTTTCAACTTCAGCACGCTGGGCTTGCAGTCCAGCAAGCTGAGGGATGGTCAGATCTTTGCCGCGCTTCATACGGCCCTGCAGCCAAGGGGTAAGTTCCTCGTCCATGCTCTCGATCAAATTGAGCATGTGAGAGCCATCATCAACACCCATGAGCCGGCCAGCGAGGGCTTGGCATTTTGGCAAGACGGAAGGAACGGGGAGCTCGACAACTTCAACGCCGGGGGTATGACGAAGTGTCTGGGCGACTTCATCTAGGATACGGGTGATAGGCGGGAGAGGGGTGACGAGACCATCAGTTTTGAGTACGCCGATGGTAAAGCCGCGAGGAGGAGAGAGTGACCTCGGCACAGGATGTGAAGACCACGAGCCTGGAATTCCATCTTCGCCGAATAATTCTGCGCGCGGGACGATCTCCGCCATGATGGCATCGATATCAGCGACGGAGCGGGCCAACGGCCCAGCCACAGCTTGCAAACCAATCCGGCCCTTGCCTTCAATCTGGCCATTCATCTGACCTCCAAATGGTACACGTCCCAAGCTGGGCTTGAACCCATAGATACCCTGACACATGGCTGGAACACGGATACTACCACCGATATCCGTACCAAAGCCGACCATTGACCCACGCATGGCGATCAACGCCCCCTCGCCACCGGTGCTACCCCCTGCAGTCCATTGCCGATTCAGAGGGTTCAAAGTGCGCCCGAAGAGGTGGTTGCAGCTGTCCAGTGTCGCGAGTGTTTGAGGGATGTTGGTCTTGGCGATGATGACCGCGCCGAGGGATTCGAGAAGATCGACTAGAGGAGCGTTCTCTTTGGCGGCCTTAAATGCTAGTGCAGATAGTCCGATACTCGAGTCCACTCCTTGTACGTTGAATGTATCTTTCACCGAGATTGGTAGACCGTGCAGAGGGCCGACCGGGGTTCCCGTGCGCTGGAGGTGGGCATCTAGTTCCTGGGCTCGCTTCAATGCACGGTGAAAGAGGGGCTCGGTAAGACAGCGGGTGAGTTGGTGAGCGATTGCTGCTCTCTATAATAGTCGTTAGCCGATGAGCGGGAAGCAAGGAGATAGCAGATGGCATACCTTACAAAACCCGCGCACCACCTCTTCAGCCTTGAATCTTCCCTCCGACATTTCTGCAACAAGCCCCCGGATATCATAATTCTCAGTTATATCCAACTCCTTGGCAGAAAGAAGACCACAAGTCCGTGGAATTTCCATCACGCTCACGCGTCCATATTTCTTCGGGCCCTCGGTAATCGATTCGGCGACAGAGAGCATACCCTCCGGAATTGCGTGATCGGGTAGACGCCATTCAGGAGGAATAGCAGCAGCAAGCTCTGCTTGCTTGCGTTGAGCAATTGCAATATATCGGGGTTGGGAAGACATGGTGCGTGAAGAAGAGAAGTGGGGAGAAGGTTGGTTTTGTATGCGGGGAGTGCGGAGACAGCCTCGGTCCCAGAGCCGACTACCGAACCACGGGGATCTAAGGTACATGATTAGTATGTTGGAACAATCTAGAATAGTACATATGGTAGTTGTAGAGTAAAAATATATTTGAACAATGTCTTTTACACTGGCTTTCATCTCTTCTGCGCCTCTAAGAAAATGGCACCATAAGAAACTGTGTAGATATCTCAAAGAAGTCGATTCCTCTGCTTAATGTGATTTTAGCGAATTTGGCTATGTTGATACTCTATAGATGGGTCACCAGAGAGCGGCAAGAAGCAAAGAGGAAGAATGTGAATATTCCACTTAAATGCCGCATTGTATGTGAGTTTCATCACCGACAAAGGAAAGGGAATTTAAGGAGGGGAGAGTATAGAACCAGGGACCGTTCAGGGTCACCCCATGTCGTAACTCAGAGTTCCGTATTAGAGCCCAGTATCGCGTGGTTCCATTGTCGGGGTCCACCAATCCGAGCAAAACTATGGCTAAACTTCTATAAGCCTTGGCTCAATCCTTCGAATCTATGTTTTGTCTTAATTATAAACGCCCAGGGCCAAGGCGTGGTTTGGTGTTATGATCTTGAGGCTTAAATGTTCTGCTTGTAAGTGCAGTCTCGAGACGTATTAGACAGTTGCATGACATATTATATAACACTGTGCGATCTAACTGAAGGATTGCGCCTCGAGCGGCCCACGCGGTCTACGCTCAGTGCCAAGGAATCCCGCCTCTCATACCCCTTGCTTGGGTTTATGGCGGTAAGCTTACTATTTCTTATTAGGCTAAGCCTTAGTGAAAACCTTGAAATAGCATCATCCAATAGTAACATTCGATCTGGGGGTCCGGGTGTGGAAAGTGCCCAGACTCCCGGGATGGCCGATAAAGAGATACGCGATTTGACCAATTATGGCGCCATCACTGTCATATTGACCGTTACTTAGTTTAGCCAAATGGAAGTCGGAAAGACAAAAAAAAAGCAGAAAAAAGCCACGTGCATTTAAATACTGCAGGGATCGCTGATCTTAACTTTTCTCCCATGCACCTCACTGTACCTCACCGTACCTCACCATGAATGACATTGAAAAGAAAGAGCCTGACTACGCGCTGGGCGTGGATGTCGATGGCTCTGATTCCATCGACACCATCACTGCCCTGGTGGCCGAAGGTTTGATACAGTGCATGCAGATCCCGTACTACAGAGCTGACAGACCCCAGATCATCAGCATGAGATCAAACTTCGGACCATGTCATGGCACAAGACCGCCTTTTTACTTGCCGGCGAACAGGTCTGCCTGGCGATTATGGCCCAGTCGTGGTCCCTCTCGTGAGTTATCATCCATACTCAATATGGGGGAAACTGACCGGAAGTTTAGTGTGCTGGGATGGGTACCGGGGATCATCACCATGATCCTATGCGCCTTAATATTCTGGTACACCTCAATGACGATGCACAAGTACATCATGAAATACCCACAAATCAAAGATATCTGTGAGTGCAGGATGCGACTCGGCACAGTTGTGCCTCGATGCTAACATTGGATGGGTAGGTGACTTCGGATACTACATCTTTGGAAAGAGCAAGGCCGCATGGTACTTCTCTGCTTTCATGTTGCTGGCCAATAACATCCTGCTCATTGGGTTCCACATCTTGACCGGCGCCAAAGTCTTGAATACCCTGTCCGATCACTCGCTGTGCACAGCCGTATTCTCAGTGATTACCACCATCATGGGAATTATCATGTCCATGCCCCGGACACTGCACCATGTCAGCTTCATGTCGATGTTCTCATGTAAGTGATTACTGCCATCGGTCCAGTCACCACTAATCATCCACAGCCGCCTGTATGGGCATCGCTATCATCCTGTTCCTCGTTTTTGCCGGCATAGAACAAGCCCCCCTCTACGGCTACAAGGGCAACTACCCAACCGATGGCCTCGTCAGGACATATGCATTCCCCCGGCCGGGAACAACCTGGGTAGCGTGCATGAACGCCGTACTGAACATCACCTTTCTCTGGGTCCCGCAGATTCTCTTCCCGACTTTCATCTCGGAAATGGAAAAGCCCCAAGACTTCCCCAAAGCCTTGGCTGTTCTTACCGCCATATCCTGCATCCTGTTCATTGTGCCACCTGCTATTGGCTTCCGCTACCTGGGTCAATACTCCACAGCTCCGGCATTTGGTAGTCTAGGCTCAATCGCATACAAGAAAGCATCATTCGGCTTCGTCATCGTACCCACCCTGATCATCGGCGTGATCTACGCAAACGTGACTGCAAAGCTCATCTACACCAAGACCATGGGTACATCCCGACACGCGCATAGCAACACCGCCATCGGATGGGGAGTCTGGGGATTGATCATGGTCGGAGTGTGGCTGCTAGGATTTGTGTTCGCAGAGATCATCCCAAGCATGGGCGACTTCCTCTCCCTGCTCAGCGCGGCCTTCGATTCTTTCTTCGGATTCATTTATTTCGCCATTGCTTACTGGCAGCTAAACCGTGGATCATTATTTGCAGGTCTGGGCAAGACAACTTTGACCCTGCTCAATGTTTTCATTTTCGGTGTTGGGCTATTCATTCTGGGTCCTGGGCTTTATGCTGCCGTGGAGGCTATTATTGATGATTACTCGACAGCTGTGACGCCGGCCTTTACTTGTGCTAATATGGCTATTTAAGGGAGGCATGTACATTGCTCGGTTCGGATCCATGATTATGTTTGATGACTTGGCCGGTCTTGCTTAAATGAATGAGACAGATGCCGGCTATGACAATTAGGTCCGAATTGCTCCGTTTTTGTGGAGCTGCACGATTTGCTCTGTTTATTAGGGTCAATTAGTATTATGTAGATTCTTGTATATATCTAATGCCGACAGGTTAACCCGGACCGAGATGAGTTAACTTGGCATGTGCCGTTGTTGGAACGGCCAGATTTCGAAGAGAATTCCCCTTCTTGTACAATGAAAAACTAATGAAGATAGGACACTAACTGCGCCTTAAAGTTGCAATACATTTCCAACATCTGTCTGTATTTCTAAACAACATATTACTGATTTACATTCTCGATATCACATAGTTTACCAAGCCATACTAACGTGACAAGAACAACAGTTTAAATTTCCTCAAGTTTCTCATATTCAAAGTAGCGCCTGGATCCTGCGTGGAAGGAAAGAAGTTGGAGAAACGGCATTGCGAATCGTTCTCTTTGTATCTCACTTCAGCGTATACATGAGAGTTCCATATCCAAGTTGATCAAACCCGCCGCTAGTTGTCCCATAATAACCACCTCCACCTTCAGCCCCCGAGCCATCGCTCACCACCAAGTCACGGTACTTTTGAGTGTAAGTGACATCCAGTCCCTTCAAAACTCCGTAGTGGTTATAGAGAAGCTCCCAGATCGGGCGAATGTCGCCTCGACTACTGTTACTGATAACAGTTTGGGTGACATCGCTGTTAGTATATGTCGTGTAAGGAACATCATAGCCAAGGTTGTATTTCGCAGCATATTCAGCCCTGCAATGAAATCAGCAAATGCAAAATGCGAAGCAATAACCCAAAGAGATAGTGCAACAAACCCAGCAAGAATAATGTTGTCAAGATAACCAAACAGATCATCCCCCTGATTGTAAGCCATCTGAGCAATAGCCCCCAAAAACGCAAAATCAAGCATAGCATGACCCTGATCCCTTCCAGCCTCCTGCCCCTGCCCAAGGGCCTGTCCATCAACAGTATAAATCTTCCAAATAGCATTCTGAATCTGCCCATTCCCAGCCCCATTCTTGAAATACTCAATCCCCTCCTCATATATAGTCCGATTATCGGATAAAACCCCAATAGAAAGCACAGAAGCAATATTGCATAAATCCCAATTAGCCCAGTAATGATCAATAGCGGCAGCATGATGATCTCTCAGAAACTCATGGCTTAGAGGATAAAACACATCAATCATCATACTAACAAACCGATTGAAATCACTAGCCGGCCATCCACTATAATCGCGCATGATTTCAGCTACATTTGCGAATTCATATCCGTATATACCTGCAGCGAGGTACATATCGGTAGAACCAGAAATCTGCGTGAGGGTATTCGACCAATCATCCAGAATGGAAATAGCTTTATCGGCATAAGTGGTGTCCCCAGTGATCTTCCAGTATAGAGCGATGGCATACGCAGCGGCGATATCTTTGTAGAGCGATGGGTAGTTCTCAGCGTGGGTGCCGTCGCTTCCTCGGTAGACGATATCTTTGGGGTTATCGGTGTAAGTCAAAGAAGTGAATGAGCTTTTGGTTAATTTGTTCCAGCCTGTTATCCAGGGCTCGATTTTGGCGTTGACTTTTTCGCTTGTTCTTTTGAAGTCGGTGGCCGTGTGGAGGAGGCCTGGATGGGTGAAGGTGTTGGCACGGGTGGAATGGGGGCTTTTGTGGGCATTTGATAGGGTCAACAGCCCTGCGTAAGAAATGAGGTTAAAGAAGCGCATTGTGAGAAGAGTTGGTGATTATTGTTTTTTGTGTGCTACATGCAGTGCAGTCGATGCCATCTTTATAACAGTTGGATACCCCAAGGTAAATGCTCGTATACCTTCATCTCAAGGGTATTTGACAGTGGATACTGTTCGTTCTCTTTTTTTGTTGACTTCCCCCGCGTTCAACACTCGAGGTTGACGTAGGCCCGGTTATTACCCCGTGGGGTTGCTGCATATCGCTTGACAGCAGCATCTGCGTGAGCAGTTTGAACCTCCGGAGACTTCTCCTGAGCATGCAGGTCCTGACTGTTTCATATGGGATTTGCCCGCTACTTACCCCGGGGCCGCTTACCCTTGTTAAGGCGCGTATCTCTCGAAGGCATGATCTGCAATTGGTAAGCATACGGTGGGTACATGGAGGGATAGTTACTGGATGTGGCATCCGAAAAGATCTTGAGAATATAATATGGCTTACATATTAGAGATCTGAGTGGATACTACTGAAAGTCACTCCGGTATGGACAGACATGGATTCCAATTTTGCAGTATATAAACAATCATCCCCCAAAAAAACCATCAACTTCTTTCATTAAGGCTTCCTAGATATAGATCTAGAGTTTAGATAAGGGTCTTCCTTCTAGATCGCGCCGAATCTCCTCTCGAGATCGCTCCGTATCCCTGACCACCATCTCCGTATACAACTGCTGAATGCGCTCAGTAATTGTCCCGCGCTTCCCGTTACCAATCTGCCGGCCATCAATCTCTCGCACATGGATCTGCGAGGGAAAAGTCCCAGTACAGAATGCCTCATCAGCGCCATACGCCTCCGTGAGAGTGAAGTCGAGCTCTCGAACAGGAATTCCATTCGCACGACAAGCATCAATCGATTTCTGACGGGTGATACCCTGCATCTGATTATTCTTCGTTGGAGCCCAAACCTCGCCGTCACGAACAATAAAGAAGTTCGTTGAGTTGCATGTCTTGACGAACCCATTTAGATCAAGCATTAGTGATTCATCGGCACCGGTGACATTAGCTCCGATGCACGCTTGTATATCTGTTGCTTTGGAAATGTGATTCCACATTTCGTCTTTGACATCAGGTGGTCCGCGCCGAATATGCGATGTAATCAGTTTTAGCCCCTGCATCTTGACACCAGGGTCTGTAGCCTTGATCTCGGGAATGATCACGATCAATGGGAGACCGATGTTCACCGACGGGTTTTGATAGGGTGTCGACTTCAAGCCTCGGCTCACAACTAGTCGAATGTGAACGTGCGGCTCGTTTGACATCTTGTTTGCGTCAAGAGTTTTGTGTAGAAGGTCTAACAGTTGTAGTTTGGATAGCCCCAGATCCATGAACATTGCCTTTGCAGATTGGAAAAGCCGATTGATATGATCTTTGGCGAATTGAATTCGACCGTTTCTGGCGCGGACTCCTTCCTGATTGTATAATCAGTCATTGTGCTCTGCGCGCTGGAGGGTGCCATACCCAGATTCCATCGCCCACTAAGAAGTTCGAATCAAACACAGAGACGACTGCATCCTTTCGCGGCACTAATTTGAAGTCACCGCTGACTCCATCACGCATCCCGATCTAGTCCAAGTTAGCGAGGGCCATCGGATTATTTTTAAGGTGAACTCACAAGAATGTGATGATTCTTCTCATTTGGAACGGTAGCGTGTGTCGCCCCCTTTTTGCTATCTTTGCTGGGGTTACCCATTTTGGTATTTGTTTGGAATGAGAAGCCAAACTTTGGCTTAGAGAAGAAAGAGTTGCTCCAGTCGCGCTATCGAAGTGATATATTACACCTTTTAAATCCAAGTACCAAGAGTGATTCTCCCCAATCGGTTCGAGATATACCTCGGTGTCGACCGAGAGAGACATCGCGTTCAGTTTCGGCGTGATCCGAGTATCACCGAGTTCGCTGGATGGGACCCACCACGGCTCGGTGTGGCCCGAGGCGGTATCTCGGTCTACCCCGAGTATCAAAGTAGAACGACGAATTACACCAGGACATGCTGGTATTCTGGGGACCCATATCAACTTTATATATGCCTCATATTCGGATTTGCGAGATGATAGGCTCGATTGCATCACACGATACCTGGATTGCGAAACATCTAGAGCTAAACATGCCTAAAGATAAGAACCGACACTTTCTATGTTCATTCTCTTTATACTCGAGAAATTCATGCTCAAGTTAGAAAACGGAGACTTCGTGATTGTCCTATAAGTACTCTTTCAACTCCCTCCCCATACGCCCTCTTTGTCTAGAAGTCAACGGTCACATTATCTACGTGGATCTCTCATCTCCCACACCCCCGCTGCTCATTAAAGATGCATCAAGCAGAGAACGCTGATAGCAAGGACCATACAATAACCCCTGCCAGCATAATGTACGGCATACACCATGGGGAGATCGAAAGTGAGATCCCTGCGACGCAATACAGGCGCGTATTGCTGAAAATTGACTTGGTCGTGATGCCTCTCATTGTCATAGCAATGACACTGGCGTTCTTGGACAAAGTATTTACCCCAGGCTTAGTGATTGGGCTTGACTAATCTAAGATACCCTTAGAATGGCCTCGCCTACGCAGCAGTGTATGGCCTGAAGACAGAGACGCATCTGGTTGGCCAACAATACAGTTGGCTCGGGAGCATATTCTACTTTGGATACCTCGCCATGGAGTTCCCGAACCTCTGGCTGATAACAAAGTTCCCAACTGGCAAATACATGGGATGTTGTCTCATGGCCTGGGGCGCATGTTTATGTCTACTGGCAGCTTGCCATAATTTTGCTGGTCTCGCTGTTGTTCGCCTCTTCTTGGGTGCTTTCGAAGCTGCTTTGCTTCCATGCTTGCTGCTCATGAACTCAAAGTGGTATCGACGGAGTGAGCAGCCTCTACGGACCGCTTTCTGGTACAATACGTTTGCAGGTGTTTTTGGTGGCATCTTGAGCTATGCTATCGGGCATATCAAGGGAGATTTACCCACATGGAAGGTCAGTCACTACACCTTTTTGCCCTTTACATACGCATTGACAGAGGTTTTATAGTATATATTCATAATTTATGGGACTGTGACTATTCTGGTCGGAATCTTGGTCATGTTTGCCTTACCTGATGGCCCTTCGACCGCCTGGTTCTTATCAGGCGAAGAAAAGAACATTGCTCTCTTGCGGGTATCGGAGAACCAGACTGGACTGGGATCTCATAAGGTACGATTTCCAATATTTTGGAGTGGGTTACACTAATCTTATTTGTCTTTCAGGATATGAAACTCAGCCAAATCTTTGACGCCCTAACTGATCCTAGATACTACATACTTATGATATTTGTCATAGCGCAGTCGATAACTAACGCAGGAATCACCAATTTCAACCCATTAATCATCTCTGGCTTTGGTTTTTCACAAGCCAAGACAACGCTGCTCGCTACACCACAAGCTGCAGTCGCAATGGTCGCCCAGGCATTTTGCACCACTCTTACATTCTTCGTGCCCAACATTCGCTGCTTGATCTGGGTCATATCGTCTCTGATTGCCATGGCTGGCGCTATAATGGTCCATGTTCTGGATCCGACCACACAGCGTGCTGCCTCGCTGGCCGGTGTTTACATAATGGGATTCTACAACGTGCCGTGGGTGATCGCATTGAGTCTGCAAACATCCAATACAAGCGGAACGACAAAGAAGAGCTTCGTCTCAATCTCGGTGGCTATATTTTATGGTAGTGTTTTTCCATTAATTTGTCTGATGGCTACTAATGTAAATATAGCTATTGGGAACATTATTGGGCCACAGTTCTTTATCGGAAACCAGGCACCGCATTATCCACTTGGAATTGGCGCAATGCTATGCTGCTTTGCCATTATGACAGTAACCGGAATTTTGTATTTCATCTCATGCCTTATTTCTAATCACCACCGTGATCGTGCGCATGGACGAATCAGTGAGCAGTCCGGTATGGATATCGCGGGGATTGAAGCGGATATGGAGGATTCAACCGATAGGGAGAACAATAGGTTTAGATATACATTTTGAACTGGATATAGTTACACAGCTGTTAAATAGGCATGGTTTGTGATTCCGTTACCCCGTTCGCATGCTTTCAGTATCACCAATGTCGTTTAGAACAGATCCATACCATGCTGTCAGCGTGTCATCGATATCAAGCATCTCGTTGTCAAAAATGGTCGACATCTGGCTCAGATAACCCTCTAGGCCCTCTGAACTTAACGGCATGATATCCATATCGGTATTGGGGACATATTCGGTGTCTCCCCCGCCCCCCATTATATCTGGTGGACCGGCGAATATTGGCATTTCTGTGGTTTGGGAAAAGGAAATACCCTGGCTTGCACCGTCAAAGGCATATTTGGAAGCATAAACTTTCTCTCGTAGGTTAGAAAACATGATCTGGAATTTTGAGAGAGAGGTGTCGTGAAGATTGGCGATTCCCTTGCTAAGCAAGTCAAGACAAATTGCAGCATCTTCGGTTCGGATAATTGATCTGGATGTCGGAGCAAATCTTTGCATGTGCCTGATAAGGCAGAATTGAATTCAGTATATTGCCCAGAGACTTATAGTGGACGGGGGGAATTTGTTAGCTTACCAGTCACTGTACAGACGAACCAAGCCCGCCATGAGAATATCATGAAAGTGACGATAGCATCGACAGACAGAATCGATCCCAGACTCAGATGCCATCGCTGCCCATTGATGGAGAGCACTGGATGATGCATGAGAGCAGGCTGCAACCATATTTTGAGAGGGAACCATAAATGCAGGCGAGGGACGATTTAAGTGCATCAACATCGTGCAGTATTCAATCCTCATCAGTTTGCCCGCTTGTAGTGACCCAATATCTGCAGCATCAAGTTGGCTTTTCCAGTGGTCCATTTGACGATGTAGATCTTCTGAGATGGAGCAAACCTCTTGGAAAGTGAGTGATGAACATCGCCCATCTCGATCTCGGGCGATGTAAATGGACTCCAAAATACGACCTGCAATTTTCCGAAGGTCGATCATATGGACAAAGAGCCACACCGATCTGGTATGGAACAGAGTTGCAGTTTTTGCCTCGTGGTCGGTAAGTTGATCAACACTACTGAGCGAAGGAAGTGCTGTATCGATTGCCTGATCGCGTACTGATAGAACTCTGCCCGTGTTGAGAGCTATGAACCTGCTGTGCGCGTCAGATTGTGCCAAATATTGAAAGACTATGTCACCTTGATTCAGCACGAACCTCTCCAAGCTGTAAACAGTCCACCATGTGCGAGATCTAATCTCAATTTCTTCTGGGCTGAAGCTCCACGACGGATTATGTCGATGAAGTCCCAGCTCAAGCGCTATGGACATGGCATATCTTGTGAAATGCCAAAGATCATTGCTATCTTTGCACGAGGGCGAATTGAGCATCCAAAGTGTCACCAATAAAACTGCCTGGAGGCCCGCGAGATCGCGAGGATAGTCACGAAATCTTTTGAAAAAGTGAAGCGCAGTTTGACAGTAATCGCGCGGAGTATTATAATCCAGCAGCGAAGAGTAGTCACCATCGTGCCGAGCTTCATCGGCGGCCAGCGCAAGGAGCATAAAAAACGTAAACCGTTCTAAGTCTGTGCAGTTATGTGGCTCATGGTAAATCTTTCGAAAGCAATATCGTGTTTGCCGAAGATCCAAGAAAGGCCACCACAGATGAACCCTTGCGATATAAGTAGAAAGTAGATATCTAGAAATCGCTTTCGATGGAATTGAAGCTGTGTACGCCATTCCATCGTCTTCATCCGCTGCATTTCCTGGACCCGAGTTCGATGAAATGGTCATTCCAACTTGTTTGAAGAATATTCGAGCGAAAGTTGAACCAGCAGCAGCACCAACTAATAGTTTCAATTAGCCACCAGGCCGATACCTACGCCAAGAAAAGTTGAGCGTTGAACTCACTGTATTTAGCTTGGGAATACCGGTCAGCAAAACCAATGGCTAGGACACCAACCTCTTCGGCTTCCTTGCTCACGTCAGGTGAAGCCGATTTCCCTGAAGTTACGAGCGGAGGATTAGTAGATGGTTCACCCGTATGCTGATTGTATGTTGAGCCATCTTTGCCGGCTGCAAGATTTTCCTCGAGCTCTTTTACCCTTGAATGAAGGCTTTCCACGAGTGCATAGGGATAGGCAACGTATTCAGTGATGTTGCACACTTCCCCCTGCTTTTGGCATGTCGAGCATTGAGGGACTTTCAGATTACACTTTGTGTGTTCAGCAGAACTCACCAAGTCGAGACTCATGGACTAACCTTCACTTTCCTGGCCCGGCATCTGCTACAGGACTTCACCACCGATGGCGAATAACTGTCCATTTTCCCAAAGTCATTGGCAATGGCGTGAATGTGAGGTCCTTCCTGATCTTCCACGACTCCGGAGCCGCTCTGCTTAGTCAGCACATTGGGTCCGCTTCCGAGGTTTGATTGACGGAATCCAGTGGAGTCTCCCAAACTCTATCAAGTCTTCTTCTGTCAGGACAATACTACCTTGAAAGTTGACGTAAACACCAGGCGGAAGCTGGTACCCAGTGAAAGCCGCTACAGGAAGTCGGACCCCAGTTGGAGTGAAAATGGGCGATATATGTCTTTCGAATCGGACCACAGGATCGGGACGGCCCCGAATGATAGTTGACACGCTTCGCTTTATAACAGGGAGAAAAGCTGAGTAGCCTCGCTCACGCGACCTCGACATTGCCTACCTGCATCGGTATCACTTCATAACTTACGCTTTACTCCGCATATGCCAGTACAAAATGGTGTCACTGCCGCCAGAAGTGATCTCCCGAGTGGTAAACTATATTTTCCCTTCCAGTCCTACAAAAAGATATCCCGGCATTCCCCAGGCCCTATTTGCCACTTTGGACCGCCACTGGTAGGCCATTATTGAGAGACGCACGTTATCTGAGATCCGTATCAACACCCAAAACGACTCCAAGAGCTTTAACGGCCAAACGCCTGTATCAGCCGGGTGAGCATGTCTTCGAACTTTGGAGGAAGGTCGCCCTTCGACGCACTGAAAATGGACTTGACGTAAAATATCCAGTGAGAATTTGAATAAGTTCAGGGCTTCATTTTAATATAGTGTGTAGCTATCACTGTAGGAATTTGAGATTCTTAACATGCTCATTGGCATATGCTGGAACGAAATCCGTAGTCAAATACCAACGTGGCTTTTTCATCGCATCGGAAATAAGCCTCCCGTTGATTGTGAGGTTTTGGAAGGTAACATCCTCAATACTCCTAGCATCATCATATCCCACCAAAATTGAAGTGTTCGCGTTGACTCCATTGTAATTCAGGTTGCGAATTGTGACATTTGAGATCCCTCGCCCTGGAGAGGTATTATAGTCCGTGTTGAACATGACTCGCATGTTTATCAACTGGCCCATCCGGAAATCCTCAACCCGAACGTCTTCGATGAGGAGATTGCGTACCAAGTTTGCATCACCGGGATTGACAGCAATGCATCCTTGATAGAGTACCTGCATCTCACGGTGATCTAGGATGTCGATATTTCGAATGATAATGTCTGACATGGTCTCAGGATTATCGGTGTTCCCGTGAGTTCCGATGTTGATCGGATGCGCAACATCAGCCCACAAAGACGAGTTCTCAATGGTGATATTCTCACTATCTCCATAGAAGTCATTTCGGTGATTATAGATGGCGACACAATCGTCCGAATTCCGCATGAAGGCTCCTGTAACCAGCACGTTTTTGGAGCAATAGAAATCCATACCGTCGCCCCATTGCGTTCCACTGAAGGATCTGATATCTTTGATAGTGACTCCATTTGCCTGTCCAACATTGAATTTGGAGTTGATAAATGTTATACCGTCAATGGTAATGTTCTGGGCGGACACTATTGAAATCCCGCTGCTCGGTTTATAGATGACACCTCGGCCACGAATAGACGCATTTGAAGAGTTGGAAAAGTTGACACTGGCAGCAAGAGCTGCGCCGCCTGCAAGATACACCGTCTGACCAGATGTAACATTGAGAACACCACCAACTACGGTGTGATACCCCGGCCCAAAATAAATGATATCTGGATCAGTCGGCGCCGGGACGTCGGCCTCAATCGGATTTCCGATAAGATGAAGGCAGTCGAATATGTCGTCGTTAACCTGGACAACAATGCTTCGTGGTTGTGTCAAGGTAAAAGTGATTGTGCCGTTGTGAACGGTGGGAATGATATCATAAGAATCGGGGCGAATGCGAACGCTTTTGATCGGGGTAGTATTGTATCGAATGGATACTTGCACAGTTCCAGAAAAATCGAAATAGGCCATTGAAGACAAATGAGTGATTGCACCCCCAGTTGTTGTATTTATTTCGTGTAGCGGTATTTGATAGGTTCCTAGGCTTTCTGGCTTGCCACCATGGACGTGTAGGCTGACGTCAAATGATGAGCCCGAAATCACTTCGGAAGGGACTGAGTAGGCTTGTAGCTTGTTGATCCCAGATTGAGAAGTTGCCGTTGCAAATGCAACTAGGCATATCGTAGCAAGAAGGCCAAACATGGTCATTGCGATCAGTCGTAATTGGTACCTCGTGAGATCTCCGCGTTCTGTTGAAGCCGCTGGGTTCCTTTCTCGGCCCTTAAGAGCTCTGTGAACCACTACTTGAAGATTACCTTCCACTCTGTTATATCAGAATAGTCCGGCAAATGGTCCGTATACACCCTGCTGATCGCCATATTGGACCTTCTCTGTAAGATCGGCGGCCCTTATTGCGGAGTTGAGTATTGCGGGGTATCAAAAGCAGTGGATCATTATTGGTAAAACGCGCAGAGGCAGAACAAAAAGGTTCTACAAGTGTGTCGAAGGAGCGGACAAAGTGCCGGACAAGTCTCCGGGTGCCTAGCTTTCTAGCTTTCTCGAGTCACTGGTGCAACTCCTCCCAACCCTTTCAGGCCATTCCTTGGGCCCCTAGCAAACGGGGATTTTAATATCTGATGCTAAATTAACCCTACCCGCTACCTAACGGCTATGAGTAGTTTTCTATAGCTAGCCAAGGGACACCAATAGGACCAAGTAAGACACTACAGCAACGTAAATATGGACAGCCAACGATAGTGCTATAAGTGTTTCTACCGGGATCGAATAGCCATGTTTTGCAAAGTTCTGGATATCTTATAAGTCTCTATTGATTTTAGAAAAGGTACGATGCAATTGATCAGATGCAATTAAGAGATCTCGACTTTTAGATCCTTATCTAGTAAGCCCAAATAAGTCCTCCCCAGCTTGGGTGATCATTCGTTGCCACAGCTCCCTCCGGACCTTCCTCACTCTGAGCCTTGGTGGTCCACGGTGCCTTCAACTTACGCTTAACAACGTATTGGTAGTACAGTATATCCCAAGCCGGTAGCGCATTAGATATTCCTCTATTATATTCGGCGATAGTGGCCCACGGAGCCCCAACCAGGACTGCTTCACACCTATGCCATGCTGGATCATAAGTGACGGTCTCGTTGAGATTATATGCTGCAGAATATTCGGATGCCTTGAGCAAAAGATTGTCTCCAAGCTTGTAGAGGTCTACCCCTTGAGTTTGTGCCACCCGAGCTGCATATGCAGTCCATGCAATACCAGATATTGTGTGACCTGGTTCATACATCAGAATAAGCTTGCTTCGTTCATCCGGAGATGATAGTGCACTGAGCGGGTGATAGGTACCTTGATCGCGACCTGATTCCACGGATTGTCCAGTCGACGGTTTGTACATGGCGAAGACACCAGCACAGGGGTCATTGATGAAAGCGTTCATGGCATAATTGTATAGAGTGACGTCATCCAAGTAGACCGCAAAGCTCAACAAAGACTTGATGCTGACCATACCGTAGTTTGCCTGTCCTATGACAGCTGCCTGTCGAGAAAACAGCCAATATAACTGATTACTGAAGCCGGTGCCTCCTCGCCACGAAGCACCCGCTTCAGTCCAGTTGCCCTCCCAACGCATTATTTCAGCTGCATTGACGAAAAGATCTCCGTCTAACCCGATCAATAATGAGCGATCGGTACCAATGATACCTGTCAAGTTGGACCCCCAGGCGTCTAGGATCGAGGTACTGCGATCCCAATGAGCCTGATCTTTGGTAATATACCACATCATGGCGTTTTGCCATGCAGCACGTGAATCACTAGCGAATGAGGTGTAGTTGCTGATTTTCCCTCGCGAAAGGACAGAGTATGGTCCTTTCATGGTATAATTTGAAAGGGAATGGGCGTCGGTACTGAAGTTGGCGAAAGTGGATGCCCAAGGTTCCTTATTGGACAGAACATTGTTGCGAATACGCTCCAGGTCGTCGTGTGAGTGCCAGAGGCCGGGATGAGCAAAATCACCTGGGTGCCTTTTGAGGTAAGGATTGATGTTGTCCACATTAGAGACAGCTATCACTGGAAGAGGTCCATATATGCCCGGAACATCATTGACACTTGCATCTGAGCAAGTGCCGAGGAAGGTAACTGCGACAAGTAACAGTTGAGTTACCTAAAACCGAATTAATTCATTATCACAGCCAAAGTGTACATCCACTGACCTGCATCTCGGTTCAATGTGATCGTGCTGAATGTGGAATGTTGCAAACACGGAAATTTTCATTACTTGCAGCTCTGCCGAGTGGATTTCATGTATTAAACCGTGATAGATATTTCTGTTCCCCGCGTTCTACATTTCGTGCCATCTCCGGAGGCTACTCCGGAGACTACCCCGGAGACGAAAATGCGGGGAATTCAAAGCTTTTGCGGGATGCTAGCGTGATCCAGATAATGTACAAGTTCTGCAGTTTGAGACCTATGTTTGTTTCCTCCGGCAACTCTCCCGTTATCTAGAAAGCGTTAAGGGCGAGGAATCATAGTTAGGGGTTGTGTATATTTCTAACCTGGTATTTGAAGCCGCGCCTTTTGGCGGCTTGGATATCTTCTTATCTAGGTATCATACTAGTAGTCATAATTTCCAGGCCGGTAAAGCAAGTAAAAAGGATGTCTATCTGGCCACAAGAGCTTCTATTTAGTAGGTTGCTATATTACTTTCGAGACAGGTCGCACCTCTCGAGCTATGGCCAAGTTTTGTACCAAATGAGAACAGCCATTCCAATTTCTCTAACCAAACTTAACAGTAAGGTAGATTAGGATTCGAACAACTTCCTGCAATGAAAGTCTGGGAAACTTTAGGCAAATCCGACTCGAACAGCTGGCTCGTCGGATCAAGGATTCTGTCGACGATATGAATAACTCCCTTTAATACAATAGACGGTGACGTTAATTACTATAGTCCTAACTCCTCGATGGGTAGGCAAAACGAGACTCACACTTGTGACTGAATTGTCTGGTCCGGTGACGGTTGCAACATTGTTGATCTTCACTTGACCACCTTCGTCCATGATTGTACTAATATAAAGATAACTTGCAGTCTACTTGGAGATTTGGGCTATTAGAGCATCCACTAAAAGTCTAAGCAGGAAAGAACAACTAACCTGCACACGTGACAAGGTTGAATTGAAGTTACTGCTTGTCAACTTCGAATTAGGGATGTAGTGATGGTTGATCAAATTACCAATCCACCATTTGCCTTTTCTGTTAGGGAATGAAATTCAGTTAGTAATTATAGGGCTATAATGAGTGGACAAATTGAAAACATTGGTAGGACATACGGTGTTGCAGCAAATGAGGAATAGTAGGCGCCGGTGTGTTCAAAGGCCTCGTTACTGGGAGCGAAGAAAGTAAAAGACCAAGTGGGAGCAGTGTCGAATGCCTTGACAAAGCCCGCTGGCTCTCTCAAAATCTGTGACAAGTTTGAAAGATCCTCTCTCGAGTCGATGAAATCTAATAATGTCGTGACGTTTGCAGGCTTCGGGGCGACGTAGACTTGTGGTGGTTCTTTGACATAGCTGAGCTTTTCGCCAGCGGCCCACACAAGGACATTAAAGAACAAAAGGAACAAGACAGACATCATGGTAGTTAGTATAGTATAGTTGGCTCACCTAGGCGAGAAAGAGGCCGACTAATATCTTCAGTTTTAAGATTAGCAGGAAATACGGCGGCGGGGTTGTGCTCCGGCAAAAACCCCGTGAACCCCTCATCATTTGAATAGCGCGGCATAAATAAGAATCCAAAAACAACCATAAGTTGTACGGCTATTGTTAGTGCATCAAAGCAAAACCTCGTGGCCTAAGAATCCAAGACAAAGATAATGATAGCAACTACCACAGGATCAAAGTTTATCTTTGGGTTATGTATGCTGCCAGGAGTCTTGGGAGGTTTGGCCGCCACTCCCCAAATGGGCTGGAATAGGTATGTATTCCATGTACTTACACGTATGCTAAACAATTCGATTTCAACTCACATCAACTATTCACTAGCTGGAACTCATTTAAAGCAAATATCAACCAAACAATAATAGAGGACACTGCTAGCCTACTTGTTAGCACTGGCCTCCGTGATGCGGGCTACAGTTACCTCATTATGGATGAGGGCTGGCAAGCAATGAAAAGGGACGTGAATGGACGTCAACAGCCAAACGCTACCAGGTTCCCCAAAGGAATAGGCGCGATTGCAGATTTCGTTCATAGCAAGGGGTTAAAAGTAGGAATCTATAGCGACGCTGGGTACGCTACCATAAGTTATCCGCATTATTTTTCTATCAATATTTATACTAACTAAACCTTCAAGGATATATGACTGCGCATTCTATCCGGGGTCCTGGGGATACGAAGAGCTCGACGCTGCAACTTATGCCGCGTGGGGCATTGACTACCTCAAATATGATAATTGCGGAGGGTTCCAAGCCAACACTGAAAGTCCACAGATTCGGTTTTCAGCCATGAGGGATGCACTCCGGAATAGTGGCCGATCTATCTTCTATTCTATCTGCCAGTGGGGCCACCAATTCCCCTGGTATTGGGCTGATGGTGAGCTTCCATTACAGCTTTCTTGTGCATTGTCGCTAAATATGTACATGACATTAGAGATTAGCCAATCATATCGTATATCGGGAGATATCACTGGTGTTTTTGGTGACACAGGTAAAGACTGTGCTGTGAGTTATTCTTTGTGTTGATGATATGTTTCAGATCGTATGCTAACGAGCGAAACAGTGCAAAACAGCATACTGCTTGGACGTTGGCTATGCTGGCTGCAGTGTGCTAACTATCATCCGAAAAATGAGAGAGCTCAGCGCCTTTCAGAGACCTGGAAGTTGGGCCGATATGGATATGCTCGAGATTGGCAACGGCAACATGACGCTCCATGAACAGCAGACCCACCTGACATTTTGGGCCGCTTTGAAATCACCTTTGATAATTGGGGCTGATCTCCAAACGCTCTCCAACGAAAGTCTGAATGTGTTGAGAAACAAGGAGATAATCGCTATCTCACAAGACGCCCTTGGTGAAGCAGTGACATATCTTCCGAATTTGAGCAAAGACAAAAGCATTCAGGTTTGGGCTGGACCGTTGACTGGAGGGAAAGTTTTGATTTTAGTACTCAGTGAACTGGCAAACGCGACCACTGTAAATATTTCGCTTGGTGATATCCCAGGTCTGACGTCTTATTCTTCCTACAAGGTCAGAGATATATGGGGCGCAAGGAATCTTGGTCAGGCAAAGGGAAATGTTACATTACAGGTAGCTACACACCAGACCAAAGCTCTTGTTCTCAGCTAGAGCTTGAAAAATGCTACATTATCTCTAAATAAGATATCTGGACATAAAATGATCATTTTATAAATACAATCAAGCAAATTTGCACTAGAATGGATACTAATGTCACATCGCTAGTCTTAAATTTACGTGAGACTTAACCTCCAATCTACACTATATAACTGATGGTAAGAAGATCCAACTATTGATTTTAGCTACTAATCACTTGAATTTGGGAAATTTTGGACAGCTATAAGTTACCCAGGATCACATGGTCAAAGAGGATACGACGTCTTTGTCGTCAATTATCAAAATACCATCATAAAATGTGGCCCCCCATTTTACAGCGGAGTGAAAGGGAATTTTTTTATAGGCTTTATCAACGATAGCTCTTATGGGCTGGGTCATGAAGCCCTGGTAAATCCTTTGAGTTGTATTTCGTCAAATCAAAATATATTAAGACTTGCGGTAGCTCTGTAGTTAGTATACATAACGGAAATTTGGGTTCTCGCGATCAGTGAGATCCTCAAAAGCCAAGTCATGAACCACTTCACTCGTCGCCTGCTTCTTCGAACGGTTCCTGGCCATGATTATCACCCGAGTTAGGATAACTAGGGTAACATACACGGCATAAATAACGATATGTGCCAAAAAGCCATGCAGATAACGAGGAGCATCTTTGTTTTGGAAGATCTGAGGCGCAATCAGGTTTCCGACAGCCCAACCAACGAACAGCATAGTCATAGTGAAGCTTTTCTTAGATTGCCCTGCAACATTTCGGGTGATAAGTGAAATAATCATGTTGCCTTGTGCAAGGAAAAATTGCGTGCAGTAGAATGCAATCAGCATTCCACCTGCATTTGATGGAGTCGGGGTAACCACCATGATAACTATTGTACCGACAATTGCTGGGATTGCGCATATCTATATCTGGTCAGCCACTGAAGCTTCCCTATAAAATTCACGTGCTACCCAAGTAGGAACCTGGATATACTTACAATCATCACCAGACATGTCTGCTGGAAGCGTTGAGATGCCCATGCAGACCCAACCATGACAATAATGGTCCACGCTCCTTGGGCAATGTTAAGGAGCTGCGTTTGAAGTAGCGAGAAACCAAACTTTTGAATAATGAGATTGGAGAACACTCCCAAGCCACCGATTACCAAGTTCGCAACTAGAATGAGCATAACACAGCACCAAACCAGAGGATCCTTAATGGCCTCGATAATTTGGTACTTCTTATACTCTTTGTTCTCAATACCAGTCTCGTTGTGCCGCACTCGTTCGATCATCAAGCGCTTCTCATCCTCTGTAAAGCACTTTGCCGATATAGGGCTATCAGGGAGGAAGAGTCCGATAAAAACCGACCAACAGCATGTGAAAAGACCGAGGACCAAGAACAGAAGCTGCCAACTCTTAATCGGTCCGCCTTTGAAGTGGGAGACACCAAAGGCTAAAAGACCTCCGATCTAAGCTTGTTAGCATTTAGTTCAAAGAATGGAGTGATGGTATGGCTGTTTACAATCAGTTGCACCCCAGTCATGCAATACCAAATCGAGTTCAAGACGGCTTGTTCCTCTCTTTTATACCACATTGCGGTCCTTCATTAAGGTCAGCCAATGGTCACCCAGTGAGCTTCTGAAATCACTTACACTAGCATCATAGCAGGCTGTACACAGCTCTCAAAAAATCCAAGTAGGAATCGGACCACCATAAGAGACGCAAACTTGGTAGAAGCCGCTGAGCACGCTACAACGGCTCCCCAAATGAATACATTGACAGCTAGTGTCTTTGCCACAGGAAGCTTTTGTAAGAGCAGGTTCTGCGGATACTCGCCAACAAGAATGCCAATGTAGAGAATTGTTCCCAACCACGAATACTAGAGCACGAATACGCATCAGCTATCCGTGAAAAATGCTTAACGTATGGAAGGCTTACCTGCTGACCCACTAGGTGGGTATCATCCTTAATCCCCATGATGGAGGCATAGTTCAAGATTCCTTTATCAAGAGACTGACAAAAATAGGTGATGACCTGGATAACAAGGACGCGGCGAGTGATCTTCCAGAAAAGCCGTCGGTCGGTGGCCGTGTCAATTTCAATATGGGGGTCAGCTGCATAGAAATCGGTCTTCTCTTTCACTTCATGTTTATCTGTCATATCCAGGTTTGAATGCATTTCTTCTTGATGAACGGTCGCTGCCATTTCGCTATCTTTCGAGGCCATGGTGCGCAAGGAAGCAGTAAGGTGGGAAACACCTCTCGTAGGGAGCCTCTCAGTCGGTATTTGTAGCAAACTTGCTTTCCATATCACATCTCACCTGATATTGAGATCAGTCCAGAGTTTACCTCCAAAGGAATTGCAGGTAGGAGGGGTCAACCTTCCAGGACGCCACAGCGGAGGAAGTGCCGGACATTCCCCCGGACGCCAGCGAAGAATGCTGGCCCCGGTGTTTGTGCCGCAGAGCTCTCTGGGAGGATTCAGTAAGTTACCTACGCTTTATTGGAAGTTTAGCTATCTCTTGGAGCCTCTATATGCCCAATCTCCTCACTGCGGATGAAGTGCCGGTACTTCGCCCGACATCTAGGCCTGACACCGAGAGCCGACAATGTTCATAAAGATCGATAAATACTGTGAGTTTGACCGGGAATGTCTGAGGAATTGCAATGTCTCTAGACGACTCACCCATCACAGTATGTTGAACTATCAAGCTTCTGTGATACGTCTTGCTGACATGGTAACCAGGAACCTAGCCACAAGCGGGCGAAAACCGAGAGAAAGGACATGAATGGGGTAAATGGTATTAAAGGCTCACCTCAGGCTCCATTGGAGCGGGTAACAGAGGCTCTTTTCTCTGCATCTGTTGAGGCCAAGGTCTGGAGCGTGGCAACTCGCGCATTAGGAACTGTAAGAATATCACAAAAAACTTGAAAACAGTTTCTAAATAAGTCCAGCTTAGTCCCCCAGTACTCTATCCCGAATACACCGACGCAAGCGGCAACTATGTCTACCGAACACTCGACTTCTGGACATCAGGCTTCTTCCCAGGGTCGCTATACCTCCTCCTCGAACGCGCTATTCAGTATCCTCAATACAAGCCATTAATACCCGATGGCAAATCGCAAATCAGACCTCACCACCTCCAGCTCGAGCATCTATGCCGTTGGTGGACCACCAACTTACACCAGAATGCATTGAAGCGCGACACACATGATCTTGGCTTCATGATTGCGCCATGGGCTATGAAGTCCTGGGAAATACACCGAGATCCAGCGGCATTCAACACACTTATCATGGCTGCACACTCCCTTGCAAGCCGGTTCAACGCAACAACGCAGTGCCTTCGAAGCTGGGACGTCTGCATTACGCAAAAATACAAATTCACAGACCCATCGCGCGACTTCCTGGTCATCATCGATAACATGCTAAATCTGGATCTCCTTTTCTGGGCTGCAAAGGAAACTTCAAATCGTGCGCTGTATGATATGGCACAGGCACATGCGCACACAACACGCAAACATCATATCCGCGAGGATAAAAGTACATTCCACGTCGTGAACTTCGATGCAGACACCGGGGGTGTCAAATCCCGGTTCACGAACCAGGGGTACAGTGACGATAGTTGCTGGGCTCGAGGACAGGCATGGGGTATTCTGGGATTCATGCAGACCTATGAGTGGACACGGGACCCTGTATTCTTGAACACGGCCAGGGACCTGGCGAAGTACTTCATTGCGCATTTGCCGGCTGATGGCGTGCCATACTGGGATTTGACTGCGCCTGTGACAGAGACGAGTCCTCGGGATACGTCTGCAGCTATGGTTGCCGCTTGTGGTTTGTTGCTTCTTTATAAAGCGCTAAAGGGTGGCATAGAGGCGGATAACTATCTCCAGGAAGCGTTCCAGCTCGTTAATGGTGTTGTCCACACGAATATGAACCGGCAAACACTTCAGTTTGGGGTCACCCATCCCGCACTGCAAGTTGCAGTATATCCAGAAGGATGTATCGATGAATGTGCTAGTGATGGTTTCGATTTATTGTGTGTCTCGCAGAGCTCCAACTCGATAGTGAACTGCGAGACAATTCTGGGCGGTGCCACCATCAACAACTACGAGTTCGCGCCAAGGCGGTGGTCCAACCATGGGCTGGTGTATGCAGACTATTACTTCTTGCTTTTCGGCAATATGCTTCTTCGCATGGGCTTAACCGACCCTAAGTAGACCATGAAGGAAAATGGCCGGAAACGCGATTCGATTTTGCTGTGTTCGTACAAAGAAAGTTTGGTAGACAATATAGAATCGTACATCGGATCAGAGACCTTCCACACATTAGTCACAAGAGCCTAGCCTACTGATATTATCCATCATTGACAGATTCCTTGGTGCCTTGTTCGGGTCATGGCTCCCTATTTGCGCTCCACTATAGCGACTGATCCTTTTGCCAGGACTGGGAATCAGGTTGAAAACGTGAGAGAGATCCTCTTGGGGACTGACAGCGGCATTTCCAAAAGGCGCATTTGGACCTTGCCACACATTAAATTGCTGATTGTATGACCGCCTGTCCAACGGCGATGGCGCTTGATACTCGACCGGTACATATACCGAGAGCGGATCTGATCGGGAGAAGGCAGGGAAGTCTTGCTGAAAGGCTGGTGGGAGTGGCGGAAAAGCGAGGCTAAAAGGATCCAGAGTATATGACTCTTGCAGTGGCTGTCTGCTTACATATCCAGTACGGGGTGCTGCACTAGTTGCTATATAGGGGAAGATACCAGGATCAGACGGCGAGGTTCCGATGACAGGTTGCGGTTGATGTTGCTCCCTTGACTCGTCGGAGTATGCGGTCTGTCTGATATCCAGGCTTGGGCAAGGGGCAGCACACGAGTTACTCTGAGCCTCTATAAGTCGCTTTGCGAAGCTTGATGCCAGATTGTCGCCGAGAGGGCTTGTGGTCTCATTGCGCCCAGTCCATCGCTGGGAAATTTCGAGGAGGCTGGCGATCAACGTATCGAGGGCTGAGGGAATAGGAACTTGATTGTATCTGCTGTGGGCCAGTAGCATTCTTCCAGCAATGAATAGGCAAAACGAGAATTGAGGATTGGTGAAGATGGGCGAAAATGATAGGAACTGTCGTCCGATAGTAGCGATCTCAGAAGCTGCCTCCAAACATGTCTCAGCAGAGGCCGTGGATGGCAGCTTCACCGGACAATTCTGCCAGTGGGGAGGTGGGTATGCGATTCCCTGATGCAATAAAATCACGGCCGTATTATGGGTGATATGCGCTAATGTCAAGTTCGGATCCATCACACCGTCGGCATTGAGCACTGAGGCCTCTCTCCATTTCGGGGGCAGATACAACTTCCACCTGGGGGTCAAATGTCAGTATAAAGCCAGTAGATAGATTATATGCTTGTAATACTCACTGAATCAGCCGTAAATCCAGTTCCTTGAACTTCATTAACCAAATCCGAGCCTTCTCAGCATCCTCAACAATAAAGGCATGATGAAGGAAGAAGTTTGTGACCAGGACTAGTGACTCAGTGGCCTCAATATTGTACGCAAAGCCACCGATCGAGTCCTCGTTATCAATGGTCATCGACGCGCGGCTCCCAGCCTGAAGCGAACTGGTTGAGTTTGTATCCTCCGAGTCTGAGATCCCAAAATACGGCGTCCGAACCTCTGTTTCTTTCTCCCATATCGCTCCTTCACAGGGAAGACGGCGCTTTACATCGGCGCTAGTCAGACTTATCTTCCAGCCTGTGGAAACGCTGCAGAACCGATCCATCAAGAACACCGTCCAGAACACACGCCGGCGCTCTTCAGTTTCACTCCAGGACTTGGATGGAGACAAGAACACCATGCGCCGGATCAAAGTCTCGCCTGAGTTTTGTGCACGGCTTAGGATGTCCTCCTCGACGCCAAGTTGCAATTGTTCAACCGTGCCGACCATGCTTCCAACGATAGACCATGACGAAGGTCCGCGGCCTCGGCCAATCTGCAAGAAGGAATGAGCTAAGGTATCAAAAGGTAAAGCTAAGTGAGCCTACAGTCTCAAATGCAATGATCACCAATGCCTGCAGGTTCTCGACAGAGAAGGACTCGGTGCTGTCTAATATGACCTTTTGTCGGCTCTGTTCGGCAATCTTTGCCTTTTTTTCTTCATCGCGGAGAGATTCACTTTGAGAGAAGCGTGCGCAAACAGCAATAATTGCGTGAAGGATGCAGGTAATACGCGGGCGCTCATCTGGAGATTTTACGCGCTCCCGAAATCTGGCCACATGAAGAACCGGGATCCAAGGATGGATGTTGACGAAGTAAAAGTCCACCAGCTCCGTCATGACATCAGTCGACAAAAGGCCGTCTATCTCGTTCTCTGTATCGACGAAGGCGCGTAAGGTAGTAGACTCGCAGCGAGGTCGTTTTGCTGGACGCGAGACAGGCTCCGCATCGCCATTCCGTTGCTCGCCCCTCCGGTCTGGAATCGATGACGCCTGAAGCAAAGCAAATTTCAGCTCTTCTCTTCGCTGAGCCAAGCTTGTGATGTTGGCCGGTCGCTCGCTAGGTTCCGGGAGGGAGTCATTTGGGTATAATGTCCTCCACATCGTTTGCCATAGTATTTCCTGGCCAAGGAACATATTCTCCAGTGTTTCGATCCGGCGATAAAGCTGGTCGACGGCGCCGGCGCGGAGACCAGGCTTCATGCGCCGCTCATCATAGACACAGTCGACGTTGAAGCGGATGCATTCCGAACAAGGCTGTTCCCGACTGCAGCGGGCCTTCTTCTTTCGACAAGACTGGCAGGCGGGAACATCCTCGTGCGGTTTGGGTGCATCCTGTGGCTCCTGGCCGTTTTCGGCACTGTCGGTATTGCTAGACTTTGGTGGCATTGACGACGGTCAACCCCCGATTGCGCTTGAAATTTCAACGATGTAGAACGAGACTCCCCCTATTGCTGGGGCTCCTATTGTGAAGACTGTCATAATCTGGGGTGGAATGACAAGTCCCCGCTCCCCCAGGAAACATGGCGTCTCGGCTAAAACGCGAATTCGTGGGGAAGTTAACCTTGTCTTTCCTAGGCGTCGCCAATCACTGTTCACAAAGGGCCGCGGAGGGGGCGGAGGAATGGCCGGAGGTACTCCCGGCCCTCCTTGCCGGGATATTGCCTCATCTGGCCTAGCGTGTTCTACAACTACAGTATACAGTGCTGCATCATGCTAACCTTGGAATTGATATTTATTGCAACTTGTTATTTAGCAGTATATTGAATATTATGCACATAAGGAAAGGAGCATGAGAATACCTCTCTTCTATGTATTTATTCCCTCTTTCTGTAACCCCGAACTATAGAACGGAAGAGGCAGAGGCTCGTGAAAATTAGATGCGAGATTTTTCATGTTTCAAAGGGGTATCTGTTTTATTGTGCTCATCAATGCTATTTTCCACTGTGCAGATTGGCTGGTACCACTTCTTGGTACTTCCTGCGTTGTCCACCCTCCAAGTCCGTCTCTTCATCACTCTCCACAGATATCTCTTGTGTTTGCCAGATACCCTGCTGGCTATTATTGCTCTCAACATCAAATGCTTGCCGTTTTGATCTCTCAAGCGGAAGTTCTGATTCTGAGCCGATGGGTTTAACGGCGCTATGAGAGGGGTTGGATGAAAGTTTGAAGCCTACCCCTGAGCTTGGGTTTCCAGTTTCGGAATGAGAGGCTTTTGACTCGAAAGTCTTGCGGAAGAATGGGCGAAGTGTGGGTATACATGCAGCGACAATGACGACATTCTGCTCGACGCTAGAAGGGAATCAGCAGAAGTACATGACATGGAAACTAAAATACTCACAGTCCCCACAGCACAAGCGGAACAACATTGAACACTATCCCAGCATCAGCAAGTCTCACGCTAGACACCCTAAATGAGAAGCGAAGAAACTCACAAGGATCTGTCCGATCAGTAAAGAGATGCAAATAAGTAGCCTTGACAACAGTAACAATAGCGGAGAGCAGCGTCAATCCCATCATAATACAAATCCCCAACTTGGTCGAAAACCGCATCTGCAAATTCCAAAAAGCGCGAATAGGCACAACGGCCAAAACAATGTCTGTAAATGTCGTATATGCGCTAACCCAGTATGAGTAGTCATTGAAGACCTTCGGGCTCCAACATGTTCCCTTCACAGAGGGATCCCAGAGGGCGGCTGTGGGTGTGCATTGGAAAAATATGACGAAAACTGATATTAGAGCGAATAGCACTTGGAGTGTTGTCATTGTGTACAGACATCCTGTGCGCCACGGGTTTCGGTCTAGGAGGTTACTGATTAGGATTGCGATTGAGATGTTTGGGAAGCTGAAGGAGCCTATATCAGCAAGTGTGGTTAGTATTGTAGTTCCGGTCTGACTCCGAGCATCGTAGTTGAGAATGGACGAACCGATATTAAAGGCTGATTGTACAAGTTAGTTTTCAAATACTTCAATCTTGAGCGATGCCAAACATACGATATCCCAGAATCTGCCAATAAGCCGTCAAAGCCAGCCTCTCCTGCCCATGCTCCGCAATAACAGCAGCAGTGTGGCGCCCCAATCCCAATGTAACGGAGTACGAAACGAACGCCGCAGCAATAATGCTCAAAGCCTGTAGAGGACAATGGGTGCCGTTAGCTCCGCTTCTTGCATGGCTTAATACAAACAAACGCCCCTTACCAGCGAAAGGAAAATAAAAAAGTCATCCCAGCCCAGCTTCTTGACATGTGCCCGGGTCGTAAGTTTTAGAAAAACAGTTCCGATCGCGATCCCGGTGAAAACCCATGCGCAGACATTAATTTCCTTTGCTTTGGTCTCGTTGAAGTTCACATCGGTGATGATGGTGCTCATTTTGCATTGATCCGATATAGCCAGGAACGTATGTGGCTTACAACCCCATAAAAAAACGCCAGGGTTTGGGGGTAGGTCATTTATACATGAAGAAAATAGCCGACGGAACCGTTGGGATAATATGGAGAAAGAGGCCGGGAAACAAAATCTTCAGCCATAGGACCGGCAGCCTGGTCAATGGGATTATTGAAAAGGTGCCAATGTACATGTATCGAGCTAGTATGGACCCGCATGAATCCTTCGAATAGCAGCCCTAACTAAATTAGGCAAGAGGCAAATATCTGCCGAGCATCTGATACATGGGCCTCGGATATGATGAACTCCTCATCGTGCATAAATACAATATCTGATCCCTGTTTTCTAAGATTCTAAGCCAACCCAGCTTCAATCAGACTCTCTGCGACACCAGGATACGTATAAATCGCCGTAACCCTCAATCCAGCCGTCTTCAGGATGCCCCTCCACTCGGCTTCAGTCCTCTCCCGCACAGCAAAATGTGCCAGCATCATCATATCCATACTCGTCGCTGCGAGAGTAGGATGCTCCTCACTAACGACAATCTCATTCAAAAGAACACGCGAATAGCCCTTCTTCAGTGCCGGCACGAGATTCTCCAGAATCCGCACCCCGTCCTCATCACTCCAGTCATGTAGAATAGAATGCAGCGAATAAGCGCGCGCACCAACAACAGGCTGTGGCGTAAAGAAATCATGAGCCTGAGCCTCAAATCCTAGCTTCTCCACGCCACTCCCCACCACACTCGCAATAACAGGCTCGCGGTCCTGCAAGATAACCTTTCCAACCTTCTCCTCGAGCCCCTCCACAAAGGCAGCAGCATCATGACCACGCCCCCCACCAACATCAACAAGCAAAACTTCACCATTTTCACCTCCCTCGAACCCATTCACCAACCTCTCAGCAACAGGATAAAACCCCTCATCATACCAATTCTTCTTACCAGCTCGGTAAGCAGACATAAAAGAGTCGAAATGCCTCAAATGCGGCGGCGTTGCAACAAGCCAATCAAAGAAACTCAGCTCCGTCCCATGAGCAGCCTGAAACGGCCCGTCCGTCCCCCCAAGCGTGGGCGCTTGATACCCATTATTCTTAAAATACCCGGGGAACCCGTTAAACGAAGGTCGGGCAGCGTCATAGCAGAATGAGATACTATGTTGGTATCGTTCCTCGGAGAGGCCGTTGCTTAGTTCTGTGGCATGGAATGCGTTTTCGTGGTAGGTGAGCAGGTTTGTTGCTACCAAATGGCGGGTGAGGCGTTGGAGCAAGGATGTTTCAATTCCGGTTTTTTGCGACAGAGTTGAGGCATCTAGGCCGGCAGCGCCTGCGTCACGGAGGTGTTGGAAGAGGTTTGTATCTACCGCTAGGCGGATTGTTGCTGATTGAGCGGGCTTCGAATGAGGGTTGTTAGTATACAATACTTTGTACATGGAGGGTCATGATGATTGGAATGGTATTATCTCACCTCTGCCCAGAACGTCCTTTGGATAAATTCGCTTGGAATCTCCAATGCAGCAACGAGCGCGCGGCTGTGTGCGATCAGAGCCTCTCGTGAACCGGGCTCATCTTGTTTGAAGGCTTTGCCTGCTTCGGCGAGCTGGTCCAGGATCGTGGAGGCTTGAGCGGCGGCCATTGGATCTACTCGTGGTATTCTTTGTTGCCTTTTCTGGTGTGTTGTGACGGATAGATGAGATATGCAATATGCACGGCAGCCAAGACTACAACAAGGATGTTTTTCTATATACATTCAGGGGAGGGGGAGGGGCCTCGCCCATTGGGGCCTTTTCGAATCCCGTGCCGCGTCGGCAAACATCTCGACAAGTTCATGTGGGAGGTTAGGGCGTGCGCTAAGGTTGGTAGCTCTTACGCCGTTGAAGTTGGCACTCTTAGAAGCACAGGTATTGTTGAAAATGTAAGTTACTATGATTAAGACGTATTTTATTTGCGTTTGTATTGGGCTTCAATTGTATCCACTCCTCATTCGGTTGCGATCCGTGCCGCTTAACTGAATTCTGTTCATTTGGTATTTTCGATAGCCCCACAGTCTATGGGCTCGGGCCTGTGGGGGGCGAATTTCTACATTTATCATTCTGGCCCCCATGTTTCGTATAACTTGCTTATTCTTGTTGATTTGCCGCTAGCAAAGAGGGTTACATTGTTACAATTACTGTGCCAGGGTTGGTTTTTATTTTTGCCGTTCTACAGTAAGTAGTTTTTTCCTATCAAGTCAGAGGAACTACCAACATCCATATCACAACAGTTTAGCAATTGTTGGACAATATGTATATCTATCCCTCACTTAATATGCAGCCATTAAAAGTTGTTGGTTCCGTGATTCGGTAAAGGAAGGCGTGAAACCCATTCTATATTTGCTTGGTCCAGTGACATATTTGCTGGCGAAAAGGTTCATCCCAGTATGTAAATAGCCACTATGGGGTTTCAATAAAATTGATCGAACTACTTTCAGTCCTGGCAATGATTTCCCGATCGACATGAAAGTAGGTCTAATAATCAAGTTATTTTCGCGATGCTGCGCCGACGAAATTAGTGGGACTGGGTGAGGTTAGATGTTAGCCGAATGTTTGTCCAAGGAAAATAAACTCATTTATGCAGCTCACAAACGTGGAGGCTTGGTTACATACCCCAGGGTTATTTTTAGGCCATCCCGTATTTCGTGCATTTTCAGTGGGCGCCGCAGAAGTATAAATGCAGGAACACGAACTTACGAGGAAAGGTCCCTCAATTCTTCAACAAGGGGCCGCCAAGGCTCTATATATGGATCTCTCGATGGTAGATCTTCCTCAGGTTAGCTGCATTCTGCGAAACTACAGGCCTCAAATCGCGTTTGCGGCTGGAATACGAGTGAAGGGTTACATTCTTAATACGAATAACCAATGGATTCAATGATCACCAGAATCACGGGCATTGAGTCGGAGGAATGCTTGCTTCAACTGCCTCCAGAGGTTTTCTATAAAGCCGTCGATATATCTCGCTCTTGGACAGATATCCATCAACTCACTCTACCTGAAAGACAAAAGCAAAGCAACAACTTTGAACCCCATCTGCCATCAAAATCTACACTTGATCACTCAAAATGCATTTCATCTCCCTCCTCGCTGTCACTTTTGTGGCCGCTATCCCAGCAGTCAGTGCCTACCCGATCACCGGCGACACCGTCAACTGCCGTTCTGGTCCCGGAACAAGCCACTCTATCGTCAAAACCTACAAAAAGGGCGATGAAATCTCAGTCACTTGCCAAGCTACCGGCACCGATGTCAAAGGCGACGAGCTCTGGGACAAGACAACCGACAACTGCTATGTAGCCGACTACTATGTCAAAACCGGTAGCTCCAGCTACGTAACCAAGAAATGCGGTAGCAGTGGCGGCGGCGGCAGCAGCGGCACCGGCACCGGCAAAGCCATCGTCGCCGCAGCCGAAAAAGAAAAAGGTCTACCCTACAAATGGGGCGGCGGTGGCTGCAACGGTCCAACTGGCGGTGGCTTCGACTGCTCTGGGTTGACGCAGTATGCTCTCTGTCAAGCATTGGACAAGAAGATTCCCCGTGTGGCTCAGGATCAATATAACACCAGTATGGGCAAGCGGTATCCTCGCTCGGAAGCCAAAGAGGGTGATTTGCTATTCTGGGCTACTGGCGGTGATTGCAAGAATGGTGTGTCCCATGTTGGGATCTTTATCAAAGATGGATTGATGATCAATGCTGCTCATACTGGAACACCGGTTCGTGAGCAGGCTATTTGGACTTCTTATGGTGGAGAGAGTATCTGTCCTTATGTCATGAGGTATGTGGTTCATTACCTGATTTTGAGATGTTGCAAAGCTAACTGGGTTATAGATTCGTCTGAATTGAGTTGGGTTAATTCTTTGATTACCGCTGTGGATTGACATTTGAGTATTGGGTATACGGTGAATTGTTCCATTGATTAGATATCTGCTTTCCGGAATAGATAGCTCAAAGTCACTTTTTTTCAACGTTCTAGACCATACGACGTAAGCATCACAGGGTCAGAAATTCAATATTGTAACGAAACATAAGGAAATCTCCAGCAAATATTAATCTTAGCAATAATATAAGCGCGCTTGTATCCGTGATTATAGACAATTTGAGACAAGTCCCCTGTAAAATTACGCCACTAGTGCAAGCCTCACTAACTCCCGCCGATCCCCGTGATACACCGGGTTTACGGCCCCCAAAACGTGGAAAAAACGTACTAATTATTAGTGTTAAAATGAATACGGACTTTGCCTCAATCGGCTATAGAAAATCATACAAGACACGAGGGGTGGGGCAGTCGTACCCCGGTGCCTTTTTGGAATTTAACCGTGCATGTGTTCATCTTATAGTTAGAGTATGCATAGCTGTGGGCAATTCCAGAGTGTCGGGTGCACTTTTGACCATGGAATTGACCATGTTCAAGGGACGTGCATTAAAAGTTGGTTGTGCGTAGCGTTTACCCCGTCCATAGCGGAGTACCCATAAATCAGGCCAAGTTACATATATGAAGCTTCACTTTCATTTTGGGCCATATTAGAAGGAAACCCCCAAGGAAGCTATTCGGACCCCTTCTCCATTTATCTACCGTAATAGGTAAAGCGTGGTATTTGTATTTTCCGCGCATTATTTGGTAAAAATGCATCATTACTTGGCAATGCCAATGCACTGAGGACCGTCCCTAATATACATTTCGAAAACTCTGCGAAATAAGGAATTAGCCTATATATCGGCCAGCGGCCAATTTACCTCAAAATTTTCCAAATCTGCCTGAGAATTGTGAAGAAAGCGTGTCAATTTCATCGCATAGGCTATTTGTAGAGGTATCCGACGGTTTTTATAGGGCTTCCCGGCGCTTCTTAAGCCGATCGTACTAGGGACTCGTCCTAGGGCGTAGGAATGCTCGCCGGCGATGGCTTAGTCGGTTGTAGACTAGGAGACATAAGCTAGATATGAAAAAGCGACTTATTTTTACTAGTGGTTTACATGGTAAATGTAAGTACTAGAAATATATATTAAGGGCTGTCCACGATGCATTAGTATTGCCAAGTAATGCATGCATTTTTACCAAATAATGCGCGGGAAATACAATTACTACGCCTTACCTATTATGGTTAGATAAATGAGGAAGGGGTTATTCTAATATGGCCCTTCATTTGGATATCAATACTCCTCTGAATTGTCCATGTTCACTTTGAAATTTGATGCCATTATCAATGATACATTGACCACATGTGCCCATGCTCCCTAGATCGGAGTGTTCACCTTGGAATGGTTGGATTATAAAGCGCTCGCTTTTTTCTCCTTGAGAAATCAGAAATCAAGACCTCGTAGATTACCGGCGATGGGAATAGCAGAATAAAAGATTATTTCAAAGCCGTCTGGTCATGGTACGACTGCAGCTCGCCCACCGCTATATATACACAACTGAAAAAGAATCGTCATTTCGTTACTCGTTGTTTATTGATGTGATCAATTGTAGGCTTTTAAGGGTATTTTTCGGGTTTTTGTATCTAGGTATGTTCGAAAAGAGAACTAAACGGACCTGATATGCAAGGCCAGTTTTCCATGGTATTTGCACTCAAAAGCGAGACACGTCCCTTCCAAACAACCTGTTCAAAGTCCATCTGAACGCGATACGCAACTTATTGCGCCAACTGATACTCATAGTGATGTATGCCGCTTTCCATATAAGTGATGCCGTACGTCCCTTGATACCACCAGGCAGAAATCTATTCATGGTTCCATCATTCTCATGAGGAATCTGCATCAACGCTCTCTCATTGCCGAGGTAGGCCATCGTGCCAAGATTCTTGAAAGAAAAGGGTGGTGTCTGGGCCATGTCATCCTTATTCAGCCGCTTTGCGAGCCACTTGGCTTCTTGGAAAGTAGCCTGTGCTGTAGCTGGCGGGGCACCAGTCTCTGGCATGGCATTGTCGCCAAGTGCAAAGACGTCTCGAAGAACTGCCGTCTGTCCAGATTCATTTTCAAGCTGGACGCGGAGGTGACCGTCGACTAGGAGCGGGCCCTTCTTGGGCGCTTTCTTGAATTTCCATGCTTGCTCCGCGCTAGTAGGAGTAACGGAAGACCCTTCAATGTTGAGGACCGAGTCTGCAGGAAAGGGGTCGACCGCATCGAGTGACTGGGTAATGAATTTGGGCATGGCATTTCCAGTTGTCCAAACACACATGCCAACGCCGACCTCGCCCTCCTCTTCGGTGGTCAGAGTCAGGCAGCGCTTGGGATCCATCTCGTATGGTGGAGGGGCACCCGGCGGGCCCCACCTCAAGCTTTTGACGTGGTGAGAGGTCTTGATATCAATACCTTCACTCTTCATCGTCTCCATCGCATAGCGAGACAGTGACTCATCAAACATGGACAACACCTTGGGTGCAACATCATAGAGATTGAGCTTGGGGATCTCGTTCAGAGCCGGGTACAGCGCCATCATATCAGCGTAGATGAAGTCTCGCAGGGAAGCTGCAAGCTCAATGCCAGTTGGACCAGCTCCCACGATGGCGAAATTCAGCAGCCATTTCCGCATTTCCGGGGTAGTCGTCGGCAAGACTGCTAGCTCAAAGCATTCCCGCACACGCCGCTTCACCCTCTTGGCATCTCCGATATCCTTGAAGAACATCGCATTCTCTCGCACGCCCGGCGTTCCAAACGTACGACTGACAGCGCCAACTGCGATGACCAGTTTGTCATATGGGATCTCGAATAATTCGCCTTGCTCCCATTGGCGCTGCGCCTGCATCGGCTTCATGTTTGTAGTCTCCGGGCCCTCCTCGGTTTGTCTCTCATTTCCCCCAACGCGCGGCGACTCCGTGACGCCACTCTTAACAACCGTTGCTTCGCATAGAATGGTCTTCTTGTTCAAGTCGACTGCGCGTGCAGCTGCTTGGATGAAGTTGACTTTGGCGCGCGGATCACGCACGGGTTCGACGATGTTGGAGAAGTCTAGGGATCCGCTTGCTGTGTCGGTGAGGAGGGGTGTGAACACGAAGTAAGAGCGAGGAGAGATGATGATTGGCGAATATATTTTCGGGGATAGCTTGCGCGAGAGGTTATACCCACCCCAGCCCGACCCGAGAATGACGACTCGTTCTTTTTGGTTGTCGGAGTGAGGGCCCGCGACGGTGTAGTCGATTTGCGTTGCTAGGCATCTTCGGCTCGATGCTTGACTTGAAGGAGCAATACGAGGGGAGAATGCGCCTGTCGAATAGACAGGATATCGAGGTATGGGAGCCCGCAGACGTAAGGCCTGCCGGCGGAAAGGGAACATTCCGCTCAATGGCCGGGGATGCATGTCAATGGATTAGCACTGTGTGTCAGTCAGAAGGAAGTAAAAGTTTCTAGCTCCAGAGTTATTTGTATAAACTCGGAGTCGAAGCGAGCTCATATTGCCATATCCGTGGGCAGTATACTGTAGTCCGCTGACCCATCGATGACCTCATACTCGGCAGAGTAAGGAAAGGAGAGGCCCGGAACGGGATCTCCGACCCAAGCCTCTGGCCGGATCCACTTCTTTTTCGAACGGTGTCGGATCCTCAAACTCCCGTGAACATGTTGAGCTCTGGCTGGCTCTATCAAGCTCGTGGAGAAAGCCGGAACCCTTCGGAGCGATCGGTGAGAAGAGCTAGCACGTGCCATTGGAGAATGTCGGAGATTTAGGCACATGCTCACATGGCAGTGAAGAGTTTTGACGGGTGTTTTTCAGTACAATCGACAGAGATCAGGAAGAGAAATAGACGAATGGACGATGCATGTCGAGGGGGATGTTGATAGCATGGTGGTAGTCTTGGCACTATCATGTGCAGCACCTTAATTCTGGAGAGTCATGGGAGGATCTCTTTATTATATACATTTAAGTGCCCATAGTGGTGCCATACTCAATTGTGGCATGACACATGGTCTTTTCTTGGCCTATACAGCTATGCTAAATTTAGTGAGGCTAAGCTCGCATCGGCATGTCAGCGCTGCGATCCACACACATAGTCAGGAGACTTGACTGAATGGCAACTATGAGTTCAACTTCATATTTTCTGTCTTTCGTATGCACAAAACTCTACTTAAGTCAATGGTTCTAATTCCCTTTAAGATGTAGTCATCGTCTTGTAACACACTCAGGCTTTCTGTCACTTCGTCTGGTAAAGTGAACCTCATTGCCTCCTAATGACATACATTGAGGTTCCTGTCAAGACGTATTGCTTTTGGCATGGATAATGCGAGGAATGATATTGATTATATACAACAGTGCACAATAACAGGAGGCGGGATCTCGCTGTATGCCCGAGTTTTCCCTCAGTATCGTTACTTCGCTCCCCATCAAATCGTTTGTGTTATACGTGGCTTCATCAAAATCGAAATATCTATCTAAGAAGGTACGAGAGATATCTCATAGGTATTTGCAGAAGATATTCAGGCCAGGAGCCTGATGGAAAATTAAACCCGATCACAGGTCTGGATTCCTTCGTACTTTGATTCGGAAGGAAGCCCCTTGTGTCGACAGCGACAATCTTGCCACCCTCGATGATCGTTCCATTGACAGGGAAAACCATGGCTCCCGATGTCGCAACGTACAACGTATCGGTATCTCCAGGTAAAGTGCCGAATCCAGGAGCTACAGATCCTGCCAATGTCATCTCATCCGGCGCACCAGCAACGAAAGTGGCAGTGCCATCTGGAGTAACTGCAACAAGCCGATTGTCTGCATCAGTGGCACCCCAGATGGTGTCGTTATCGCCGGGCCCCAGGCAGAATGTATCAAGATAGACTGCCTGGATTCTTTTGACTAGCTCGCCGTGAGCTCCCGGCGCTGCGTATCCATCTTTGGTGATTGCGATGCGATACACGGATGCCAGGTAGCTATTTGACCAATAGAGATACCCGTTCAGAATATGAAGACCGTTGATCCCAAATGGAGTCACTGCCCATGGAGGGAAATGCATAGTTTCATCATCCTTGACGGCGAGTTCATATTTCCGATTGCGCGTGTCCACTCTCCAGACCAGTCCCATAGTGGAGTCACTCACGAGCACGATACTTCGTGAGTCGGGGAGCGCTTCAATGCCAGCAAGCAAGCCGCCTTCTGGGATGCGCACAAGCTCTTGGATGATAGGCTCGCCACCATGTGCCTTGGGACGAAGATCCAGCTGCCACACCCCAAATGTACCAGGGATTCCCATTCCCAGGCTACTTTGCTTGCCACCCAGGAAGGCCAAAACATCTGGCTCTGTTTCGACAATCGACGTCGCGGCATTAATTTCGTCGAAGGTATGGACGAGTGATGCAGTTGGGGTGTCTGTGTTTGCATCAGAAACGCAGTATATGGATGCGTTTGGCCATACTGTTGTCACATAGATATCGCCATTTGGTCGGACGAAAATGCTGTTGAGATAAGTTGGGAGAGAGAACTGATGAACGACTCGTAATGGTAGTGGAAGTGACACGGCCTCTATGCCTATCGTAAAGGCAAGTAATGACAACAAGAGGACGCCAATATTGGTCACCATTGTGATGAACAGGGCGGAGGTAAATCGAATCAAATGACAGTGCCGCCGTGCGCTTGGTTTGAATGATATGAAACAGAAGACCAGAGCTTTGCTAAACAGAAGGAAGATTTCGCATTCTTTCTCCTGGTCGAATTTTCTACATCTGCTGATGTCCGCTAAAAATTCCCCGAACGATATCATGCATGATGCCGAATTTCCTTTTTGGGCAGACCTCCGAACATCATTTCCTAGGCTGACCTCCGAATATCTACTGTTTCTATTTTCGCTAGTCGGTTTGATTCAAAGATCATCCTTTCCTGGAAAATGGTCGATTCCGACCGAACCTGGACTTATTGTGCGGCAGTCGGCTGAATTTTCGCACAAGATATGCCTAACACACTGATGAATTGAGTGTTGTATTTTGGCTTCTATCATACTCCCCGCGGTCGATCGTCCACAAAGACCTCTCAAAAAGTTCTAAAGATACAAGTATTTTCTCCTACAACACGCAGAACTCAGTAGATCAAGCATGAGGACGAAAATCCTCCCTTTGTGCGCTCTCGTGGCATGTGCTCACTATGCCGGTGCCAACGAGGTAGATCAAATGAGCCACTGGATATATGAACAGCAACCTTGCGAAAATACACCCACGAGCCGCAGTTGTTGGGGACATTTCAACACCGAGACAAATTACTACACCACTGCGCCGGACACTGGGGAAACCGTGGAAGTATGGCTCTCTGTACAGGAGGGAATCTGCAATCAAGATGGCTATGAACGTCCTTGTATGACGTTCAACGGGACAATGCCAGGTCCCCCCATTGTCGCCAACTGGGGCGATAACCTCAAAGTCCACGTCACCAATAACATGGAGTCAAATGGCACATCAGTACACTGGCACGGTGTGCATTTGCGCGGAAGCAACAAAATGGATGGAGTGCCCGGCGTCACTCAATGTCCCATTTCACCAGGCGAGTCATTCACCTACCAATTTAGAGTCACGCAGTACGGCACGAGCTGGTACCATAGTCATTTCTCTCTTCAGTCAACCGAGGGCCTGTTTGGTCCCCTCATCTTCCACGGTCCGGCTACTGCCGACTACGATGAAGATTTAGGATCGCTTTTCCTCCAGGATTGGTCGCACAGTCCGTCATTCACCGACTGGGACACCAAGCAGAAATTCGGCATCACACATTCTCAAACCACGACATTGATCAATGGAACCAACACCTTCGACTGTTCCAACGAGTCGGATGTCAAATGCGTTGGCGGCGGAAAGAAGTTCGAGATGCTCTTCGAAGCAGGCAAGAAACACCGTCTGCGTTTGATCAACGTCGCGGTCGACAGCCAGTTTCAATTCAGCATCGATGATCACAAACTCACAGTGATTGCCAATGACTTTGTTCCCATTGAACCGTATGTCGCCGACAGCGTGATCGTCAACGTGGGTCAGAGATACGACATCATCGTCGAGGCCAATGCCACACCGGGAGATTACTGGCTGCGAGGAGGCTGGGTTAAGTCTTGCCAGGGTGTTGCCAACGATCATCCTGAATCTGCAACGGGAATCGTTCGCTACAGCGGTGGTAGCAACAAGGACCCAATCAGTACTACCTCCATTGTGGCCCCGCTGTCTTGTAATGACGAACCGGAAGCCCATCTGGTGCCGAGATTGAAGCTTGATGTGGGAAGCATTACTGCAACGACCGTGGAGGACATCAATGTTCGGCTCACTCATGCTGCATTGTTCCAGTGGACCATCAATAGCAGTAGCTTGGTGCTGGATTGGGGAAAGCCGACTCTTCAGCGAATATTTAAACAAGAGTCCATATTCCCAACGCCCTACAACGTGGTAGAGGTTGAGGTGAGTAGTTCTCCTTTTTCATCTCTATCCCGTTCCTTCTGTCATATCCTAAAGAGTAAGATGACTGACAAATATTGTAGAAAAAAACAGATGACAAGGATGAATGGGCGGTCTTAGTGATCGAGAACAAGGCCGCTACCTTTTTCGGAGGGTATGTTAATAATCTCTTTGTCCCTAATGACAAACTCGAATAATATAACTGACATGATGCCAGCATCGCTCATCCTATTCATTTCCACGGACATGATTTCTGGATTCTCGCGCAAAAGAATACCACCTGGGACGGGACCTCGTCCTCATTCCAGACGAAGAACCCAGTCCGTCGGGATACAGCGGTACTTCCAGCACACGGATATCTTGCTCTCGCCTTCCAATTGGATAATCCTGGGGCGTGGCTGGTTCATTGCCATATCGCGTGGCACTCGAGCATGGGCCTTGCGTTGGAGTTTGTAGAAAGACAAGATTCCATATCTGCTACCATGGGCGATTGGAAGAATCTGGACAGAACATGCAGTAAATGGTCGGTTTGGTCGACGGGTGCTCCATATGAGCAGGATGACTCTGGAATTTAGTATAGGGGTGGAAAAAGCTATAAGGTGCCTCAGCGAAAATTTAGTTATCCTCGACACAGCTTTACCAGACCATGAATGTCATGCCAGCTCTAAAGTATATTTCCGCGCCGGTATCTTCACGCGTGATTGATATACCTCAAACCTGATCAAATTGCTGGATACACATGGGAATTCACCGAATACCATCCGTTCTATAGATCCAATATAAAGTGGAAGTTATCGAGATCCAAGTTGAGATAGAAATAGGGGATTAGAAATATGTACAAAAAACCCCACAAAAACTCAAGGCAAAGGCACGCTCCAACATTCCACCTGTCCGACCGTCCGATCTTCATTCAAAGTGGGCTGTCCCAATATGTAGAGTTGCTGCAAACCCTCATATTTCCCACTGACTTGAATAATCAGACGAGTGTTCTGCGTGGCAGTAGATCCGATACCCACTTCCTCGATGTAGAACGGTGATCCATCGCTTGCGTGGCCGTAGGCATAGATGAAAGGGATTTGAGTGGTGGTCCCATTGTTCGTGACGACAATCGGAGCAGCGACTCCGCCGTCGATGGTTGCATTAAATCCGGGCCCGTAGATGGTTCCTCCGGTAATAGGCTCGACGACGCGTTTGCCGCCTTCCAGGAGCGGAATGGGAGCGAGAGCCTTTCCCAAGTTCACTGTTGCGCTGAACAGATAGGTGGACGTCAATGGACCGACTTCTCCGGATGTCATTTTGGATAGTATAGGAAGATTTGGAGTTGTTTTGAAATGGCAAGGCAGTAAACACTTGAGAATGCTCTTTAGGTGAGATCATGGCACTTTTTATTTTAGTCTATGGGTGGTCAATTGTTGCACTAATCGCAGTTTGAAGAAATCACACCCCGAAGTTATTCGGTATTCATCGATTCCGTTGCCGCGGAGAGGTTGTGATAGTCAAAAGGGGCTCTCCGATGCTCCGTTTCCTCCGACTCCTCCGTTGCCGCATCTGGAAAACGATATAAGATGACCGAGTATTGCATTCAATCGGAAGTCGCCATTCTATCTTTCGTACCCTGGTAAATTCTGATGCAATGGTTCCCCCGCTTCGACTCCCGCACCGCGCTTCGGTCGCGCCTTTGAACGCGCCGAGAACTAGCTTGACTAGCTCGCGAGGGCCTGCCATCGCATCGCAGACATGTATAAGGCCGACATCTCGCCCGGCATGTTCATCCGGAATTTCTAGCTGTTCATCCCGAAACTTCCCTTTATATCCAAATCGACTTCAACTCGCACCCATGTCTACAATGCAGGCAACTCATGGCCACAGCCAGGCCTGCTGTAATATCCCACCTGTTGTCTCGGAGGGCTATGTCCCTAAAGGCTCGTATGAGGAGCTCGGTGGACTAAAAAGCTGTAAATACCAACGGCGTTCCTCTAGCTTTGCTACGACTCGGGCTAACATAGACCTATACAGATGTGACCGGCCCAGAGGAAGCTACCAAAGGAATTGTTGCTATTTTCGACATCTTCGGCTACTTTGATCAGACTCTTCAAGGCGCCGACATCCTGGCAGCTAGCGATCATCACCAGAAATACAAGGTCTTCATGCCTGACTGGTTCAACGGCAGCCCATGCCCTGCTGAATGGTAAAACGTGCTGCCGCCCCACTTAAAGGAGCAACCGCTAACCAAGCCGGAATTAGGTACCCCCCTAACACCGAAGAAAAGCAGAAGGACTTAAGTGAGTGGTTTGGTAAGAATATGCCACAAGGTCCTGCGGCTGCTTTGCCTGGTTACGTTGCCGCCCTTGGGGCCGCAAATCCATCTATTACCTCCTGGGGACTCATCGGGGTGAGTTAGCTGTTTTTACACTATGTCAGCTTCTCAATACTGACTGGAATAGTACTGCTGGGGAGGTAAAGTTGCTGAGATTGTGACGTCTGGCGAGGACAATCCTTTCAATATTGCTGCCGCGTGCCACCCGGCCATGGTTGATCCATCTGGGGCGGAGAAGATCCCAGTGCCGTATATCCTACTGGCGTCGGGGGAAGATCCAGCTGAAGATGTCAAGCAATTTGAAAACAAGCTGAAGGTGCCTCATCATGTGGAGACATTTGGGGATCAAGTCCATGGCTGGATGGCTGCCCGTGCTGATCTGTCTGATCCCCGAGTACAGGAAGAGTATATTCGGGGTTACAAGACTGTGTTGGAATTCTTTGGAAAGCACTGGAACTAGATCAGACTAGGCTATCTGTATCCAAGTTTGTAAGCTGTACGGTATTATCTCCAGAAGCAAAGTGTACCAATTGAATTTCTCAGCTTTTTGTGGCATCATTTGGATCAATCAGAATCTCGTCCAAACAGAGTAAGCTTACCTGAGGGATGCAGCACTTCCAAGGCTAATCTCTCACTGGCCTTCGAGGGAAATGTCAAGCTTAATATATTTCAGATCACTTGCTGAACAACGTTAAAATGATTGCCATGCTCACGAACAAGAGGAATATATCTACACAGTGTCTCTATACTAAACCATGGAATGCGCACCGCATCTGTCAACAAGGATAGAAAAAATTTTGCATTTCCAGTGCCAAGTCTTAACGATCACCTACACCGAACCGAGTCGATGCTGAACTATCAACACCAGATAGGCGATTACAACCCTACAAACTTCCCACACAAAGCCCAATCCAGTCAACCCAATCAGCCGATTCAACAACAAAAGTCGCTTAGAATAAAACGTCGCTTCGCGATCTCTCTCCTCCTGCGTGATCTCTCCCCTCCAAACACGATCCATCTGGAAACAATGACGCGCGGCCTGCTCGGACGCCATCCCCAAATGAGAGCGGAATCCCGTGAACGCATCCCCGACCAGCACAAGTCGCCCATCAAAGAAGCTTGACTGGGTCGCTTCAGACTCACCAACTTTTGTGACGAACGGTCGCGGCGTCTTGGTGACAATCTCCGCCAAGTGTGGTGTCATACCCGACACATAACGAGCTATCTGCTTGGACCAGATTTCGGGTCTAATTTGGCCGTGTGGCACGGTGTTAGTATGAGTCTTTCCTTGGACATCTGTGAAGATCTCTTCCATTTCTCGTGATCCTTCCGGTACGGTGAAGTACCAGACCCAGTTGACGAGGCGTTTACCGGGCTGGATGTCGCCAGCTTCGGTTGGGATGAGGTAGCTGTCGAAAAAAAGTTAGAAACGTGGCAGCAAAGAGAACAAGAAGAAATGACTCTCAAAGAGGGAAAGGTGGTTCTCGCCTTACCTAATGAAATATGTCCCCTTCATCAATGTGAAATTAAGTCGATTGGAGAAATACTCCACCGTTTCTTTGGATAGCAGTGCTTCGGGAACAGTCCCACGCCATCCAATATACCCAGCATAATCCCTACGCGTGGGGACCTGCAAAATCTTCCGAACAGTGGAATGCACACCATCAGCAGCGATAACCATCTCTGAGCTAACACTGCCGATGTCCCCCTTCAAAACATCCACATACTCGACATGAACAAGGCCCTTGTCCTTATCATAGGTGACACCTGTCACACGTTTGCCAGGTCGATACTCAACCAGACCATCTGTTTCCTTCGGAGCCGGTGGCTGAGGCACAGTCTGTGATTCAAAACCATCAAAGTTTGCACGCAGAATGAGGTAAAGACAACCCCAGTTGCTCATATTATGGTTCCAAACCATACTCGCAACGCGAAGCCGTTGCCTCCATGCAAAGCTGAGGAACCGAGCTGGGATGGCGGCTGGTCGACCTGTGGCGTCATATTTTTCCAACAGTTTCACTACCGTCGGTCCAATTGATACACCTGATTCGTGGCTGTGGCGGTCTTTGGAGGGATCCTGCTCAAGGATTATGACGTTCGCCCCTTGACGCTTTAGTTGTAGACCTTGCAAGAGACCGGCAACGGACCCGCCGATCTGGATTGTTTAGCTGGTGTCGATTGCGTTTTGGGCGACGGGTACTTACAATTACCGCAGACGTAGGGATTGGCATTATAAGTTTTGCCGTTCAGAAGTAATTTCCTGGGTAGTTATTGTATACGATATTGGTGTATCAACAGTTGCGAACCCCAAGGCGGAATTGCACTCTCCTTCTATCTATGAAAGGTATGATCCATACCCAGCATGGCCCTCGGCGCCCCGGCCCGTCGATAGTTTGATATTCCTGTTCAGGTAAAATTTTGGCCGACGCCGAATACCAACATCAGACCACAGTTTACTGAAAATTCCATCGGAACTTCAAAAGGAGTGCGCCTAATCAGGCGCCGATCCCGACAAACAAGGCCGTAAAGGGCTTGCTCCGAGCCACAGCCAACTTTTCAACCAAAAACTCATTTTGGAAATATGTGCATTGGCCAGCCACAACTGGCTTGACCAAAGTCAATATCGGTGTATGAAGTGCTTGGCCGGCCGGCGATTGGATGTATACGGCTTGGTTGTAGAGAAAAATCGGGATTGCATTCATAGAGCTGTTGGAAAACTTGAAGGCTGCCTGGGCTTTGTTCATGGCAGTCTTCCTCTTAGAGAATATATCTATCTAAAGGCATTCGGACTGGATTACATCTAGTATTTGGAAGCAGCCATCTAAGTACTGGCTAATAGACTACGCAGCAAATAATCCACATCCTCAACTTTATCGCATAACTGCCGCTCCTCTTCTCTTATCTTCTTCTGCCACCGTCCATTCTCCAAACCCGTCATGACACTTTCATCAAATAGGGGCACCGTATCCACCGTCGTCCCCTGAGACATCTCTCTCGACACCTGCGACTGGGCCGCCCGGAATGTCCCCGGCAATCCCAGAGCTCGCTCAATATCATTCAACGCATCTAGCAACATAGAAACAGCTCTTTTAGTACGCATGGCAGTTTCAAACCCAACGCACATGCAGCTTGTCTGTAGCTGACCCAGTCGCAATCCCTGGTAAGCATTTATATCCGCCATCAAAGAATGTGGGAAGTGTGTGGGTCTGTGGGCAGAGCACGGGTCCGAGGGCTTTGAAAGGTGCTCTCGGAGATAGGCGAAAACAGCGGAGTATATTCGTGTTTGCGTGATATAGCAGGAGAGTGTGAGCAGTCTGCTTGGCATGTCTAGGTCGGATGAAACGTTGATAGTGGGTAGATGGCTATGGTCTGTGATAATCGCGTAGAAGCGCTTGGAGAGAAACAGAGCATCCCCGATTGGATAGTTTTCTAGCTTGCTCCCGTCTAAATCTGCAAGCTGGGTTTCGTAATGGGCCATTTTTGAGAGAAGAGTGGAGAGATCGACTAGTAGGTTGGGTCTCTCTCCTGCAAGGGGATCCATGCTCGCTCTCTTGTCCATATCCAATTGCAGGGCTAGATCTGGGTCAATAGTGTATGGCGGAGACGGGCAAGGGCCTGCACTGTCTAGGAAACCAGCTAAATCGTCGTATGCTGTCCCTGCAAGCAGGTCTAAGCTCTCCTTTGTGTCGGAGCTGCAGGGGTCCTCGTCCGGTTGGCCAGTTACGGGCTCAAGGTAGGCAAGCGCATCTATCTGGTCCCTCTGCGCACAATGAAGCATGAAATTATCCTGACCCCATAAGCCCCCCAAAAACGTGACAGATGGGAAAGTCTCATGTGTGTTATGTTCCTGCCCCATGGGTGACGGCATATTCGGCCGAGCCAGTTCATCTGATGCAGTCTCCGGGGTAGATAGACTGGATAATGTGAATACGCTCATGCCCGGTACGGACGTTTTGGATGCGCTCCGCTCCCTGCGCGATAGACCCGGTCGTTTGTCCGACTCTCCGTTCCCCCTCGGCTTTCCAGTTCGTAGTCGTCGACTGAAGGTGCATGATTTAGGTTCTTTAGCCTTCAGACAGCGCTGACATGTCGAAAAAGAGTCCGTTTCGGAGGAGGGCACACATCGTAGCTTTTGTGTACGACATCGATCGCATGAAGCCCGCAGCGGCGTGGCAGCAGAGGAACAGCCATTGGGAATTGGGCTTAGTGTGCTCATCGTGTTGATCACACAATGAAGTTCTATTCAACGTTGTTGATTTGTTGAATAAGTAAATCAAGTAGATGCCCAGGTGCCCAGGTGACATCCCCACGGGGTTTTACCTAACGAGCCCAGAGCATGTACTTAGTGTGTTTGCACTCTCCGTCAGGCCAAGCCTTGTCTGGAAACGCCAGATCGCCTAATTGTTCACGCAGGGAGCTATTGGTCGATGATAACATATGATATGCAGTCACTTGCACTGGCAGATACGGGTCCATTAAGGCCTGGAAGAGATGAAGTTGGTGATTCGTGGGACGCGTCGATCAGGCAAACCAGAGGCTGATCCGGGACGAGTGAAGGGCTTCCCACTTACCCGCCGATCCACCTCCGTGGGTCTTGGCGGTTTCGTGGACTGAAGATGCTTAGGTAGCCTTCGCATATACGACAGAACCCTCCGTAAATCGTCTGCATACTCCGAATAGGGACTAGACTAAGCTTGCAGGTTGCATATGGTGACATCGTGAGCCTCGTGTCTAACTTAATTTCTCAATCCACGCTAATTAATTGGTCCATCGGGAATTTTCGCTATATTAAACGATGTTATCCTTGTAGTCTCCGAAGCTAAAGCAAGTACATCGCTTGGGATCCATCAAGTTATTTTAATCTAGGCGCTCGCCTTCGCACGGAGCTGCTCTCCGTACTTGTAGAAGAGGACAGGCGCTGGAACGAATGCCAACGCTATAAACCCCAACAACGAATTTCCCCACCCATAGTTCAGACTGCTGTACATTGCGGGCCCAGCAAGGGGCAAGAATGTGCTGGAAATGTACCGAAGTAGGTTGTTGGCCCCCAAGGCTGATGCCGCGGCCTCAGACCCGAAGACATCGATCAGGTACAGTTGTGCAGGTGTCTAGATTGAAACATATTAGCAACAGAGAACAAGGATGTGACCATCAAGTAGGGAACCCTTACAATAACGAAGAAAGCACCAAAGCCCATCAAGCTTGTGCCAAGAATGGGAACAAACCAATGGACTTTATAGTATGCCGTCCAGCCATAGAGGAACAAGCCTCCGGCCACGAACGGACTAAACCAGATCATGAGAAGAAGACGGTACTCAGGGCGGGGTTGTTGCACGCCGTCGGCTTTCATGCGTGCCGCCTGAACGCGACCGTTCAGCAAGTTGAAAAGCACCATGCTAATCACTAGCGCCACGCCGAGTCCGAGATAGGTGAGCCCCGAAATGGAGGTCGAAAATCCATACTGGCCCTCGAAGACACTGGTGAATGTGGTGAAGAGCAGATACATCACACCAAACACCAGTGCCACGTAAAGGGATATCACGAAGAGAATGGGTGACCGCACAAGAAGCATTACTGGACGGACCAGTACCTGCAGGAGGACTTGGCGAGGTGACAAGGTGCTGTCTAATTTCGAGCGCCAATTGGAATTCCCCGTACTAGCCCGCAGATAAGCGGCCTTCTGCTCTAGTAGTACTTTGGGGTGTGATTCCCGCAGAACGAGCACAGCAATGGACCCGAAAAACCCGCCTAGAATGGCAAGAAGCCAAAATGTCCAACGCCAGCCCTTACCGGCCGCCAGAAAGCCCCCAATGACGGGACCGAGCACCTGAAAGCGAAATTAGCTTTGCTTTAGACTTTGCAAACAGAAGATAACACTCACTGGCCCCGCAAGTGGTCCCATACTGAACAATGCCATCGCTACCGCCCGTTGCTGCACGCTGGTAATGTCCGCAATGGTTCCCCCGCCCAATGCCATTGGAGTGCCGCCTGCACATCCCGAGATAAATCGAAAGACCATGAATTGGGCGGTGGTCTTGCTCAAAGCGTTACCAATGATGAAGGCGACAAATATGGTCGTGGCCGCGTGGTAAACGGGCACCCGACCGTACATCTCACTCAATGGTGACGTGAACATGGGGCCAATTGCGATGCCAAGAACATAGAGCGTTACAGTAAGGGTGCTGACAACTGTAGAAGTGATATGGAGATCCGCGGCGATATCCTTCGCCCCCGGTGCACACATTGTGGGGGCCATGTTGCTTTTCGAGAATACGTAAGCGACTGCCACAAAAGACATGGATGCAGTGGAGAAGAAACAAGGGTACAAAAGCACGGCATGTGGTCGCTTCGATCAACGAGGAACTAAGCACGGAGTACTGAAACATACGTAATCAAGGCCAATATCGAAATGATAACGACGTGCCCCCATCTTTTGCGCGGTGACCAGTTTCGAGGGTTCTCACTGTCATCAGGTCCTTCCCAGTCGACAATCATAGAGTCGTCCTTCTTTTCTGGGCCAGCCTCCAGTTGGCTTGGGGCGATGTTGGTAGAACTTGCGGTAGAAGACATCCTTACGGCAAGGTGTGAAATAAAGTCAAAGTAAAATGCTCTCTATGAGCCTATCCAGCGTTGCTCTGCCATTTAAATTCTTTTCGAGTCAAGTGATTGATTTCCCCTGTGGGCTTTCTTTCAGGTGGATCACGGAAACAGGGAATAGTGGGCGACCGAACAGCTTCAAAATGAAAGAAAGATGTATATGTTGGCTTGTCGGGTCCGGTCATGGTGCTCCGACGCTAGTAAGGGATCAGAAACGGAAGAAACGGAGAGATGACCGGAGATAGGAAGACATATAGACAGATAGAGAAGCCGTCGTGGATCTACATAGATCTCAGACGCACGGACCCGACGGACCGGACGATCGGAGGGTCGGATCAGCGAAGATCAGCTGACCTCCCGGACTTCGTTTGGTTTTCCGTTGAGACAAGCTTGGTGTTTGACAACGTTGGCTTGGGCTCTTTGAATTTACGTGGTCGTGACCGCCGCCTACGAAAGTTGAGTATATTGGACCTGGAGAGACCATCCGACCGTAGCATAGAGCCACTCGGGGATTATTGTGATGTCAAGCACCAATCCAACACCTTCAATGGAACCAGAGGCAGTGCTTCCCGAGACCAATTCTATATCACATCCTCGACCAAAGCCAAGTCGGCAACGGGACAAGCCGCAACTGTCATGTAACCCGTGCCGCCGCCGTAAGTAAGAATGACATTCCATAAGCCCGTCTGTGACCAGCACTCACAAGACGATCTGTTCTCTTTTGTTGTGCAGATCGCGATGTGATCGTCAAAACCCTTGCTCGTGCTGTTCTTCTCGAGGACAAATCTGCACATATCCCGATAACTCGGGTTTCACTGGCAATTCAAAGCCTCCGTCTGCGGCTGCGGCCCCAGGGGTCCACGACCGGCTGGTACAGCTTGAACGACTGGTCGTGTCGCTGATGGGCGACTCGGCGAACAGAGACCATGCTGCCTCTGTGCCAGTGCCAGACTCTGCTCGCTCGGTGTCTCAGGCGACCTCTACCATGGATACTGTCATGGAAGCGCCAATTGACGGGCATTCGGAATGTGGGAGCATGCGCATCAGTGAGTCTGAGCTGCGGTATGTAGGTGGTGATCACTGGGCGGCGATTCTCGATGGCATCGCGGATTTAAAGGACCACTTTGATCGCGATGAGCAACTACGACTAGCCAATACCCCAGAACAACTGCCAGACGAGCCTGCGCATGACTCGTCCCGGCCAAGATCTGGGTATGCGCTACTCCTGTACGGGTGCCGGAAGATCGCTTCTCGTGGCGAGATTTTGGCAGCGTTGCCCCCCAAGGCTGCTGTTGATCGCTACATATCTCGATTCTTTAATTATCTAGATTTAGTTTCTGCTTGTTCGTACTCCACTTTATGCTCCATTGGGGCCTGTGAATCTGGTATTGACTATCCTTACAGCAGCCGTTCATGGTCCAAGCTTTTTAAGAGAGGCAAGTTTTCTCCACCGTGAGCATTGAACATTTACGCTGACGAGAGTAGTATGAGGCATTTTGGACGAATCCATCCAGCGTTCCAATCATGTGGATCGGTCTTCTGTTCAGCATGATCTGCCTTGCTTGTTTGACTACGGATACGCTCGACGCCGAAGTGGAACATCTGTCGCTTCAGATTGATCTCTATCGAGAAAAGATCGTCCAGTGCCTAGTATTGGGCGAATACACTAGGACAGGGCCGTACGTTCTTCAAACGGTGATCAACTACGTCTATATTGAATTTTGCCTTCGCACGGACGCTGATCAAGATACGTGGTATTTGCTGGCCTTGGAAATAAATCTGGCCATGCGGATGGGCTACCACCGCGATCCCAGTCATTTCCCAGGAATTTCTCCCTTTCAGGGAGAGATGCGTCGCCGTTTGTGGGCGACGGTCTTGTTGGGCGACACGCTTGTGTCGAACCAAATGGGCATGCCACGCATGATATCTGACTGGAAATGGGACACAACAGAGCCGCGAAATTTGAACGACACGGACTTTGACGAGCAGTCAACAAACCTTCCTCCGTCGCGTCCCTTGACTGAATACACAAATTCCCTCGGACTGATCGCTCGACGACGTATCTTGGCAGCACTGGGCACAGTGGCCGATCTCACAGATGCGGTCAAGCCATGCAGTTATGCAGATGTGATGCGCGTCGACGGCATACTGCAGGAAGCCGCAGCCAGTATTCCGCCACTTTTGCAGATGAAGCCCTTGGCAACGAGTGTGACGGACTCTCCGCAGGTCATCATGTCGCGATTGTTCTTGGGTCATATGTTCTACAAGGGGCAGATTGTTCTTCATCGCCGGTTTCTGTACACAAGCTCGGCTAACCCAAATGATGATCCAATGAGCTATTCGCGAAAAGCCTGCTTGGATGCTTCCCTGGGCATGCTGAACATCCAAAACATGCTTGATGAGGAAACATGTCCGGGCGGCCAACTTTATACCATGAGGTTCCGTGTGACTTCCATTATGAACCATCAATTCCTCACTGCTACTATGGTACTATGTTCCATGCTGTATCGGGGGAAAACATTACAGCGGGAACAGGAGATTCGGGCAGCCCTTCAAATCTCGAGGTCCATTTGGATGAGAAGAAGTTCCACTTCCAAAGAAGCAACAAAAGCCGCCGAAACTGTTAGTTTCGTCCTCGCAAATGCCGGCGATGGTCACAAGTGCGACCTCTCTTTCAATCAAGATGTCTCCCGCGACTTACAAGGCAATTATCAAACGCACGCTTTACTCGGATATTCCGCCAAAGCTACCGGTCAACCCCTGGAAGAAGGGCTGCTACTACCAGGTAATATGAGTTTATTCGAGCGTGAGTTTCCGGTCGAGCTTTCTCTCTTACCTGGTCTAACTAAGCTACAGCCGATCATTTTCTCATGTCAGGCTCCTTTGGAATGTTGGCTTCGCCCAACCAGCAAGATCAACAATTCGGGCCAAACTTCAACGCATTGGAGAGACCAGCTGACAGTTGGATGATGATGAATATGCCAGGGCAACCATGGTCATGACTAGGACTGTATATAGTACTAACAACAACTAAGATCAGTTAACAGTGGACTTTGAAACCGAAATCTTGCCCTGGAGTATTTATTTTAAGAAATCCGAACAGTCTGTGAACTGTGTTCGATGCTCCCTTGATGCAACGTTGCTAGTATTTGATATCGTAGTTTCAACTGATCCTCTGCGGAATTTCTACCGCCTCAGCCCGAGCACTGCATTCCGTTGATGACAATCATGAATTCTGCCATTGGGAATAGATAGCGCCCACATGTCGTGGCCAATCCCGTGTATTTTCCGCGAGTCAAGGTCCATATACTTCTTTCGGATTCTCCGAGTGAACTAGCCCTATCAGGCAATGAAGAGACTCTTTACCGGTTGGCTTGCATATCTAATCGGAGTCATTGATCGGAAGTATATGCTCGGCATGTGTCCAAATGAGGAATGGGAAATTGAACTGTGATTTGGGGGCGCTGCCAAACACCAAGGCCCCTAGCATAGGCCTCCCGTAGCGTCTAGATGGAACCTTCATGTCAAAAAGCGCCGTTGATAGGCCTTTCTCTGAATTTTCCATCCACTTCTGAACATTCGGCACTCCTGGGAATGCTCCAACCCAAGATGGGTCAACGAAGCACAATCCCTCCGAACAAGCTTATTAGAACCACTCTTCCAGGTGGAATACCCCTCTATCATAATTCCTGGGCTTTTTAGTTATCTTCAGGATTTTCAGCCTCGAGATTTGTGATCTGAAGTGCCATTCCTTGAAGTTGTGATTCCTACACCATACAATCACGCCCGAGCTTGTTTATATCTATAGAATCATCCCAATCTCCGATTGTTGGTACAGGGCTTCACATCTCGCCACAAATCACTATGGTTGAACCAATTGCTGTCATTGGCTCTGGATGTCGCTTCCCCGGGGGTTCTGATAACCCAAGCAAGCTATGGTCGATGATTGAGAAGCCAAACCACATATCGAGCAAACCCCCATCATCTCGATTCGATATCGACCCTTTTTACCACCCGGTTGGTGCCCATCATGGAACCACCAATGCAACACACTCCTATTGGTTGGACGAGTCTGATCGTACAAGTATCAACAAGTTCGATGCTGGATTCTTTAATATCCAGCCCAGCGAGGTCGATTCCATGGACCCCCAGCAGCGAATGTTGATGGAAGTAGTGTACGACAGTCTCTGCGCTGCAGGTCAGCCCATGGATAAGCTGCACGGGTCTGACACAGCTGTATACGTCGGAATGATGTCCGATGACTGGAACACAATGGTAACAAGAGATTACGAGACGTTGCCTCGGTACACTGCTACAGGATTGGAACGAGGTATCATGGCGAACCGAATCTCTTTTTTTTATGGGTGGCATGGGCCAAGTATGACTCTGGATACTGCATGCTCCAGTAGTCTTGTTGCGCTGGACCTCGCCGTGCAGATCGTGCGCAGTGGCAAGTCTAAGATGGCCGTGGCGGCAGGGGCCAACTTGATTCTCAGCCCGGGTGAGTTTCTCGCACTTAATCATCGACTTCAAACGCTCTGAACAATGACTTACTTCCTCAGTCATGTATATATCGGAAAGCAACCTCGGAATGCTGTCTCCCAACGGTCGGTGTGCCATGTGGGACTCAGCTGCGGATGGATATGCGCGTGGTGAGGGTGTCGCGTCTGTGATTGTGAAGACACTGTCGCAGGCTTTGGCTGACAACGACCCAATCGAGTGCATTATTCGTGAGACTGCAGTCAACCAAGATGGCAGAACTCCAGGCTTGACGATGCCAAGCAATCAGGCACAGGCTGCTCTCATTCGGGAGTGCTATGCTCGTGCGGGCCTCGACCCTATCAACAATCTTCACGACCGTCCTCAGTTTTTCCATGCTCATGGAACAGGCACCCAAGCCGGTGATCCCCAGGAGGCCGAAGCGATTTCGAGCGCTCTGTTCCCTGCTGGGTCGCATGCAGTTCAGGCAGCACAGAAGCTGCTCGTCGGTTCAATCAAGACCGTCATCGGCCATACCGAAAGCACAGCAGGGCTAGCAAGCCTTATTAGCACGTCTCTAGCTTTACAAAAGGGAATTGTGCCGCCTAATCTCCATTTTCAAAACCTGAGCGACAAGGTGGCTCCGTTTTTCGATCATCTAGAGATTCCTACCACAGCAACACCGTGGTCGATTGGCGAAGGCCAGGTTCGCAGAGCAAGTGTCAACAGGTATGTTCTCAAATTGCAGCTCAAATGTTTCCGCTCCAGACTAGGACCCATTGTTGATTTTCTCATTCTTTAGTTTCGGATTTGGTGGCACAAACGCACACTGTATCCTGGAGGAATATGTTCCCGTACGACGGGCGATTTCCTCTCCAGTTTCCTCTGCTGCCTTCACTCCGCTGGTTTTCTCGGCCGCATCTGAGCCAGCTCTTCGGAAGTTAATTTCCCAGCAAGTAGAGTATCTGAAAACTCAGCCAGATGTTGCATTTCCAGATCTCCTATATACCCTGCAACACCGAAGATCCACACTACCTTACAGGAAACACGTTACAGCTCAAAATGTCAATGATGCCATTGCCTCGCTAGAGACCTTACTTACTTCGGACAACAATGACGACATCACTACAAGGAGTATCAATTTGTCGCGACCGGCACGGATTCTCGGAATCTTTACTGGTCAAGGCGCTCAATGGCCACGCATGGGCGCCCAGCTTCTCAAGAATTCACCATTCGTGATCGCTCGTATTGCAGAGTTGGACAATGCTCTTCAAAGTCTCCCATCTCCAGCAGACCGACCACCATGGACGATCCATGATCAGTTGCTTGCAGGGAAAGATACTTCTCGTCTTGCAGAGGCTGCTCTCTCACAGCCACTATGCTCCGCTGTGCAAATTGTCCTTGTTGACATTCTCCGGGCAGCTGGTATTTCATTTGCCGCCGTCGTGGGTCACTCCTCTGGAGAAATCGGCGCTGCGTACGCTGCGGGCTTCTTAACCGCTAAGGATGCCATTCGAATTGCTTATTATCGCGGTGTACATGCAAAGTTAGCCGGGAGCCCCAACCCCCATGCCCCTCGCGGTGCCATGATGGCAGTTGGCACATCCATGGATGAGGCCCGATCTATCTGTGCTGAGAGGTTTGAAGGGCGATTACAGCTTGCCGCGGTCAATTCCGACTCCAGTGTGACTCTTAGTGGCGACGAGGATGCTGTGGATGAAGCTGAAGAGTTCTTCAAGACACAAGGAACGTTCGCTCGTAAGTTAAAGGTCGATACAGCCTATCACAGTGCACACATGTCCAAGTGTGCTAGTTCTTACCTTCACTCACTCGAAAACTGTGGTATTCAGGCTCTTCAGCCGCCCAAAGACACAACCACAGTCTGGTATTCGAGCGTTTCGGAAGGCGAGTCTATGGATATTTCGCGTGTCACAAGTCAGTACTGGGTGGACAACATGTGCAACACTGTTCTCTTTGCTGGTGCCTTAGCCAAGGCTGTCATGGCTGTTGGCTCTTTTGACCTTGCTATCGAGGCTGGGCCCCATCCCGCATTGAAAGGGCCTGCCACTGCGACCATAGATGGAGAGACCAGCGTACCATACACAGGGTTGTTGTCACGGGGCCAAGATGATATCGTGCAACTTAGTTCAGCACTTGGATACATTTGGCATCATCTTGGTGCTGATAGTGTGCAGTTCGCCGCTGTCGAAAAGTTGCTGTCTGGCAATTCAAACCAGAGAACTGTCTTGACGGACTTGCCTCTTTATCCCTTTGAGCACCAACGAGAGTACTGGACCAGCAGTCGTATTGCTAACCACTTCAAGCACCGACGCTCTACTCATGTGTCAAACCCCGTACTCGGCGCCCCTTGCTCCGAAGCAGCAACACCCGGGGAGTTCCAATGGCGCAATATTCTGCAACAGAGTGAGTTGCCATGGCTTAGTGGCCATGCACTGCAGGGGCAAACCGTGTTCCCAGCTACAGGATACGCTTCCATGGCCTTAGAAGCGATCAAAATTGTGACACTTGATGCGAACCCGGAAGCCAGTATCAGTATCATGAAGCTCACGAACCTGGAGATTCCTCGTCCAATTGCCTTTGACGATGACTCGATGGAAGTCGAAACTATCTTCAGTCTTTCTTCAGTCAACATATCTGATGTGGCTGGCACAGCCGAATGGACCGTTTACTCAATTGACAATGCTGGAAATATCAACCTGAACGCTAAAGGAGAGGCGCTCGTCCAACTGGCCGCTCAACATCCTGATACACTTCCGTTCGTCAAGTCGGACGCGTATGATCTGATACCAGTGGATTCTGAGCTGTTCTACGCCAACCTCACCCGCGTGGGGTATAATTACTCGGCTCCCTTCCGTGGTCTTTCAAATATCCGCCGCAAGCCCGGATACAGTGTTGGCACATTGTCTGATCAATCTGAACCCGAGGATGGCAGTCTCATCCTTCATCCTGGTCTTCTTGACTCCGCCCTGCAGACAGTCTTCGCCGCCTGGTCGTATCCCGGTGATACTCAACTGTGGTCTCTACATGTCCCAGTGTCAATTGCAAGCATCACCATCAATCCCTATTTCACACCGATCGGAGATGGTGGGAAACAAACCACCATATGTTACGAGTCTTTCCTTCGCACCAACACTGCTTCAAAGGTTGTGGGCGATGTTCATCTCCACACGGAAGATTCGACGCATGCTTTCGTTCAGTTTGAAGGGGCCACGCTTGTGCGATTTGCCCCAGCTACTTCGAAGAATGATCTTCCCATGTTTTCGCGGTTTGAATACCCTGTTGCTTTCCCAGATGGACAGCTAGCTGCATCTGGCGAAACGTTGCTTGACTCTGAGGTGCAACTCTACAAGGACGTGGACAGAATCTCGTACTGGTTCTTGCGCCATGCCTCGCTTTCCATTCCCTATGAGGAACGCGAGGCCCTTTTGCCCCATTACCAACGATACCTGGCCTGGTGCGACCGCATGGTTGCCATGGTCAGCCGAGGTGCTCATCACAAGGTACCCTCGTCCTGCAATGGAGACACACGTGAGGCTATAGGTGAGATACTATCTCGATATGAAGACCGCAAAGATGTCCGATTTGTTCAGGTCGTGGGTGACAATCTGGTCTCCACTATTCGTCAAGGCAACTCCATGCTCGAGCACATGAACCAGGATGGTCTCCTCCGCGCGTTCTACGAGGAAGGGGCCATTTGCTCCGGTCCTACGGGTCGCTGGCTGGCGCGTGTTATTGCCCAGATCTCCAAGCGTCATCCCGGCCTGAATATCTTTGAGGTAGGCGCCGGGACGGGTGCCACCACTTCTGCGGTACTCGACTCTCTCGAGGGGAATTATGCATCTTATACCTTCACTGATATTTCGAGTGCTTTCTTCATGGCAGCTGAAGAACGCTTTGGTCAAGAATCCCGTCGCATGGCATTCAAAACCTTCAACATGGAGGAAGAGCCAACTAGACAAGGGTTTGTGGAAGGCACCTATGACGTCGTGGTGGCAGTCAATGTGTTGCACGTTTCCGTGGATATTGAAAAGTCCCTATCAAATGTGCGGCAATTGCTCAAGCCTGGTGGCTTCCTTGTAGTTGCTGAGCTCACTTCGACCGATTTACTATTCAGTGGAATGACAGTTGGCACATTGCCCGGTTGGTGGATCGGAGCTGAGACTGGCCGTCCCTGGGGCCCGTTGTTCACTCTGGGCCAGTGGGATAATGTCTTGAAGAACTCTGGATTTGCGGGAATAGATACTACATCCCCGGATATCAGCGCGTCTCTTCCAATGAGCGTATTCCTCGCTCAAGCCACCGACGATCGAGTTGCACTGCTGCGCAATCCCCTCTCTGTGAAGGCGCATCCTGCTGGCATCCGAACCGATGCGCTAGCCATTATCGGAGGAAAAACCTGGCCAGTCTATAAGCTCAGCCAAGAGATTTCCGATACCATGGAAAAGCGCTTTCACAGAAAAGAGACCTTCAATACCGTGGAAGAATTTGCTGCGTCTGAGATGGCTAAGGTTGCAGCTTCATCTGGAGGAGTTACCATTCTTTCTCTTACGGATCTTGATCGACCGTATCTGGAGGACCTAACTCCCGGGAAATTCGAGGCTCTCAAGACCTGTGCTACTGCTGGTGTCTTGATCTGGGTTACTTGTGGCTCACGCGAAGAACAGCCATATAGCTCCATGATGACAGGAATTTCTCGTACAATCAGAACAGAAAATCCGGGCTTGCACATTCTTACATTCGACCTTGATCCTGCCGTGCAAAATGGTATACAACCGAACAGTGCCACGGAGCTGTCTGTGGCGATACTGCGACAATTGGCACTTACACACTGGGGTACCGACTCGTTACTGTGGACTCTGGAGCCTGATATCTTTGTGCGCCATGGACGACAGCTGATCACTCGGGTACTTCCTGACAAACAAAAGAACGAGAGATACAACTCTCAGCGGCGCACTGTTATCTCCCATGCCAATCCAGCAAGAGATACCGTCCAGTTGGTTGGCACCGGTCGTGGCGATGAGCGAGCCCTGGAAATTCGCCAGGTCTCGCCATTGGCCTTGACGATCCCACCAGCGACCGAATATCGCACCGTCCATGTTACTCTTTCTCTTCTGCAAAGTGTGGCGATTGGAGTTTCCCAATTCTCTCGTCTTGTCTCTGGCATTGATGTCGTTACCAAAGAGCACGTGCTAGGTTTGACAAATTCAAGCGAGTCCATCACCACCGTGGCTCTTGAACAATGCATTACGGTTACGACGGCACCAACACCTTCGCAGATTATCTCTGTCGGAGCTAGTCTTGTGGCGCATAACATAATTTCCTTGGCCCGGGATTGCAGCACTCTTTTGGTCAACGAGCCCGATGCTGTTGTGAAATCAGCACTTCGAGCGATAGCCTGGGACAGCAAGATCAATGTTATTTTCACTACGTCGGATCCATCTCAGACGCCAAATAGGGATTCCATTTTCCTCCATCCTCGCTACCCTCGGCACCTCATCCAGTCCATGCTCCCAGAGTGCTCTATATTCGTCCACTTCTCTCGAGGTAGAACTTCTGACGCAGTTCGAGATGCCATCGTGCAGACTCTGAGTCCGGAATGTCTGCAAGTGAGTGAAGAAATATTACTCAGCCACAAAGTCAACGCAGTAAATGGCTTCAAAAGTCTCACAAATTTGCTGCAAAGATTTTTCGAGGAAGCTCCACTCGATGAGCCCAATGTAAACTGCATCGATTTGAGCGTTATCACAGATCACAAGGCCATCGGTGAGCCTCTTGCTGCCATTGACTGGACAAGGTCCGACTCCGTACCTGTCAAGGTACAATCCATTGATTCAGCACCCTTGTTCCGCGGTGATAGCTCGTATCTATTCGTCGGCATGGCAGGTGAGCTGGGGCAGTCTCTCGCAGGATGGATGATTGCCCATGGAGCCCGTTTCATTGTCCTCACGAGCCGCAGCCCCAAAGTGAACCCCCTATTCGTGGAAGAGATGAGCGCTCGATACGGCGCAGTCGTGAAAGCGGTTTCACTGGATATCACCTCGCCGGAGTCTCTTCGATCGGTCCACGCTTCTATGACTGCGGCATTGCCACCCATTGCCGGTGTTGTCAACGGTGCCATGATCCTGGATGATGAACTCTTTGCAAACATGACCCACGAACAGTTCATTCGCGTCACAAATCCCAAGGTACTTGGTACATGCCTTCTCGATGAAGCCTTCCATGACACCGAACTCGACTTCTTCGTCGTCGCTTCTAGTATTGCATCTGTGATAGGATGGAGTGGACAGAGCAACTACTCCGCGGCCAACGAATTCATGACGTCTTTGGTAAACAAGAGACGCAAGCGCGGCGTTGCCGGCTCTGCAATGAATATTCCCGCTGTCCTCGGCGTAGGCTATGCCGCACACTCCGACACTTTCGACTTCGATTATTTCCAATCCTTGGGATACATCAACATCAGCGAGCAAGATCTTCACATCCTTTTCGCGGAAGCAATCCTCTCCGGACGCCCTGACTCAAACAACACCGAGCCCCAAGTTGCCATGGGCATCAACTACATCGCGCCAGATCTCTATGTCAAAGAATCCCACCGCCGCGATGCAAAATTCAGTCACTTTATTGCCCGCGAAGAGGCAGGGTCAGAGGTGCGGGCCGTCGAAACGAGCGTCCGAGTCCGTGTCCAGCTCCAAACAGCCCCGAACGCAGACGCAGCGTATGCTATCATCCGCGACGCTTTCATGGCGCATCTCAAGCGCATGCTTCGCATGACGGAAGACCAGAAGTTCGATGAGTCAGTCGCACTTGTCGAGCAGGGCGTTGACTCTCTCGTCGCGGTCGATATTCGCGCCTGGTTCCTGAAGGAGTTGGAAGCTGATGTTCCCACGCTTAAGGTTATGGGCGGTGGATCCGTTTCTGTCTTGGTTAAGACGGCTCTTGCGAAGATGCCTGCTCAAGAGGACGTTGGCGCGCTTGAAGTGGTTGCACCGGCTAAGGCTGAGCCTCCGCTTTCTTCGATCAAGTCTAATACGGTCGTGTCTAGACCTGCTCCTGATCAGGCGACTGTTATTTCTGCTGCGGTGTCAACTGGGAGTCCGGTCTTTACCCTGGCTCAAACTACTACTACCCCTTCAATGTCGGATGGTGAGTCGCGTAGTACGCCGTCTCCTTCGAGGGACGACTTTGGCAAGTCTGATATCAATATTGTTATTGATGAGTTAAATATCTCCTTAGAAGAAGGGGAGGCGGAATCTGTTGCTATTTAGTTTGTGTTTTTGGGTGGATTTTAGATCATCTTCTTGTCTTGTCAGATCGATATTGAAGCTGTATCGCTTTGTGTTGTTAGAATGTCTGAAATGCTTTTCCTTTCTTTTCTTGGGAAATGCGATGCTTATCGCGTACAAGTTCCACATAATCTTGGTAGAATAATTAAAATCAAGATGCGGTGAAAGTTGCTTCGCTCTATGCTTTTAATTTCATCTTCAGAATTTAAGCCGCATAATTAGCGAAATGTCATGTGGCACCACCCTGGTCACTGTAAGTAGTTACCTATTAATAGTCATCGACATTGAATATCTATCCTTCGATATACCCCTATGAGGTCACAGGACTATCAACCTGAAGCAAATCAGTATCTGCGCCCGTTTTCGATCTTTCTCAAGTGATTGGGCTCGGTGGAAACGAGCAGTCGCACATCTTGCGCATGCTTTTACTCTGCGTTCTCGTAGAATCTCCGTACAGATGAATCTTGCTACGCTCCAAGTTACCTATAACATCGTCCGGATGTATTCTAAAGGGGCGACAAGACGAGCGGACAGTGACAAATCTCAGCGCAACTCGGAAATCGACAGACAGCTGAATCTGGAAAAGACTCAAGAGAGCAATTCCCATATAACCGCCAATATCCTTCTGCTTGGTATGCTCACAATTAAGAGCCCCTGCATGGGATCCTTTGACTTGTCGCCGAGGTGATTGCGAATTGGGACAGCAGTCGGATGTCCGACGCACGAAGCATAATCTAAAATTATGTTTCGCACTCAACTAAGCGTTATCCGCATTCCTTGGTTACGCCTTGAAAACCGTAGCCCACCGCGTCTTCTGCGGTTCAGGGAGAACCTGCTTACACCAAGCCACAAATCCGCCATCAGGGAACGCAACTTCCGCGCTCTTCCACTTCTCCGCAAGCCTATCTTTCCACTCTTCAACCCAAATAACCTGCTTCTCGCCAGTGGCAGAAACCAAAGGGACCATGCCTTCGGGCACACGCTCAGAAGGTCGGAGAAGCGAGCCCGTGAAGAAAAACTGATGCTCAGGATTGCAAACACTTGCGAATGGATTAAGATTGTCCGACTCCAATAGCCTGTAGCATCGTTGACAAAGTGCAGAGAATGCACAAGATCGGCAGAACCACCCATGATACAGATTCGATATATCTCTCTTACAGCTTGAACACTCGGTCAAGGGATCAGACACAAAACCAACAGAGGCGATATCGTCTATCCAATCATCATCGCTATCGCTTTCCAAAGAATGAACTTTGTTTCCTGTCAGTTGCAAGGTCTCAAGTTCATTGGAAATACCAATCTGTGAATCACTGTCGGGTTTGATCGAGGCATTCGTTCTGTTATGGAAGACCAGCATTCGCGGTTCTGTATTGTGCTTGATCATATACAAGGCTGCTTCGAGGTCTGCATCGCTATCTGTAGCAAGCAGAAAAACCTTGAAAAGTCCTACGAATGCGTCCGTGTCATTTGCAGGATCATCATCCAAAAGCAAGGAAAGACACCCTTTCACACGCCAGCGGAGAGCATCCCTGGCGCTTGCATAGTCACCGTGATCTCTGAACCAAGTGGAGAGAAGTAATGAGACGTCGCTGAAGTCAAAGCCTTCACCCAATGTTAATGGAGGCCACTTCCAACAAAGGGGTCTCTCATCTTCTAAGCACAGAGAGGCTAATTTGCAAATGGAAAGTATCTGGGAAGCTCTTTCCCACGAATCGAGAGACCCTGTAGAACGGGAAGCCACGTCGTGCCAGCCCAGTATTCCTGACTCTATGCACCCCTTCTCGAATAGTGCAGTTGAGAGAAAGTACTTGGCTTCCATGGGACTCCCATTGGCAACATCGAGGTCGATTTCCCCAAGAGCCCTGGTGGCGATGTCAAGGTATTCTTGATCAATTTGCTTGATGGCACAATGGAGGACTGTGTACATGGCACGTGGTATCTGGGTGAGAGTATGACCGATAAAGCTGTCAAACCCCGAAAACCAGGTTTCGGTTCCAGACTCCGCGGCCTCTTCGAAATAGCTGAATGCAAAGTCAAACACGGATCGCAGACGATGGAATTGGTTCAACTCCACGAAGATTTCGAAAAACGGACGTAGCAAACTATCAGCGTCGGTATATCGCGTTTCTAACAAGAGGTTCCAGGCTTCCTCTGCTGTTACAATTGCGCCATCTGTTAACTTTGCATTGTATTTCTTCTGCGCTTTGTGAATCATGTCTCGGATACGATCATAGGTGGTGTCATCACCCTGCCTATTGTCAACCTCCCTAAAGGTATTGCGGAGAGCTTCAGATATCTCGAGGTGCTCCAGGGCCAGTTTGTGCATCGCGAGCTTGGTATATGCACGGGACATGTCTTTGTGTATGACATATAACGATGGGGTGGTGAATTTGGGCCCGATCAAATCTTCGCGAAGTGCAATCCGAAAATGCTCAATCGCGTGCCCGCTACCATTTCGCGCTAGCAAAGCCTGAGCCACACGTGCGTGCCACATACGTGTCTGGTCAACTTGTCGCAGCTCCGCAGGTACCAAAATTCCAGCAGGCATATTGTTGTTCTTCAATTCATCGGACACTTTCACAATCGAGCCGCCTCTTAAGGGTTCCTGGGTTGATGTGACTTGTTCCGCCGCGGATTCCTTTGATCCATTTGCCATAGAATCGTATACCGTCAAGAATGCAGGCACAATGGCAGACAACCCATCACCCTCATTGATTTCCTCTGGCTGTAGCCAGCGTTGAGCCCAGTACACCGCCCTGAAGGACCAAAGGACAGTGAAGGCGCAGGCATCGCTTGCCATTGCGGCAGACCGGGCATAAGACACGAACTTCTGCTTCGCGTCCGGAAGTAACCAGTTGAGTATAAGATCTGCCCTCTCATTTGCGGTAGCACGGTCTCCAGCATCCAGCCAGTAGTAACCGAGATCCGACAGCCAGCATGCTGGGTAGGAAGCGTGCGTTCCACACTCGAATACATGCACTTCAGTAATCAGCCAGTCTCTATCTTTCGCGCTGCTGAACATGTCCACAAGGAAGTATGAGATGTCCCTCCGTAGGGTTCCAGCTTTCTCCGAGTCAGAACGGCCTAGATGAAACGGCAAGAACTCTTCAGCATATTGCCGAAGAGCAAATGTGGATCTTTCTGACAAAGGTGTACAGCTCTCATTCAGGGCGTAGAGACAGACGTATGAGAACGTCACATCTGCCAGATCCAAGTTGACGTGAATCGGTCCAGATTTTCCAGCCGTCTGGAAAAATTCATAAAAAGAACCATGCCGTAACGTAACGACCGCTTCACCCTGACGGGGGTTGGGTTCATCACTCGCCCTGACGTAGAACAACGAAGAGTAAAGCGTACGAAGATCATCTTCAAGGCCCATATATTCCTCCTTAAGCAGAACATCAAGGATGACACTGAGTTGTTCAATGGTCATAGGTTTCTGGGCCAAGGCAACAAAAGTGAGCAAAACATTTAACTGCTCTATTGGTGTGGCAGGACTGTCACCCTCGGATTCCACACCATCAGATAATTCTTCCTGTCCAGATAATTCTGCACTGAGGCGCTGTAACTCTTGTTGGAGCATAGCACTAATACCTTGAGGCAATTTTTTGATCACCTTCCGTATCTGCTCTTTGGAGCGACAACGTAGGACTGATCTGATGACGAGATTTGCCCACTCCCACAAGCCTTCGGCTTTTTGTTTGATGTCGTGGATGACTTCTTCAAGAAGGTCAGGATAGCCCCGGAACAGCTTAGTCTTCTGTAGTTTCTGAGAAATGTATTGGTGAAGATCGTCCTTGGTCTGCTCGTCGCCAACTTCAATTTCTGGGACCCACTCCAATGAATGCTCTTCGAGCAGACTGCGCACCGAATCTCGGCTCAACAAAACAATTCTTAATAAAGCAGGCTGCCCTGCAAGGTGTGCCTCTGAGAAGGCTTCCTCCAAAGAGTTGAAGAGATTTTGTTGCTCCTGTGGCTCAGCCTCATCGATACCGTCAATTACTAAATAAGTTGTGTTGGCGGAGGAACCCTGGGTAAAGTATCTCAGGAAAAGATTCACCCATAGGGCGTAATTACTCCCTGGCTCTTCCTTCAAGCAGAACTGCTCGGCCTCGACCGCAAAGCTGGGCTGTTGCGTAGCCACCTCCCAGACGAGGGTTCGAAGGGCTTTATTGAAGGATCGTAAGTCGACATCGTTGTTTTTGAAAAAGAAAGATGCCACAGTAGGTGCAGGTGACCTTTTTGACAGATCGTTGATTATTTTGGATGCCAAATGAGATTTGCCAACACCAGGGCCACCGTGTATCCAGAGAAGCGGCTCTGGTCCCTGCCACCATGATCGGAGCCTATCTTCGACCCAGCTACCAGAACCCGGTAAGCGGTTCTGCGTGACGGAAGATAGAACCTGGCTAGATGCAGGTATCGGCTCTAACACTTGTTTGATACGCTCCAGTCTTTCACCGTCGGTTTTCCGCTCGTCCCGATCCAGTAATTGTTCGGTATTTTTCAGAGCTTGATGAGTGAGATTGAGGCCGTGGGCAGAGACCATCATATGCTCCACGCTCGTCAAATCCTGGAGCTCACCCAGCAAAGCCTTCACGGATGAGTCCTCAACAAGGATATTCTTTGCCCACTTAGACAGCCTTGCCTTGACTGAGCCCTTGTTCAATAGATTATGTGACGCCGCGCAGACTTTGAGGAAGTTGACCAAAACTTTTACGATGATCACTTTCATACCGCCGCTTATAGCGATGCCCTTGTATGACTCTAGTCGCAAGGCGAAATTCCCGAGGCTTTGGAAAAGGTCGAGGATCACGTCAAATGCGTCGCTAACTCTGCGTGCCGCTCGGACAAGAAGAAGCATAGCCCCCATAATTGACGATGCTGGTGGGAACGCCACAGCGACACCGTCAGCAATCAATCCACCCCATTCTTCAAATGGCACCAGCACGGTTTGCATTGCATGGAATAGGGGCCGTTTCTTCATCCGGAAATCTTCGAAGTTGTCCTTCTCACACTCCAGCTGGCGAGATAGATCTTCAAGCCCCTGGATTCTGGGGAAACGCTCATCCCCGACCGCAATCCCGGTTTGTCTGGCGTAATCCTCGCAAGCATCTTGCCAGACCACGGAGTGCAAGTCACTCTCCGGAGGAGTCCTCATGGTGACAGGTATGGCGAGGCTATTATCCGACGAGGTCAAGAAGAGGGATAACTACTGGGGGAGTGCGTACCCTATAAATAGGAAGGAAATGTAAGCTGAGGCTGAACACCGTGGTGTGGGTCTCTTTGCTGTGTTGGCACCTATCGAGATCAGGCATAAAACAGCTAGACTTAAAATCCCCCATGGGCAACATTTCTAGTTGTTACCGGCTTCAACGCTTCAACGGGCTCGGCCCAATGCTAACGGAAGGTCAGCTTCAATAATCGACGCTCGGGAGTTTGTACGTCAAGTTCATCCCTCGTACTTATCAACCCATCAAACTGCAGATACTGGCTTGAAAACGTCACGCTGAGAGTAGTTGAGGGATTTCTTCGCTGGTACCTTGATTCGCACAACATCACCTACCAGTCGGGCTTCTTTGTTTTCGCCCGATTTTTCAGAATTTATTTGTGTGAAGAAATGAGTCGCCAATTTCCCTATGAAATTGGGAAGGAGGATGTCCATGGTATGATTCCTGAACGAGAATCAGGCCTCTTGCTGATTAATCGACAGTTGGTGCGTATCTTACTTACCGATGAGTACGATCTTGATATGGGTGGTAAGACGCAACCATCAGTCAACATCGATGACCTGTTGTTTACGGTATATCGTCTCCTGGCTATGTGTGGTATAGCGTTTCCCACCTTTCGAACATTATGTCAACTGAACACCCCGAGGAAATGATGACCACTACATCCCCAACTTCCAGCGTTCCAGGGGTTGGGTACTTCTAACAATGAAATGTATTACCACCTCACTTATCTTGCTGTGCCCGTGCTTTTCAAACATGAACAATCATTTTACCTTAGTGGGTGCGGGCAGGGCATAGTCGTCGACTTTCTACTCATTTAATCAATATTATTGGGACCGTGCAAGCTCTCGCCGAGACACTAGAATGTTTCTGTTATTTTTCGAAGTGAGAGGCTGACAAAGTGGTTAGAATACGGGGATAGTTTGGTTAGTTTCGGCTCGGGCCGGTATCCAGATGATGTCTTTTGAGTCAATCAAGACATTTAGATCTCTGGCAGCCTTCGGATATGGACTTCTGAGGTCAGTCTAGCACAGTGTTAGTAAGGACTTAGCTTATTCAAACATATATCTTCAAACCAATGCAAAAGCTTTCTTCCTTTGATGGCGTTGATACACCGAACCATTGTTTGCTTTTCCCAAGGACACCATTTTGAGAAGGATGTTACGTATAAGATATAAAGGAGGAATATTCAGAGCAGCCGGAGAAACAAGATTGGAAATGAATTCGTGTTCGTCATTTCCATGTCTTCTTGGCCAATAAATACTTTTTTTTCTTATATCAGCCTTGTTCCCCACTGTCTCCATCGAAGGAAGGCAAGAAAGATCGCATGAGTTCTTCGCTGAGGGAATCGTAAGGGAAATATGAATCATCCGTTTCGGATGGGAGTTGTAGCGAGGTCGTCAAATCTGGTGTCGGGAAATTGAGGTATGTGGTGTAGAAGCCTGTTTCCGGTACTGGGCGAAAGGTATCCATCAATCCTTCCGACCGTGGGTCATGATAGTCGCTGGGGGCGAACGAAGCAACTTGATCAGACCCAGTATGAGACCCAGGCGTTGCTTCAGTTTTTGCGTGCTCTGGGTAAGACAGTGGAGAAGGTAGATCGTCGGTGTTGTAGTTCATTTTGTTTGCCAAGCTCCGGAAGCTGGAGTCGCAGAGTTGCCATGCCCGACGCGAGCCAACACTGCGTTCGGACATGGCAAAGAGCCAACGAATGGACTTTTTGGATAGCCTTACAAGTTTCTCTTCTTCCTTCGGCACATGGACGCAGCCAAACGAAAGCTCGAGAAGAATGATGGTCGCTGCCTGCATGAGATAGCGCAGTACACCCCACCACGGGCATAGGTGATAAAGCTGGAAGACGTTTGGGTCATCCGGAATCAGGTCAAGCATGCGAGTGGCCGACTCCAACGTGAAAACTGCCATCGTATAACTGTAAGTCCAGAGGGAATTCCTCTGGCGCGCATCCCGCCGGCAGAAGCAGGGACGTCCTAGGATCATGCGCGCGCTGTAGTAGTGAAAGGCCAGGACCAGTCTACATCGAAGGTGCTCAGGACTGTCATCAGTCGGTTCTTTCTCAAAGTCGAGCGCCGTTGGCAGACTCGATTTCCAGATATCGATTCGAGACCTGAGTTCATCGAGCCGATTTTCAATCTCCGACCACACAAGCGTCACCGCATTTGTGGAATAGACCTTGTTAACAATCTCCTGCGTGACAACTGCCAAATCACAGTAGTAGAGATAGCATAACCCCGTATTGACCGGCAATCCTTTCAGCCATGTTTGATCCCGCGGCCTGAAATTTTGGGTGTCCTCTGTGCTGCTGATCCATGAACTCGCCATAACCTCACTAATTCGCTCGTCCCTCAATGCAGAATCGTTGAGTACCTCGATGGCCTTTGGATCGTCTTGTAGTTGGTGCTCTTCAAAAGGGAGTGGTAAAGGAGTAGAGTAACCGCCGTCAAGAGTATAGATCGCCCGGCCGGTCATAACGCCTAACAAATGCTCGAAAGTGTACAGGGACCACCAGACTCTATAACGTGTTTCTTTGGAAATGTTGGAATTTTTCGGGTTTTCGGCCTTCAAATTGATGCCGAGTGTGATGGCCGAACGCAGTGCCAAGGCTTGGATTCTCCACGCACTATACAATAGGCTTTAGTCAATTCTAGTCTGAAGAAATGCCACTGTGATACTGACCGATTGATCTGATCAGATGCAGCTAGATAGAATGCAATCAAGCCTTCCACTTGAACTTGCTGCAGATCAGGGTGGCTGAACAAAATTTCGCCGTTCATACTCAACCGTCGACCCCGGGTCAAGTACACCAAGTGATCATGTTCATCGCCACGCCATGGTGCTTTGATAAGATGTGCGTGTCTGGCTGATATTGCGAATATGATATTCAGGATAGCAAGCCACTTGTCACTCGGACGGGTCGAGTTATCAAATAACCCTTCGTATTGGACACGTAACATTGATTTGCTGATGATAGGAAAGAATGGGTGAACAGTTTGTAGATAGTCATCAATGAGCTGGTCGGCTAGCGATCGTGATGGCAGGATATAGAGTTGTATCGGCTCCGGCACAGATATATTGAGGTCGTCGAGGCGATAGTTCATGGTATGGAGAGAGACTCTATCTTTTGTGTCTTCTTTTTTGTCTTCGCCGGGACCCGAGGCATCCTTTTTGCCTCGAGTAAGTTTGTTTATTTCCTTCTGGAGCCTTTTCATCCATGATATTTCCGATGTTTTTCCAATGAAGCCGGTTGCGCGGGTGCGGTTTGTGCGGTTCAGGTCCTCGTCCACTCGATCGATAGCTTCCAGTGACCCGATGGACAATGGTGAAGATGGGTTGTCGGATTTGGCCGTGTTCTGTGATGTTGATAAAAGAGATTGGGGGTATTCGAAGGAGGTATTCGTGTTCTGGCCATGCTTTATGGAATTATCAGCGACAGCATAAAAGGGGTCCGTGGATCACACACCTTGTCCAGCAATGCCTTGACCCAGCCACTTGTGCGAGACTCCGTCGCATTCCGCAAATCGTGAAGCAAGCTTTCATATTCTTGCACTGCTGCTGAGAGTCTTTGAACCTCCCTGTTGTTTTCCCATAGATCCAACAGTAAGACTTGAGTGTTTCCGCTTAGCTTATTCCAGGGCTCACCTTGTCATTTTTTCTCTCCATCCCACCGGATAGTAACAAATGAGCCCCAGCTCTCGGCATTGCCGACAGAGAGGTGTGTCACCGCTGCATTTCGATTTTCGGCGTCGGCAAGCCTCACATGCTCGTGGAACTCTTCGACTGTATCGCGGAGTTGTGTCTGGAACCTGCCGGGGAATTGCAATTTTTGCGTTAGCAAGTTGGGGATCTCCGACCGGCGTTGATCGAGCTCTATTTGTCCCCGGCGCGGAAGCTAAATCCGTGCTCGAGGGTCCACTTAAATTTGCAGGGGCACTTTGTGGCTCTGGTGGCTCTGTTTCTTGCCCATTCCCTTTCTTCATGCTGGGAAAGACAAAATATTAACTTGAGAACTGATCTTTCTTGCCAGTTATGAGAATAGCTAGCTTAATTCACCAGAAAATAAGCGGCCAATAGGTTGCCAGTGCGACACTATTTGCTTCGGTCTGAGATACCGCCAATCAGAAGCGCGCATTTCCAGAAGCGGAAACAGGTGGGAACTCGAGCCCTAATGTTGACTGAGATACATATGCCCTTCCCCCTTGATTTGATATATCCCTTCAATTACACATACTCTGGCAGGTGTCATTCAACAAGCCAGCTGCTAGCTGAGGTGCCTCAATGCGCATATTTAGGACACCGCCTTGTATTCCAACAATTAGTTTCCACAAGCGTTGCGCTTTTACTTCAGCTCTTCCATGCATCCACTAGTCCGTATTAAACATTGATGTGAGGTCCTAACCGTAGATGCGGTATCATAGGGTTTGAGTTAGATGGTTAGTGAGCTTACATAGCACCAAGACGTTTTCATAGTTATGCAGCATAATAATGTCAGCCTAGAAAGATGCGATTACTATACAGACTCGTTACGTGCTCATGGAATCAAAGGAAGGGGTGATACGACAGGGGGTCGTAAACCTTATACAGCGCCACTGATGAAGTATTAAATAGTCTTTATACGAAAGCCTCGAAGCGGGTACCAGTCGAGGCATTGTTTTCGCTCTACTTTGAGCTCCCTTTTTCACCTCTTTTTTGCCCGTTTTCGAGTTTTTGGTAAATGATGAAATGCATCTTTCCCCAAACTTCTCGCCCCAGCTTCGGGATTGTTCCGTTGTCAACAAAGGCCGATTGTATAGCTTTCTGACCAGATCGCTGCTTAAGCGTATTACCAGAGTAAGTTGAGTATGGACATTCTCAGCTCTAGTTTTTCTGACCCGCAGATTGTATAACGAACCAATATTCCCAACGAACGTCAGCCTGTCCGGTCTTCCAAAGCATGTGAAACTTTGGCGCTGGATTGACCCCTTTTCTTGAAGCCCAGACATAATCCCTTCAATCTGGCGAGAGCTAGAGATCTCCTAGCTGGAGACTGTTCACGAACGAAGATGGAATTTAGATATGGATCACACAGGTATCTGTCAAGGGACATCTACCGGTTGCCCATTGACGATTTCAGTCATTTCATGTGCTGGACTCCAGTCATGGGCAAAATACTGATTTAGTCACGGGAGAACATAGTTAGGCCGGAGATGAGGGACATCGTTGAGACCCTGATGCTTGTTGAGAGAGAAACATGACAAAATAGAAAGCTATACGGCACGGTTCTTATTGAGACGAATAACCTTGGGAGAGGTGCGGCTGTATCTGGAGAGGTGATGACAAGGAAATTTTGGAAGCCGTGCGGCAGGTAGGTAAGTCTAATGCCAGACAAATACCAGACAAATACGAAACAAATAACAGCACCTAGGCTGAGTCGAACTCAGCCTAGACTCAGCCTAGGTGCTGTTATTTGTTTAGTATTGTTTAGTACTTGTCTAGTATTCGTCTAGTATTCGTCTAGTATTGCTTTAATATAGAATAGTTCTATATTTCGAAGTGAGACGTTATACATCTGCTCTCCATCTCCGAGGCCTTCTATCCTCGAACCTTTAACCTTTCACTCGGGCTCGCTCTTGCTCCTGGCAATGGCCGACCTAATGTAAGACTACTCAGCCTTCCATCAACTTCTCACTGACAGACATCTTAGTAGCTATGACCGAAGTCCTCCAATCCAGCAGTCTGGGTCTGCAACCTCTGTACCCGATCACCCCGCCAACAATGATTAGGGATCTGATCCGGGCTCCGGCAGAATAGGCCGACGAAATCCTTTGTGGAGGATTCATTGTCCTCCGGCACGGCGATGCCAACAAATCAGACCTGGCCGTAGCCCTGATGCTCATGGACAAACAACGGTACCCAAACCTTCGGTTCCGTCGAACCAAGCCATGGACGGAAGGACAACTCTATCAAATGGATCCTCGCGGGCCAATATGGAATCTACGATGGTTCAAGATGTTGGACTCATTCAGCTGACGGCATGCCGACATTGCCGCCAGCAAAATGGACCCTGGGCTCATTGAGTGGTTGCTTCTGGTGCCATCGCTTGCGGAAACTGTCACTAAAATGGCTGTGGTACCTGCTGTTCATTTGCGGATGGCCAAGAAGTACCCGCACGTCAGCCATGACGCCGTGCCGTTAACGCTGTCCAAGCCCCGGACCCTGCCCGGCAACAGCGGGTTACTAGCCTCCGTTCTGGGATGGTGATGCTCAATGGATACATCCGTCGCATCTGGGACAGCATAACGACAATGATACAATGATCGATATATGTCACCATTGAAGTCCAGAAGATCGGCCAGCTTCTAGCAGAGGTCATGGAACACCTGCGCCGTCTCAATGAAGCACGAAACGCAAACCAGGATCTTCTCAACGCCTTGTTCGCCTTGATTGAGGCCTCTTAACGGCAGGTTTCAAACTTCCGCTGGTATTGACGTGAGCTGCATGCACATATCGGCTATTCATTGTTGTCCTCCCTCCTTTTTGTTTCTTTCGTGTCCAGAAAATAGCACATTGCATCCTGGCAGTCTTCTTTGGTCCAGTCTTCAATAATGATAATAAACTAGTGGACTGCCAACTTTGTCAAATCTTCATATTCTTCAAGTAGTCAAGTAGCAAGACTTGAGAATCCACAGAAAAACTTATATTTGGCCTCATTCTTCCAAGCGGTTGGTAGTTCCGCCAATAATGTGCCTCTAAGCCCCCAACCGCCAATGAAAGGCTCGGCTTGGCATAACCATATCTATGATGTTAATCGCTCCCTCCAATTTACGTCGTCTTCAACTGCATCTTTCGGGTTCGTTCGGCCTATGCTCGTGTCCCTCATAAGAACTGGCCGAAATGATCACGCAATTTCTGCCCAACCGGCCTTTGCTAGGCTCGATACCTTTACCGAATTTTTCACTCAAACAATATTGAGGTGTGCACTCCCAGGTTCTGAATTTGTCAATGCTGATATGTACGTAAATTGACATTGCCCATATACACTCTCCTAAGAGGCTCGTACTATCAAGATTTCACCGTTTTTTAAGTCGTTGTTTAAGCCGTTGTTCGTGCCATTTTTAAGTATGCTTTAAACGTGTATTAAGCTCGTCTTCTTATATATTATACAATTTGTCATATCAAAATTATGCTATGACATCTGTCTTCGTTTCTCAAGCAGAAGGCTGTTTTGCATGCTAAGCTTGAACAATGATTGTGGTTCTTGGGGCTTCTCTCTTCGATTGAAACCACCATTGGGGCAAGAGGGTGAAACGCTCGTCTGGCGTGGTTGTCGCAGTTGTGCTGGCGTAGACAAACCCTGATTTGCGCGATTGAATGATCCGACAGGAGGACCTGCAGGCGTAGCTCTACCTCCGGCAGCGATCCTTTCTTGTCTTTTTATTTCTTCTTCATGTTGATGTACGCCAAATGCAACATCGAAGATTTCGCGAACGTTCATTGTATCGGGAGTGCGGAAACCGACTTGATTTCCAGCAGTCAAACGTGGGGTTGCAAGATGGTCGTTCTTCACTGCATGGTGATTCGAGGTTGACTCTTTCCCAGTAGTGGCGGTCTGAGAATCCGGACTTGGAGTTGCATAGGCAGATTTGGTTTCACCTGGTCCCTGTTGGATCCAGGGATGGGCCATAAACTCTTGAATCGTGAACCTTTTCCCGGGATCGACAGTGAGAAGGTTGGAAACAAGGTCTTTTGCATCTTGGGAGATGCTGTCCCACCACGGAGACTGGAAAGTATATTCTCCACGGGTAACTTGTCTCTTCAAAATTCCGATGTTTGGGTCGTAGAACGGAGGGAACCCAACGAGGAGTGTGAACAGCACACATCCAAGAGCCCACATATCAACTCCCATCGAGTACCCTTGATCTGAAATAAGCTCAGGTGCAGCATATCCCATGGTCCCGCAGGGTGTCATGGTTTGATTGCCATATCCGTAAATCAATTTGGATAAACCAAAGTCTCCGAGTTTGATCTTTCCTATGCCACCACATCCAACTCCAGGGACGAACTCGCCTTCGTCGGCTTTTTCTTCGTCCAAACCAGTATTAATTTTGTTGCCCTGTGTCCATGGTATGGAATAGAAGAAGATGTTTTCGGGTTTTATATCACTAGGATAAAAGTCAGTCCTGCTCTGCATTGGTGAATGAATATAGAACCTACCGGTGAACAACACCTAGAGTGCCATGCAGATATTCCACAGCTTTGGCAACTTGAAGAATGACATGTCTGCTGAGATCCTCACTGAGGTATGTTAATTTAATGACCTGGTTAAAGAGCTCTCCACCAGTGCAGAGCTCCATGATGATATAACAGTATTGGCGTGTCTCAAAAGAGTCGATGAATTGCACGATATGAGGGTGCTTTGCTTCTTCTAGGATATGAATCTCCTTGTTCATATTATCTATCTGTTGTATTGTTAACGGACGTAAGAGCTACCAAGGCGGCTGTGCCATACCTGCTGTTTATTCATTTCATATTTTCTCATCACCTTGATGGCAACCTCTCCGTATTCCGAAGTTGAGTCTTCGGCACGGTAGACATTACTAAATCCGCCCTTGCCCATTGTTTCGAGGAGGGTCCAACGACCTAGTCCGGGATACGAAGGCATTTTTGATTCAGCCATGCTGGTGGCAATTGGTTTCTTGGTGTCTGTATTTTGGATCTTGGTAGGTTTCGCTGTGGAGGAGCGGAGGTCATCTGTAGATATAGGCGCCATGATATCGAAAAATGGGTCAAAACGCCGCTTGGGGCATAAATTTAGTTTATAAGTACACAAGACGAATCATGGAAGTTAAACATCCAAGGTGAGTTCAAAAGTGATATAACTATATGAAGGTACGTCATTGCCGAGAATCAAGTTAGGTTCATTGATGTAAGGGAAGATAGATATCAAGATAGATATCAGTTTACCCAAGGCAATAATGTGGGTTCCCCATATTCACTCACCCCTATAGCAAAGTCAATTGGACGCGGATCTAACGTCAGATCCGCTAGAGCCTATAAGGAGGTTGAGAAGTGGCCCTTCGCATCATTACATGAACAGCCGCCCGCTAATATTTCGAGACGCTTGACTCGTTGAGCTGTTTGCCCCATGTCTATCCGGATGATGTTCAGCCAATAAGAGACATGCAAAACTGCCGATCAACGAACGGTAAATTGACCCAAATGGTAGTGATCGCCAAGGGGCAAATAAATGTCTATGCCTCAGGCTACAGATGCAGATGACCTTTTGTCACGTGATCATATGTTTTGTCACGCCACAAAGGTGGCATGTGACATGTGGCGTGCGTACTCAGAGTGGCGCAAGCCCCATGAGTCAAACCTCGGAGTTAGGCGCAGATTGCCTGATTCAGCTGCTGATCGATAGACATCTATAGTCGCCTCCCAAGAATTTAAGTTTTGGTAGATTCGAGAACCATCTAGTAGTGCGTTGTCATCACCGAGAATTTGGCTATATGGGGGAACTGACACTCGGCCCCGAGGACGATGGCGAATAATATTGGATATGATGTGGTCTAGGCAGGCTTGGGTACGTACGCCTCTATATGAGTACGGGCAACTTGGCTGCCTAGGTGAACGAGTAGCTGTGTATATAAAGACCTGTTTGTCGGTGCCGTTGACTGGCCTTTCGGAATCAGATTAAGTGTTATTCACTTTTCTTCTCTTTGTTTTCTTTTGATATCTTCCAGTATACCATCTTTCAACATCAAGATAAGATCAGGCTTATCTATATCATTGATCGATAACTTCAAGATGGCTTCAATCTACCAACTCAACCAACCCCCTAATCCCTTCTGGGATTTCCTCAACGGAAACCTAGAGGATCATCCTTTCTTTGCTCCTCGAGGCCACCATGGAAGACGTGGACACCACAGCCACCGTCATGGATGGGGAAACTCCCAACAGAGCGAGACTGTTCCACAGGGCACTGAAGCACCCAACACAGAGTCGAACGGAGAGATGAAGAACGACAGGTCTGCGGCCGACTCCGACTCCCCAGATAACCAGCACCGCCGTTGTGATCACTGTGGTAAGGGCAATGGCAAAGGCCGTGGAGGTCCCGGTTATGGACCTGGTCCGTTCCGTGGAAAGGGCGGCAAATGCAAGCACGGCCATGGCCCTCACGCCGGACCATGGGGCCACCACAACCACCCCTACGATCACGCAGGAATGTTCGGCGGCCGCGGACGAGGCCCTCACCACGCAGGCGGCCACGGCAAACACCACGGCGGACCCCCATTCGGCGGCCAAGGCTTCCCCTTCAACTTCCTCCGCAACCTCGGGATTCCAATGAACGGACCCGCCCCCGAGGGCGTAGATTTCACTCCTGCCATCGACGTCTTCGACACACCGGCCAAGTACATGGTGCACGTCTCACTACCCGGAGCGAAGAAGAGCGATCTGAGCATCGACTATGACGCCGAGGAATCGGTTTTGCGGTTGGCGGGTGTTGTGCACCGTCCTGGTGTTGATGAGAATATGTATCAGGGACTTGCTATGGAAGAGCGTGGACGGGAGGTTGGAGTGTTTGAGCGTGAGGTCCGGTTTGGCACTAGGGCTGCGCCGGCTTTTGTTGCTGTTGAGGGGATTTCGGCGAAGTTGGAGGATGGTGTTCTTAATGTTGTTTTGCCTAAGGTTGTTCCTGAGCCTGAGGTTGGGAAGAAGAAGGTTGTTGTTAAGGTTGATGATCTTGAGCGTGAGAAGGGTGATATGGTGGATGAGAAGGTTCGTGAGGATTTCACTCCTGATGAGTCGGAGGCTAGTGATGCTGAGGATGGTGAGGCGAGGGAGTATGTGAAGGTTCCAGTGCTGTGAAATTGGCTAATTTGATATTCGATGGATGGCGTTTGGGGTCAGCTTCTTTGTCCTTATTAATTTAATATTGTTTGCGATTAAGAATGGACAAACACTCAATTTCGGGTGGAATACATACCAGTTTGATTACACCGTAGAAATTTGTAGATTCTCGTAGGTCATTTCGGCTGGTAAGATGGCAAGCGTAATTCCTCGCCGGATGCATCAAGTCTCGACTTTTTCACGCCGAAGTTCTGTTCCCGTAGACCCATCTCTTAGGCCAAACCAACCACTCCTGGAACCCCGGGTGGATCTTACTCTCAATATCCTCCAACAACTGACGAGAAGCACCATTGATAAACCAGCAATGGTCAATCAGATGTAACAGCACACACCAATGAGCCAAAAGAATCAGGGCAGCAGGCTTGTACGCTTCCAAATCTTCTTGGAAGCGTTTGGAAAGTGAATATGCCCACATGATGATCATACCAGTCTCGATATGTGGGCCGGCAAGCTCGAGTTGGCGGGTTGAGTGTTCGAAGAACTTCATGGCATTTTTATAAGCTTCTCGGTGGTCAACTGTCGATGGTGATCCCGCAGAAGTATTTTGGTCTTGGTGGGTCTGTGGTTGAGGGAATGGGTAATTATCAATGAACTGGTGAAGTTGAGATATCCGGTCCCGAATATCGGGAGGGAGTAATGATTGTTGCATGACCGAGGGACTTGAAAGGATTAATTTGTCTGAATATGATGCAGTAGAATGGGGGGAACGACATACCTAGAGATGAGCATGTCATTATCAAGCCAAACGCAGTTCACCAACGGCGCAAGCTGTGTCTTCCGAAGAGAATGTAGCCATGGCTCCATTATCGTTTGCAGCCCGTTGACAACAGCAAATAGTTCAACTATATTCAAGATCGGGGTCGGCCAACGATCCGCACCTAACCGAATCGGCGAGGCGCAGACATAGACCATAATCATGGAAGCAAAACAAAACACGGGCTGCCAGTTGCTAGGGTCGATTGGAGAAGCGATGAGTTCCCGAAACTTTTTTAATCCGGCTGCCTGGTGGTAGGAAGATGCTTTGATATACTTTTCTTTCTGGGCAGGGTAGAGACACGCGCGGTGCAGGGCAGCCAGTGCCAAAATCCCGTGCATTAAGTACGAATTCGAATAGCCCTCCATGGGCAGAACAATGCGCCAGACATGTCGAGCATCTTCACGAATTGTGAGGCTATTGCATGTCACAGTGCAGTAATGGTGCATGAGTTCAAGGTCGCATGCCCAGTCGTCCGTATTGGAAGGGGTGCCATATGGAGAGCTTGAAAGGATGTGCAATAGATCAAGTCTACTCTCGGGTCTGGAGGGCTCTACAGCCAGAGGTGTAGAAGATGCAGCGGGAGTGTGATAAGACTCCGGGTAAAAAGGCGACGGGGCATGCAGGACCACAGACTCTGACCGCGTGGCCGGGGTCTCGGTCGGGGTTGATATTGCGCTGCCTGTCCCATGAAGATCATTCGGTCCCATGTAGCTGCATTGAATGGCGTGTTTGGTACAGTTTGTGCATGGATATCGTTCGTCGCACTGCGTCACGTTAGAGAGGTCGCGGTGAGGTCAGAAGTACACACCTTCAATCTTCGCGTCTTGCATTCTGGGCAACCATTACGCGACTTACGATGGGTTCTTCTCGGGCCCATTATCAGCAAAAATCACCGCAGTATGAGGAGTGTCGTGAGATAAATCTATTCGAGTGCGGGTACGGACGCGGATTCGAATACGGATGCGAACTCGGATTCGGACGCGAGGCTCCACTTACCCACATCGACATCGGCTAAGTGGACAGCCATGTCCCCAGATAATAATACATGTAACTCGAATCACAGTCAAACGAATGACAGCCTAAAATTATAGTGGATATTAGATCTAATTCTGTTTCATGACCACAGGGGGGTTGAGTGGCTGTGAAATTTGGCCCTTCCTATAAAGGCGATGGATGGACCCTAGTATAGGATCAAATTATCTAAATTTCACTTTTCAGTTCAAGATGTCTGAAAATAATATCTACGGGTACAATCCCTCGCTTCCAGCAGCCATCATCTTCATCATACTCTTTGGAGCCTCAACTGCCTACCATGGCTACCAACTCGTCAAGTCACGATGCATGTACTTCATCCCATTCTTAATTGGCGGCGTGTGTAAGTTTATCGGAAGTCTTGCAATCTATGGGTATTCCTGACATCCTATAGTCCAGATCATCGGTTATATCTGTCGCGCAGCCTCACATGATAATTACTCCGGAATTTCCCTATACGCGATTCAGACACTCCTGATTCTACTCGCTCCGCCACTATATGCCGCGTCAATTTACATGGTCTTGGGCCGAACAGTGACATACCTCCACGCAGAGCATCTAAGCTTGGTGCCAGTGAAATGGATGACAAAGATCTTCGTAACTGGCGATGTCTTCTCCTTCCTCCTCCAGTGTGCTGGTAAGTATATCAAGTCCAATTGAACCAAATCAGAGCTTCCATCATGAAACCCGACCTATGAGCTAACCAAATCCACTCTTACAGGTGGTGGTCTCATGTCTGCAGGATCGTCCATGCATGAAACAGGCTCGAACGTAACAGTCGGCGGCCTAGTCATCCAACTCCTCTTCTTCGGTTTCTTCGTGGTGGTCACGACGGTCTTCCACTTCCGCATCTCACGCCATCCTACCTCCAAATCACAAACAGAACTTGGCATCACCCGAAGCCAGGGCTGGAAACAGCGCAACTGGTCCACCATTCTGATCGGCCTATATATTGTCAGTGTTCTGATTCTCGTGCGATCCGTTTTCCGTCTAGTCGAGTATAGGGAGGGATATAGTGGGTATATCATGACACATGAGGTTTTCATGTATATCTTTGATGGATTGTTGATGTGGATTGCTATGATTGTGATGAATATCTACCATCCAGCTGAGATCCTAGGGAATGGGAAGGGTGGACAGGGTGAATATACAGAGACGATGCAATTGTAGATCCTGTGTTGGTTTAGATAGTAATAATTCTGTCGATTTGTTTGTTTTAGCGCTATATAGACGGGTATATTCAACTTTTGAATGATGAAACAAGAAAGGGCCAAAACCAAAACCAAACAAGCGAACAAAGAAACATCATTAGAAGCCATCATATCATCGTGATCTGTAGTCATTACTCGACCGGGCATCATAACTTTTCCTCACCCCATTGTCCACCCCATTAGCAAATAAACCAGGCCGCCTAGACACCGCAGAGCCGCGCGTAGACACAGGCAACAAATTCCCTCCATATTCAACATCCACGCTCCGACGCATGCGCGACAAACTAATTATCTTCTCCATCTCCAGCGCCTGCAACGGTCCCTCGCCCCGTTCAACCGGCGCAGTAGCCTTCTTCCGCCCAGACAGCCAGCGTCGACTACCAACACGGAAGTAACCACCGATATCGTCAACCATAAGGGCAACCCAGACAAGCGGGATGGAGATCGCAAAGCCAATACCGAAGGTATACTTGGCTACATAGCCAAGATCCAAGTTATTGAATTCCTTCATGTTGATCGTGAAAATCGAAGTGATAAATGAAAGAGGCAAGAAGACGATAGTGACAATGGTGAAAACCATAATCGTCTTGCTCTGGCGTGTAGTACCAGCAGCCTGATCACGCGCAAAGCGTGCCTCGAACGCATTGGCATGTTTCTGTTTTAGGTCCAGCAAATCTGTGATAGAGTGATAAATGCGTTCTGCCTGTTTATCCATTCGATCGATATCCTTGAGATGCATATCGATCACACGCTGCTGGTCCTTGAACCGTTTCTTCACTTCAACCTGTGAGCGATGCTGGCCTTGGTATGTCTCGCAAATGACATCTTGGAAATCGATCAGGACATATTTCTGGTGTTCCAGCACCGTGCGAATCATGTTCAGTTCATCGCGAATGTCTTTTGTTTCGGCTAAGAGATCGGTTTCCTGACCGATATCTAGGAGCCGGTCGACGAAGAGTGGCTGGCCGTCTTCATCGCAGTAATCGCTCGTCAGACCATCCTCATCTACCGACTTTGAGAATGAGCCGTTCAGCTTGCGGTGGCTTTTCAGCCAGTCGGATGCCTGTACGGAGGCGTGGTTGAATTGATTGAATAGAAGTGTTTCCTTGTCGGTTGCTATACCAATGGATGACTCGAACATATCCAGAAATTGGTATTCCTCATCGCCTAGACGGTGGCGATCGAAGACCCCCGAGCATCGGTTTGTGATGATGATTGCCAGGTCATATACAGATTTGACAGGGTCGCGAGTTTTAGAGTTGATATCCTCGATAATACCATCGAGCACGTTGAGCGGGTCGTTCTTGGGCTGGTCCCATCTTTGTGGGAAACCTGTGACGATGAGGTTCGTTCCGAGAATCCACATCCACAGTTGATCGACCATGAAGATCTTGGGATCGGAGCCCATTCCGGGGCTTTTGGTCTGGTATCGGTATACCACTTGGTCCTGGTCGCGGCTCTGGGTATCGATGTTCGGGTAGAAGAATTGGTCTAGTGTTCTGCGGACGTGCAGGGAGGTTGTTGAAGATGAGAGATGTGCATCGATGAGCATTTCGTCTTTTGTGCGCATTCTCTTCATTCCTCCTGGAATGAATTCCAGTGTCTCGGCGCGTTGAATTGCATCTTGCATCTTTTGTCTTCGCTCGGTTGTCTCGAAGTGGAGGTAGGGCATGAAGACGCAGATGTTACAAGCCGAAAGAAGGGGATGAGGGTCTTTGCACATCGACGACGACAGAGGCGATGACCGAGCCTGTTTCTCACCCGGTCCCCATGGCGACTTTCCTTTTGTCTCTGATTTCGGAGTCCCTGGTGCACTGCCTGACTTGCCACGCTTTTGACTCTGGTTCTGATTGCCTTTGCCTTTCTTCACCGGTTCATCGTGAGAGTGTGAATCAACTCGCTCCATCTTGCCGCCTTTCTGTTTGCGGGATGTATACTCTGCTTTGGCTTGTCCTTCTGACAACTCCTCCTCCTTTTCTTCTTCCTTCTTTTCCTCTCGTCGCATCATCGTCCGTGGTGTATTCTGACATAACGGCCGCATGAAATGCGAATGGGTCCGTTGACCCCGATGCTGATAGTTGAACGACTTCTCCAGTCCCTTGAACCCATCAACATCATGAGCTCCCTCCTCAATAAAAGACTTGGTCAGCAAAGCTTCCACCCAAGCCATATTATTAGCAGGGAGATGAATCCACCGGAAATCAGTCGCGCGACTATCGGCCGGTACAGCCGTCACAGCCTGCTTGCGAGGATTCTCCCGATCCCTGCCATACAGCAGATCGAAAACAGACATACGCTTGACACGATTCTCATTGTGAAAGTTGCCAAAATCCACAACCGTCGCGTCAAACGCAGCACAAGCACCCTTAACATCATCCGACAACGACTCAACATTGTTAAATGGCGCCAACAACAACACAATATCCTTGCGCTTAAACTGCGCAGCCCTGAGAAACGGCGTACTCCCAAAGTTATCCCTAACCCTCCTCTTCAAATCGTCCCTCTCAAGCAAACACTCCACCACCTCCCGATGTCCACCCTGCGCAGCAAGATGCAAAGGCGTAACCCCATTCAACAACTGAGCATTCACTTGCGCACCAGCCTTCAACAAGATCCTCACAATGCCCTCACAGCCCTTATCACAAGCATTATGCAACGGCGTCCAACCACCATCACTAGCAGCATTAACCGCCGCTCCATGCTCAAGCAACAACAACACAATATCAACCCGGTCATGCGCAGTAGCAACATGCAAAGCAGTCTTCCCCCTCAACTCAACAGCATCAATCTCAACCCCAGTCCTCCCCTCATTCCCACCCTCCTTCCGCGCAAGCAACAACTCAACAAACCTCCAATTCCCGCTCGCACAAGCCCAATGCAATGGCGTCCTCCCCAATTCATCAACACCATCCTCGCCCCCAACGGCACACTCAGTTTTCAACAACAACCTAACAACCTCCTCCCCCCATCCAAATCGACAAGCCTTATCAGCCGCAAGATTATGCAGAGCATTCCTCCTCCTCAAATCTTTCTTATTAACATCCGCCCCACGCATAATCAACAACTGCAAAATATCGACATGATTCCTCCAAGCAGCCATCATAAGCGCCGTGCGACCCTCCTTATCAGCCGAATCAGGCGAAGCACCATGATCAAGGAGCAAGCGGACGATGTCGGTAAGGTTGCGCTCGACGGCACGGTGGAGTGGTGATATCCGGTTCGACGCGACGTCTGTTTTGGCGCCTATTGAGAGGAGGTATTCGGTTGCGGCGTGGTTGGCGCGTTCGGCGCTGCGCATTAATCCTATACGCAGGAAGTTGTCGGTTAGTTGGTTGTGCTCGCGCGCTAGAGCTATTGTGTTTGCTAGGGCCTCTGGGTCATTGGTTTCGGCTGCACGGAGGAGGCGTGGTTCTAGTCTTTCGTGGCCTTCGCTTGTTATGCTTGAGCGGGAGGGTGGCATTTTGATTAATGGTGGTGGTGTAGATGGTGGTGTTGGTGATGGGGGTGATATAGGTGTAGGGGGTGTGGTAGTGTAGGTATTATATATAAGGAATGATGTTGGCGCTGGTTGAATAGTTGTTATTGCATGATGTGAAGGTAAATAAGATGAAGTCTTCAAGTTTCGAACTTTTTGGCAGATGCGCTAGAAGCTAAGAATTGAACCAAGCTCAAGAGGGAATGGGCCCACTACCCTGGCCAAGATCTGCAGTGAAAAAAGTACAGTATTTGGCCCCTTAATCCTAGTCAGTATCGAGGCTGTGGTCCTCGTATTGAGTGTGGGGTA